CATTCACGGCTTCATTCAAAAAAATATTGCATTTGCAGAGCTCAGGTGGTGTTGTATTTCCATGTCAATGTTGACTTTTGTAGAGAGGTGGCTGCCAAGGTAGCAGAAATGATCAACATTTTCTAATGTTGCACCATTAAGCTGTATTTCTGACATTACAGAGGAATTGGCTGGTGCCTTCTGATAGAGTACTTTGGTTTTCTTGATGATTACTGATACGCCAAGTTTTTTTTAAATTCTGCAAAGGTATTTAGAGTGGCGTATAGATCTTCTGAATGAACACAGACTACATTATCATCAGCATATTGGAGTTCTATAACAGACGTTGTTGTAACCTTGAATTTGGATTCCAGTCTGCTGAGGTTAAATAGCTTTCCATCTGTCTGATAGATGATTTCCAAGCTGGTGGGTAGCTTCCCATCAACAAGGTGCAGTATCATATGATGAAAATGGAGAATAAGGTTGGGGCAATAACACATCCCTGTTTGACACCTGATTCTACCTTTGGAAGTCATTGCTGTCCAAGACTGTTGCCATTATGTTATCATTGTTGCATAGGGAAAACCTCCCTTTGCAACAATGATGAAAGAAGAGAATGACACATAAATATCATGAATATAAACGACAGAATTCCAGGTTGGTTTTTTTCCCCTTAAGTATTTACATTTTGGGGTACACATTTTCTCAAATTTTAATATAGATTTGACATCCAGTTAGATTTTATTCACGACCAGAAAGTATGATGTTTGATACATTCTATGTGACGTGCAGCCCAAACAAATCCATCAACCAGGTAAATGTCTTCTTGCCATCAGACTAGGCATTAGACTTCCATAGCATCACGGTTGGTAATTCAGGCTGTTGATGTAAAAAAATCATGATCAGTCACTAAAGTAGATGATAAAATGTTAGGCTATGGCTAATCTAGGATACATTGCTGAAACACAATACACATGGAATAATTAATACCGCTCCCATCTTTCTGCTCTAACTAAAAGAGAAAATACAGTTAGTGATCAGTTCTTTGTCATCACTCTGTGCTCAAGCATTTCAATATGTTGCTGTTACTGGCTGAGAATAATTGTTTCCTTCTTGTAGGTGTCCGGGCCTTGGTCAGCATCTTGCAGAGCTGGTATACCCTCTTCACTCCCACCGAAGCCACCAGCATAGTAGCAGCAACAGTGATGTCCCACAACACCATCTTGCGCCTCAGCCTGGACTACCCACAGCGAGAAGAACTGGCCAGTTGTGCCCGCACTCTGGCCCTCCAGTGTGCCATGAAGGATCCTCAGAACTGTGCGCTCTCTGCCCTGACCCTGTGTGAGAAGGACCACATCGCCTTTGAGACTGCCTACCAAATAGTTATAGATGCTGCTTCCACAGGCATGACTTACTCGCAACTTTTTACCATTGCACGGTACATGGAGCACCGTGGGTACCCGCTACGGGCTTTCAAGTTGGCCTCGCTTGCCATGACACACCTCAACCTTGCCTATAACCAGGACACACATCCTGCCATCAATGATGTGCTGTGGGCATGTGCGCTCAGCCACTCCCTGGGCAAGAATGAGCTGGCAGCCATTATTCCACTGGTGGTGAAGAGTGTGCACTGTGCCACCGTGCTGTCTGACATCTTGCGACGCTGCACCATGACTGCCCCTGGCCTTGCTGGCATTCCTGGCCGCAGGAACTCTGGGAAACTGATGTCAACAGACAAAGCACCATTGCGCCAGCTGCTGGATGCTACAATAAGTGCTTACATCAACACCACTCACTCGCGGCTCACCCACATCAGTCCTCGGCATTATGGGGAATTTATCGAGTTTCTCAGCAAAGCTAGGGAAACTTTCCTGCTGGCTCAGGACGGCCACATTCAATTTGCGCAGTTCATAGACAATCTCAAGCAGATCTACAAGGGCAAGAAGAAACTAATGTTGCTAGTGAGAGAACGATTTGGATGAGGAAAAGAAAACCCTGATCACAGTTGGTGGCATCATGCTTATGGGGCAAGAGGATTCCCAGATTCTTTGAGGAACACATACCAAAAGCAACACAGCTGGAAAGGTTTGCTTCCCACCCACAACTCACTTGCAAACACCTCGGCAATACCAAAAGCTAACCTGGAAGTTGAATACCTCTTTCCCACAGGGCAAGGTGGATGGAGGCTGAAAAGCAAACCACTGCAAAGGACACAAGGATCAAAATTGTTCAGCTTCTTGTGTTGCCAGCTGGTGGCCTTGTGAGGTGTACAGCCTGCCAAGACTGGCAAAAAAAAAATCACAATTTTTTGTGTGTATGTAAAAGTGAAGACCCTTAATTAAAAACCTAACATTAACTGTTCTCAGGGAGTGCTTTACTAAAAGTAACAGAAGCATTTATGATACTGTAAATACAATAGTATATGTGTCAATTATTAAATTGTAAAGTTCTAATTATTTATAATTATTCTCTTTTTGTTTGGGGGAATACTTGAAATTCTTGTTAAACATTTCTGAACACGAGAAATGTGAACATTTCTCAGTTTTCCCCCCCAGCACTGTTGGCCAAGAAGGGGATGGGTGGGTGATATCTGGCAAATGGCCATAATTCCAGAGTTTATGCAGAACTGCCAGGATGCAGCAGACTTGGAACAGAGACCAAGCTGGCACTAGCAATGCCAGAGGCACCTCTTCAACATTTCAAGACTGTCAAGGTGCGGACTTGGCCCACTGGCAGAATCAACTGTAATGCTCTTCCTGTGTCTGCTGGTTTGAACTGTGGTTCCAAGTATGGAGTACAATGATCCCAGGAAGTCAAGTATCTATCTGTGAAACAGTTGAGCCCATAGTGTAAATAATCTATTTTTGGCCTTTCTCGATATGCGGATGGATGAATGGATGCGTGTAAGACTTGCATACCTCTCAACATGCACGTGGGAAGGGTTCTGTCCTTTCTTTATGCAGGTGGGGAGCAGGAGACCCATTCCCATTTGCTTTTAGCTGCATTTTCAATTCCATTGGTCAGTTGTTGCCTTTGGCTGCAACTGCAAAGGCTGGTGCCCTCCTGAGGACAGCTTCCCTTTCCACTCTCCACCACTGCTTACCAGGAATCTTATTTTTTAAAATAAGATGCTCCAGTGAAATGAAGGGAGTGCTGCAGGAGGCAAGCCGCTCTTCCTTATTCCAGTTGTCTTTGTGTTTTCCTGCTCCAATGTGTCCTTGGTTTAAAAGGAGCCGGGAGGGACTTGGGTGGTGGGCGGGCAGGGATTGGGATGAAATGTAGTTTAGGAAGTGTGGATTAAAGTCTACTTGATTACTGTCTAACTCCCATTTTTTTTAAAGAATCCTAAGAAACTGGTCTCAAGGCCAGGCAAATCCAGTTCACCCAGTATTTGTTGCCATAGAAGTATCATTCTTCACGTCTTGACTCCTTACTTAATTTTGTGTGTACAACTTCTTGACATGTTTAATAAAAAAAAGGAAGAAAGATGTCCATGCCCTTTCTGTATTACTCCAGTCATTGCTTTGTCACTCAGATAGTGGTGCCAATTTGAAACAAGATTACCAGTAGGCAAACTGAAGTGGACCCCTCTGGCAACAGATTTTAGGTATCACAGGTAAAGTCTAGTCGTGTCTGACTCTAGGGCAGGGGTCCTCAAACTAAGGCCCGGGGGCCAGCAGCGGCCCTCCAAGGTCATTTACCCAGCCCTCGCTCAGGGTCAACTTAAGTCTCAATCAACTTGAAAGCACACAACAAAAGCACACAACAACAACAATCCTATCTCATCAGCCAAAAGTAGGCCCAAACCCCCCATTGAAATACTAATAATTTTATATTTGTTAAAATTGATCATTTTAATTATTGTATTATTTTAAAGTATTTTTTGCACTACAAATAAGATATGTGCAGTGCGCATAGGAATTCATTCTTTTTTTTTTTCAAATTATAATCTGGCCTTCCAACATTTGAGGGACTGTGACCTGGCCCTCTGTTTAAAATGTTTGAGGACCCTTCTCAAGGGTGGTGGTGCTCATCTCCATTTCTAAGCTGAAGAGCTGGTGTTGTCCGCAGACACTTCCAAGGTCATGTGGCCAACATGACTGCATGGAGTGCCATTGCCTTCCCGCCGAAGTGGTACCTATTGATCTTCTCACATTTGTATGTTTTCAAACTGCTAGGTTGGCAGAAGCTGTGCCTTAGAGCGAGAGCTCACCCCACTCCCCGGATTCAAACTGCCAACCTTTCAATCAGCAAGTTCATCAGCTCAGTGGTTTAACCCGCTGCACCACTAGGGTGGCCTAATTGTTAGGTATCATAAGGGCAGCAAATTGTTTTGCTACTGCTTTATTTCTCTTCCTTGGGCTCTTGAATAAATTGGATTGTTTTGGGTAATGAGGTTTTAGTGGTGTGTTTGCTGCTCAGGCAGCAAAAGTGTCTTAGCCCAATCCTGGTTTTCAAACTCTGAAAAGAGAACTGTAGCAGCTGCAAGTGGTCTGAAGACAATGTAACCATCGACATCATTATCCCAACATTTTCAAAATGTATAGCCCCAGCTTCTCCAGAAGAGGTATTGATGGTAATTTACCTCTTTCTACACCAAGATTTCCATTATTGCGTTGGCAAGGTATTTGTGGTTAAACTACAGGGAGATTTAAGTACATCTGACCTTGAGCTGGAACATGCTCATCCTGCAAAACAGATCTTTGAAATGGTACACAGATGGACAGTAGGCTACAATCCTTCTATGATCATCTCCCATCCCCACATTTTTCCCATTCCACAAGGCAGCACTACTGTTGTGCACATTTGAATTTGATAATATGATTCGGACAGACAGTAAAAACACCCACCACTGCAGTGTTTGCATTTGGCCAGGTAAGTCCAGTCACAGCAAAAAGTGTTCACAAAACAAGGGTGAATGTGCAGTAGCCTTCACAAAAACAAGATAAGGTCCAAGAATTCCATATTAGAGGCTGATTTATCTCTTTTCCTTTATAACACACACACACACAGGGCCAGTATGAGTGGAGACCAGGATGTTTTAATGGCATGCCACTAAAATCCAACACCCTTCCCTTGTCAGTGCCTCGATGTTGACGTTGGAGCCATCACAGCCGGCTCCAACTCTTCCTATGCTTGGTTTGATCAGTACATTCTCCTCCATCCATAATAGAGCTTGCTCACCAAAGTTTTAATTATGTTTATTGAGTTGGCGAGAGTGTGCATGGACAGCATCCACGAAGGCACCCACATGTTCTGGACTCATGTCGGGGTAGAGGCCATGGCCCAGATTCGCAATGTATCTCTGTGTGCCAAAGCCTTCCAACATCTTTTTCACCTGCTCCCCAATCTTCTCCTAACAAGAAACACAAATTAGATGACAAAGTTTAGGAAAGTTAGACCTTACTTCATAACTACTACCTTCTTGGAAGCTCAATCCAGACAGCTTTGGGATCCATTTTGTCCATTGTTTGATAATTAGGAGGATCCCATGTGCATGGACATTCCCCATACCCACCTTTTCCTAATTTGCCATGTCATGCCACAGGCAAAACAATGGGCTGAAACTACCCATAGTTTGCATCTAACCTTACTTTGAATCTATGCTTTGAAAACAGTCTGGATTATGACTAAGCCCAGTTTGCCCACACTAAAAAAGTTCATCAGGCTCCTAACTGCAAAATTATCAATTTGTGATATCATGCACTTGTATATAAAGGTACTTATCCTCAAATGCACTACAGGCAACAGCATTGCCAAGTGCTTTGCCAGCTTTGTTAACCTGCCACAGCTGGCAAAATGTCCTGTGGCTGTCCTTTGCTTTCACCATCCAAAAGCACAGATAGCATTTATTGTGCAAAAGAGTCTTATGCGCCAGTTGCTTTACCTTTGGGGCATAGAGAGCACATGGGTCCAAATTCCCTTGTAAGGTAATGTCCTTTCCTATACGTTGGCTAAAATAGAAAAAAGTACATGTATTAATAGAATTTACTTAATGGAATTCATTGCAACAATGTGTGCTGAAAGTTGTGAGGTCAGCAGGCTTTACAGCAAGGAGCTAGGACAGCCAAAAATGGTTGCACACCTCTACTAACCAGATGCTAGGGACAAACTGGGGACTCCCACCTCCAACCCATTCTTCTATACAGGTTCCAAAGATAATCTGGCTAATCCCAGTTAGAATGCAGATTTTATTATATTGGGTCTCGGCAGCAAATGATAATTTCCCCTCCATAGCCTCTAGCCTTCCTTTAGCTTTTGAAGCACATGGCAATCTGTTCTATCTACTATATAAGTAAAGTAAAGGTTTCCCTTGACATAAAGTCTAGTTGTGTCCAACTGGGGGGTGGTGCTCATCTCCATTTCTAAGATGAACAGCTGGTGTTGTCCATAGTCATCTCCATGGTCATGTGGCCAGCATGACTGCATAGAGTGCCATTACCTTCCCACAGAAGCATTACCCATTGATCTAGTCACATTTGCATGTTTTCAAACTGCTAGGTTGGCAGAAGCTGGGCCTAAGAGTGGGAGCTCACCCTGCTCCCCGGATCTGAACCGCCAACCTTTTGGTCAGCAAGTTCAGCAGCTCACTGCACCACCAGGGGGGCCTCTATATCTACTATATAGTCTCATTCTGACTGATCTTCCTGGGAAAGAAGGCATTCAAGGGCATGTCAAATACCTATCTGTAGCATTGCCTCACTCCAACCTCTTTTTTAAAAAAGAAGCATGTGCCTGTTTTTCAACCACCTCGTGTGAGTAGGGAATGTGGCTTTTCCTAGATCAGAGTTGGAGAATTGTGATCCTCCAGGTCAGGCTTCCTCAAACTCTGACCCCCCAGCTGTTTGGGCCTCAAGCTCCCAGGATTCCTGACCATTTAACAAGCTGGATAGAGCTTCTGGGAGTTGGAGGCCCAAAAAACCGGAGGGCTGTAGTTTGAGAATGCCCGCTCCAGATGCTGTATTGCTGCTCCCCACACCCTTTAATAGGTAAGATGGTTGGACTAATGGAAATTGGGACTGAGGAACATCTGGAAGCAGGCAAGTCTACCAGTTCCGTTCTAGAAAATACCCAATAAATCAGTGGTTCTCAACCTGTGGGTCCACAGGTGTTTTGGTCTACAACTCCCAGAAATCCCAGCCAGTTCACCAGCTGTTAGGATTTCTGGGAGTTGAAGGCCAAAACATCTGGGGACCCACAGGTTGAGAACCACTGCAATAAAAGGAAGTTTGTCCACACACCAGAATGGACTGAGCAGAGTATCTGCTGTTACCACAGTGCCCTTTCATGTAGGCTCGTGATTTTCCACTGCTTTAGTGAATTGCACTAATGTGATTAGATATACATTAAGGGGAAAGTGAAGAAGTGTGACAAAGGGGCAAACAAGAATGCATGTTAGAAAAGCTACAAACGGTAAGCTCGCATTGCCCAAAAGGATAGCTTCAGTTTCTCACCGAGCATCCTCAGGACGGATTGTCCAGTCCAGGCCGATCACATCATACCCAGATTGTGCCAAGTCCTCCAGTGCATAGTGTGCATCCTTGGCAAAGATGATCTGGAAAAGAAGAAGGGATGGGACAAGTGAGCAGAATAACACTGTGGGCAGAGCCATACAGACAGGTGGCTACAGAAAATCAAATTATCAAATTACACACACAATCAGAAAATGTATTTTCTGTGATTCTTAGAAAAGCAGTGATTCTTCCATTTTGTGTCACCCAAAAAAATGGATAGCTATTTTTAAAAAGCTCTATAATACACAAGGCCTCCATCTGTCTGTTACCATAGAAAATGGAGTGTTAGCAGGCATGGGCATAGTGGCCTTTCAGGGTGAGGAATGCTGAAAGGCAATCCAATTTGCTGTAGCAGAGCTAAGGACTAGATTGGTGAGCCACATTTCAGAGCAGGATTTATAAAACAGAACTCCACACACCTTCCAAATGTTGCAAATCTGAACTGGCGAGAACCTGAATTCACTGGGTCTGGGGACAGAAGAAGCACCACTCCCTGTTCCCCTACTGGAAAATTATGAGGATAAACCCAGCCATTCCAATGAGCTTCCTGGTTTTTTGGGGGTTTTTTTTTCATGTCAGGAGCAACTTGAGAAACTGCAAGTTGTTTCTGGTGTGAGAGAATTGGCTGTCTGCAAGGACGTTGCCCAGAGGACGACTGAATGTTTGATGTTCAACCATCCTTATGGGAGGCTTCTCTCATGTCCCTGCATGAGGAGCTGGAGCTCACAGAGGGAGGTCAACCCACTCTCCCCGGATTCAAACCGCTGACCTGTTAGTCAGCTGTCCTGCTGGCACAAGGGTTTAACCCACCGCGCCACCAGTCTTACATTCCTGGTAAGAGGTGATGACTGTCATGTCAAAAATAAGCTTCCACAGCTATAAAAAGGACACTTATGCACACACACACACACACATACAAAGGAAAAGGGATACAACACAAGTGTCCAATTTTATTGGATCCAGCCATGAGTACTTTACTACCAGGATGGGAATCATGTAACCACCAAGGCCATTGTTGGTGGCCTCTGCCCCACCAGACACCCCCCTCCAAATTATAAAAATTGAAATAAAGAAAAGCATTGTGACTCTTGAAAGCCCTCTGGAGTGTTTATGCAATTGGACAATGATTTTAGTAAAGAGACGCTGAGGATCTAGTTTTTACAGATCTTATTGTTTCTTTTATATTACATTTTAAATGTTGAATTGTTTTTATAATTGTTTTAATTGTATTTTAGTAAGGAGACACTGAGGATCTTATTTTTACAGATATTATTGTTTCTTTTATATTACATGTTAAATGTTGAATTTTTTTATAATTGTTTTAATTGTATTTTAGTAAGGAGATGCTGAGGATCTTGTTTTTACAGATATTATTGTTTTTTTATATTACAGTTTAAATGTTGAATTGTTTTTATAATTGTTTTAATTGTATTTTGATATTTGTTATGGCATTGAATCGCTGCCGACTGTGAATCGCCTTGAGTCGCCTCTGGTTGAGAAAGGCAGTATACAAATGAGGTAAATAAATAATAATAAATAAATATTCTCATTTTAAATAATAGGACACCAACTTGCCTTTACTATGACAAAAATGGAAGCAGATTTCTGAGCTGGTTGGGTTTTTTCCCCCCATTCCAGAAACTGCCTGGAAGAAGGAAATTGTCCACTTACTTTACTATAGGCTTGAGCAGTTGGGGTTGCTCTGTTGTGTGGCTGCCTTCTAGTGGTAAAACAGAAGTAAAACAACTCCGGGTTGCGGTGAATTTTCCTGGCTGTATGGCCATATTCAAGAAGCATTCTGTCCTGATGTCTCACACACATCTATGGCACGCATCCTCAGAGGTTGTGAGGTCTCACAACCTCTGAGGATGCCTGCCATAGATGTAGGTGAAATGTCAGGAGAGAATGTTTCTGGAACATGGTCATACAGCCTGGAAAACTCACAGCAACTCAGTGATTCCTGCCATCAAAGCCTTAAACAACACATAAAACAACTCTGCTTTGTTTTGCTTTTTTAAGAGATTGGACATAGGATCAATAGTGGAGTTAGGAAGGAAGAAATGGTGACAGCAGACACCTTTTAACATGAATGTTAGCAGCTGGGTCTCTTCCCCAGGAAGAGGACAATGAATGGAGTTATGCAGAGAAAGGCATGCTTCTGGACTGTCAAACCCTAGCCAATATTTTCATGTGTTTTGTACTAGTGTAACTAGTAGCTATGGTACTGGAAGTATGGTCTCTAAATATGTTTAAGAAGGTACCTAGAATAATCTTATGCAACAGTTGTTTCACATATCCTAAAGGCAGCTGTAGTGAAATCTACCTTTTAGGCGACCAGGCCGAAGCCTGAATATCAGTAGCTTTCATCTTGAAAGGCAGGCAGAAGCATGAGGAGGAGTCAAGCCGACTCCTGATTGGGTAGAGCAATTAGGGGAGGAGTCGGTGGAGAGAGGGAAATAGGCTGTCAGCTTTTGACAGAGGGAGAAGTGTCTTAACATCAGACACAGAAGGATAGGATTTTAGGAGAGGAAGCTAAATAGGGTTCTGACAGGAAAGAAGAGTTTTTAAAGTGAGCCTTAAGGTTAGGGAATAAGGTTGAGACAGAGGCTAGGGTTTTACTGTGTTGAGAGGACCAGTAAAAGAGAGTTTTGTCTWATTAAACTTAGGAGAAGTTTAAGATATCTTATTGCCCTGTGTGTGAGACAGACAGGAGTCTGTTCTCTAAGAGATACTGTTTCTAAGAATAGAACAGTGTGTTTAAGGAAACTCACAGTTTTAAAAGCTRTATMGTCAGTAGAKCTAWCTGTTTAAWRCAACSAAGRCTCTACAACTGAATTACGCTTCTGTACCYCTCATTCTATGAGTAGATGTTTGTRTAAAGCTCAATAAAKCTTTTCTAGTTCACTTTTAGCTGGTGTAAGCCTCAGTCTGTCAAACCCTTTTAGAGTCCAGTTAGCCTGTGAAGAAGCAATAGAAGAACCAAGAGTAAACACACCTTACCTAAAACACATTCACACCTTTGGTTCCTCAGACCAATAAAGCTGAGGTGGTGGTGGCTAATACTACCAAGAACATRGGCAGRGGTGGGATTCTTTGTTCCCCCCTGCCCGGATATCCATTGATCTTACGTTATAGCAGCAAATAGCCACAGCATTGTCCAACTAATTCAATTGATTGTCTCCTCTTTGTTGCCTATGGTTCCATACAATTAAACTGGCAGAAATGTATGCTGAGTTGGCTTCAAGTTGGATGGCAGACCAACTTTTGAATCAGTGAGTATTTCCAGTTGCAAATGAGGTAGATTTACTTAAAACAGTCACAGAAGGCTTTACTCTATGGGCTCAACTGTTTCACAGATAGATACTTGACTTCCTGGGATCATTGTACTCCATACTTGGAACCCAGTAGAGCCTCCAGAGCCACACAGGCAGCAGCAGGCCAGGAAGGCAGGCCTTCTCCACCACATCCCAGGCTGCTGCACTTCCGGGGTCCCTGTCCTCCATGTCCTCCAGTGGACGTAAATATTTTATATTTTTAATTAATATTTTCAAAAACCCACGAAACAGTGAATTCACTAAAAGCGAACTGTGAAGCAGCGATGGAACACTGTATACACCTTGAAATTGCTAGGCCATTAAATGCTAATCAAGGAGGCCAATTGAAACATTCACACCTGCCTCAAACAGACAAGAGTTCCTTCTCCCACCCTGGACATTCCAGATATATAAACACCACTTGCCTAGTTTCCAACAGACCTCACTACCTCTGAGGATGCCTGCCATAGATGCAGGCAAAACATCAGTAGAGAATGCTTCTGCAACATGGCCATACAGCCCGGAAAACTCACAACAAACTGATGCTGCTATTGTCATTCTCATAGTTCTTCCAAAGCCACATATAGTTGGCTGCTGTGGTAACAAAATACTGGTCTAGGTAAGCTTTTGGTTTGATCCAGCACAGCTCTTCTTACACTTATTAATAATTTTTTCTGGGAAGTGTATTTTAATGGCCTCGCAGCCTAGTCTTTATGGGAAAACCAAATGGAGTGCCACAGTTTCAAATGTGTGATAATTATATTTAGGATGAAGTGAAAACAGTCCTTCCAGAGTGGGTGGTTAGAAGACCAGCTGATGCCAAACATCTCATGAAGATACCAAAGGGAGAGGCCCTGTCTCTTACCAGAGGAACTACAGGCATGGCATTTTCACGCAGCTTAGTTTTCACTCGCTTGGCAATAGACTGGATATATGGGAGACAAAATTCTGAAAATTGTTCCGGTCCCAGATGTCCAGCATGGGACTCAAAAAGCTGCAGAGCCTGCCAAGAAAAGAAAGGAGTCAGACTTACAATGTTATCTCTAGATAGTCCCTTCCATTACTGTCCTTTTACAAAGAAATAATGCTTTCCAATGTGACCTTTCTCTGCAGAAGAAAAAAAAACTCTATAAAATGATACAAAAGCTTTCAACAGTAATGAATTCTACATTTAAATTGTCTCAGGAGTACTATGCTATCATGTGACCTAAATATCCTGAATATAACTTCAAAGTCACTCAGCCAATATCACCAGTAAACAAATTAATGGAGTAGGTGCTAGGAATCACAGTCCAAAATAATAATATCTGCACTAAGATATCCTAGCATCTATTGCTTGACAAATTTGAACTGTTTTTCTGTACTAGTACAGCAAAGCTTTAGACTTACAGGTGGAATAACTTTCTTCTCTCACTCACCTGAGCACCTGCAGCCACCTGCCCTACCAGGTAATCCACAATCACATCAGCTAATAGTGTGAGCAGGCGATGGCTGGCTTCAGGATGACGGTACAGCCAGGCCTTGGCTTTGGCCATTGTGTTGGAGCCGCCACCTTCAATCATATAGGACATCAGTGTCCACTGGAAGGCAGATAAAAAGTAGGAAATGAAAGCAAATATGAAGACTCAGTGCCCCTCCACACCCAAGCCACTCTCAAAATCAGGACCGTTTATTTTTGATGCGACCCTCTCCTCTGACCAGATAACATGTTTATTGTGGAACCATGCTTCTCACACATGATAGATTTTACACAGACCAGTAACTTGAATAGTTTTAAATGATAATTCCTTTTAAAGAGGTCACCCAATCTCCACCATCACCAAAAGCATTAAGTATCCCAATATGTTCTCTTGCTCAGTCACTTCCCAATTTTAACAAGTGCAACCAGCTAAATGTAGGCATGTTATGGATTCTGAACCTTTTTAAAATACTTACGTGCATACAAAAAAGTTTTACAAACTTGGATTTTGTATCTACCACAAAATACCGTATATACTTGAGTATAAGCCAAGTTTTTCAGCCCTTTTTAAGGCTGAAAAAGCCCCCCTCAGCTTATACTCAAGTCAAAATTATTTAATATTTTTATTATTATTATTACATTTACTATTTTACTCTATTTATTCTTCTTATTATTATATTTACATTATTTTACTCTATTATTTTTATTACATTTATTATTTTACTCCATTTATTATTATTATTATTATTATTATTATTATTATTATTATTATTACATTTATTATTTTATTCTTTTTATTATTATTGGAAGGATACGTAAGCACATTTACATTGAAGAAGGTTGGAAAAATGGTATAATCAGAGTTGGCAGTCTTATCTTAAATTACAGTTTTATGTAAATATTCAAAAACATTTAACCTACTGATGCCTCAATTAATGTAATTTTATTGGTATCTATTTTTCTTTTGAAATTTGCCAGTAGCTGCTGTATTTCCCACTCTTAGCTTATACTCGAGTTAATATGTTTTCCCAGTTTTTCGTAGTAAAATTAGGTGCCTCGGCTTAACTCAGATTGACTTATACTCAAGTATATATGTTAGGTAGAGTCAACCAGAAGCTACTCATTCCATAAATATCAGCTTATAAAGTTGATGGCTGAGCAGCAGGTTGAGCACGGAGAGTGGGACAATTAAACTGGAAAAGGACAGTACAACCCCCACCCATGATTTCAGTCGCCCACATCTGAAAAAATATGTCGTCTCTACTATTTTTTTAGGTCATCCAAGTGATTCTATGGTTTACCTCTGCTGGAAGTTAGCATACAGTCATCCTAGAGAACCTAGAAAATTCCTAGAAGTCATTAATTTCAATAGGATCTATTATCTAGTCTCCTGTTTCCACAGTAAGCTGAGGAATGTACACCTCCATGAATATGGAGGTTATATTATACAAAATACAAGTATACTGTGGCACTGTCCTCTCTACAGGAGTACCTCTCAACCTTTTAATGTTCTAAATATTTTGTGATGGTGGTGGTACAGGCATCCTCAAACGACCCCCCCCCCCTCCAGCTGTTTGGACCTCCAACTCCCAGGATTCCTGAGCTTCTGGGACTTTTGGAAGTTGGCAGCCCAAAAACAGCTGGAGGCCCACAGTTTGAGAATGTCTATGCTAGTAGGACTTGGCTTTAACACAGTCAATCATGGTTCAGATAAAGTATAAAAGGAGGCTGCTGTAGTGTGAACAGAATATATCAAAAGGCAGCAGCTTGTCTCTGATGGAATTCAGACAGGGTTTGAATCTTAAGCCTGCAGGATGTTGAGCTGACACAGACAGGATTTCGAACTAATAGAGACAGAGTATTGGATTTGAGGAAGAAGGGAAAAGTACCTACGCTTTGAGGGAGGTTGAATAATAGAATATTGGAGGTTATTATATTTTTCCACCGAGTTTGAAACAGCTATTGGAATGGCTACTAGTATATGTCTTTGGACTGTGTGATTTTAAATAATTATTTTAAGTGATATGTTTTAATTATGTGTTTTTAAAGTATATGTTGTTTTATTTTATATGTATTCAAAGCATCAAATTGTGCCTTTGCTGTGAGCCACCCTGAGTCCCCTTCAGGATGAGAAGAGTTGAGACAGAAATGGGGTAAACAAATAAATAAATAATATTGTTGTCACTTTATACCTACCTCTGCTTCTTTGGAGTCAGGCCACATACACAAAAACTAAAGGACTCACATAGCACAGCCATAAATCCACATTTAAGGGCCTCAATAACCCGATTCAGCAAGAGAATAATGGGGGAAACAAGGTCAGGCGAGTGGCAGAATTGCCAGGGGTTGGAGCTCTGGAGCCAAACTGTGCAAAGGGAATAATCCCACCTCTGGTGGGGTAACCATTGAAAACTACTTCCCTAAAAAGTTCATCCACCACTACAGAGCAATCCAATGCAGAATCCACTTTGCCTCAGGTAGCCTTCCTTCAGCACAGCAGCATTTACCAGGCATTTATCAAGATTCAGAGGAACAGTTAGTCCCCTTTATCTATGGGTTCTGCATTCATGGAGTCAACCAATCACTGCTCGAAAATATTTTTAAAACTTTCCAAAAAGTGAACTTTAACTTTGCCATGCACCAAGAACTTCGCTGATGTCTAGGCATTCCTTGCTATAGCTTTCCGGCATTTCACTGATCCCTAGGGTGTCTAGCACTCCTTTGAGTAGCCATTTTATACAAGGGATAGCATTAATTTGACCACTGTATACTGTGGGACTTGAGCACCCATGGATTTGGGTATCTACGGGGAGTTCTGGAACCAAGCCCTAGTGGATACTGAGACTCACTGTATACATTCCCAAACAATTGGCACTTACTGGAGCGCCAGAGAAGCCAATCAGAGGCACCTTCCCTTCCAATCTGTGCCGTGTTAATGTGATGGCCTGGAAGACATAGCCCAGTTCTGCTGCCACGTCCACTTTCTGGCGAAGCTTCAGTAGGTCCTCCACACCTTTCAATGGCTCAGGGAAGGTGGGCCCTTTGCCGGGCACCATCACCACTTCCATGCCCAATGCCTGGAAACAAAGTAAGATGTGATAAGATACGACTTTTCCAGAATGTGTCACATGTGTAAGGACCACCATCACCAAGGACTTGTTTAAGCAACATACCTGTCACTCCAGCATCTCTTACCTGAGGCACCACCAAGATGTCTGAGAAAATGATGGCAGCATCAAGAGGAAAACGTCGCAAAGGCTGAAAAGAAAGACAACACAACACACAACAATGAGGGACTTTGTTAGAACTTGAATAGGAAACTACTAAGGAATATCAGGTGCAGTAGGCAGTATTTCAAAGGAAGGCAAATTGTAACCACCTGAGTATTTTTTGCCTATGAATTGAAATTCTTAGGTTAAGAGATAACTTGAAGATACATGTTTTATTTTTTTCCAAGTCAAGTCAGAGGTCATTAAAGTCAAAACAGAATAAGACTTTTCTTTCATGTCAGGAGTGACTAGAGAAACTGCAAGTTGCTTCTGGTGTGAGAGAATTGGCAGTCTGCAAGGATGTTGCCCAGGGGATGCCCGGATGTTTTACCATCCTGTAGGAGGCTTCTCTTATATCCCCACATGGGAAGCTGGAGCTGACAGATGGGAGGTCACCCCACTCCCTGAATTCGAACCGCTGACCTTTCAGTCAGCAGTCCTGCCAGCACAAGGGTTTAACTCACTGCGCCACCGGGGGCTTCAGAAGACAACAAATTTAGGAGAAAATAAATGGCAGATTTAAAAATGAACTCTTTAAAAGAGTCTAACGTAATGTTTATAGCTATACTGTCAAACAGACAATGAACACCAGAAAAAGTATTGACAGGTAGCATAACAAAGTGAGAGGAAACAGAAGGAAACTTTGTATAAACACAATATTAAAAAGCAGGTGGAAGAAATCTTAATGCTGTCAGCATTGCATAAAAATGCCTCACAGGCAAACAAAAAGGAACATTAAGATATTAATAAATGTTTCAAAGAGTAAGACAACACTGTTTTGGAAAAAGATTAATAAACATTACTAAAACGGAAATATCTGAAATGATGTTTTAATACAGGAACATTAATAAAATACATGGAAGCGCTAGAATAACAAAGGTGAGGAAATGTCAAAAGTGAAGAAGGGAATCTATCCAAAACGCACACACATTAGAGCAGAATAAGAAAGTGTGAGAGAAGTATGAAACGAAAGCACACTGTACATATGTGACTTCTTTGAGCAGAAACAAACAATGGGGTGGAAGATGATGATGATGATGATGATAATAATAATAATAATAATAATAATATACTTTATTTATATTCTGCCATATCTCCTCAGGGGAACTCAGGGTGGATTACAGTACACATATACGGCAAACATTCCATTATAGAGTTAACAAAGACAGACATTACAAAAACAGGGGTAGTGGCTTCCCATCATTTTCCATCTCCGGTATCTGGAGGCTGTGCTTGACTCCAGTCACAGGGAGGGGCTGTCACTCCATCTTCCATGCCGAGGGGCTTTGTTGCTCTTAGACGTTCTCCCGATCAAATTGCTGGCATGTCCACATGGGTGCCTTTTATTATCTCCCCACCAAAGCAGTACCTATTTATGTACTCACATTGCTGTTTTTTTCAAACTGCTAGATGAGCAGAAGCTGAGCTGACAGCAGGAGCTCACCCCAACCCGGACTTGAACTGTTGACCTTTTGATTGGCAAGATTTTCTGCAGCTGGTGCTTTAACCCACTGTGCTAAAACCCAGATCAGTGCATCTGGGTGCGTATCTACACTTAGAATTAATGCAGTTTGACACCAGTTGTAATTTTACATGGTCTTAGGTTTCTCGACCAAAGAGTGCTGGTGCCTCACCGAAGTACAGTTACCAGGATTCCATAGCATTGAGCCATGGCTGTTAAAGTGGTGTCAAACTGCATTAATTCTATAGTGTAGCCTGGGTTTTATGCCTTTCTGTGTTTATTACATACACACTCAATCAAGAACCAATTGGCCCAGTTCTCATCATTATGACTAGCTCCCTATTGTCTGAATAATTTCAGAAGCATGGAATAAGTATGGAAATGCAGTGACATCCCTCACTTTCTTTTTAAATATAGGAATAAATGTTGTCGTGTTCCTTTCATTCCCCCAACAATTTTTCTCCCTATGCCTAGTCGTGGGTTAGTCATGTTCTACAAGATATATATCCTTTTTCTCCCATGTAATAATTTTCTATGGCACTGTAATTTAATTTGCAGTTCAAATGTACAGGCTGGTGTTGGAAGCTGATCAAAACACTTGCAATGTGTGTTTCTTAACACTGAATTTTTGGGGAAAAGATACACAATAAGAACTGTCTGATTTTATTATGCTGCTTTATATTGTTGATTTTATTCATTATTTCATTTTTATGATGTATTTTGTTATTGTGTGTCTATTATGTTGTATTATTTTGGGCCTGGCCTCATGTTAGCTGCCCCGAGTCCCTTTTGGGGACATGGTGGTGGGTTATAAAGATTATTATTATTATTATTATTATTATTATTATTATTAAGCACATTTACCTAAAGTATGCATCATGAACTTCTATCTCTACCCAAAGGTAATTATAGCACAAATTTCCCTAGGGTGACAGAATAAAAACGTTCTTCTCCCATCCACAATATTTATTCACAGGACATACCTATCTCTAGTCATTGGCTGAACAGCAGAAATCATTCTTATGTCTAACAGGTAGATGTGGACAAATATACCATCCTGCTCACCTGCAAAGTGAGTTCACAACATGTCTCTGGTGACCGACAAGTTGCAAAGAAATCCTGAGCAGCTCGGGTTTCACGGAACTCTGCAAAAAGGCCAGAAAGTTGAGAAAAAGTGGAAAGAATGTCCCTCAAAGGGCATTAAATCCTAGAGGAGAAGGGCCTCAAAGGCAGGAAAAGGCTAGCTAGGTCAGTAACAGACATCTCATAAGAGAAACACTCAAAAGCATTTTTTTTTTCATGTCAGGAGTGACTTGAGAAACTGCACATTGTTTCTGGTGTGAGAAAATTGGCCATCTGAAAAGACGTTGCCCAGGGGACACCCAGGTGTTTTACCATCCTGTGGGAGGCTTCTCGCATGAGAAGCTGGAGCTAACATATGGGAGCTCACCTTGCTTCCCAGATTCGAACCGTCCTGCCAGCACAAGGATTTAACCCATTGAATCACCGGGGGTTCCACTAGTCAAGTTTCTGAAGTGTAAAGATATATCAATAAATGAAAAAATTAGGATGGTCCATGCCATGCTATGGAGCCCCTGGTGGCACAGTGGATTAAACCGCTGAGCTACTGAACTTGCTGATCAAAAGGTTGCAGGTTTGAATCTGGGGAGTGGGGTGAGCTCCCGCAGTTAGCCCCAGCTTCTGCCAACCTAGCAGTTTGAAAACATACAAATGTCAGTAGATTAATAGGTACTACTCTGGCGGGAAGGTAACAGTGCTCCATGCAGTCATGCTGGCTATAAGATCTTGGAGGTGTCTATGGACAACACCGGCTCTTTAGCTTAGAAATAGAGATGAGCACCATCCCTAAAGTCAGACACGACTGGACTTAATATCAGGGGGAAACCTTTACCTTTACTATGTCATGCTATTTCCATGTATGGTTGTGAAAGCTGGACAGTGAAGACAGCTGACTGGACGAGAATCAACTCATTTGAAATGTGGTACATGAGAAGAGTTTTATAGATACTGTGGAGTGCCAAAGGACAAATAAATTGGTCTTAGATCAAATAAAGCCTGAAGCCAAGAAGTCAATGTAACTAATTTGAGTTTGTCATGCTTAGGACATATCATGAGAAAACATGATTCACGAGAAAAGATAATAATTCTTGGTAAGATGGAAAGCTGTAGGAACCAAGGAAAACTGTATTCCAGATGGATGGACTCAATCAAAAAGTCACAGCCCTGCAAGGTCCGGGCATGGCTGAAGGTGATAGAGGGGTCACTATAAATCAAAGTCAACTTGTTGACTCTTCTTATATTCTAATACTTTCCAGATAGATTTTAAATTTCTTCCATACTAATTTTGAAGCCAAATAATAAGAGTGAACAATGTACTTTTAGGTTCTGACATGAGGACATATTTCTCCTTCCTCACAAACAATTTTCTGAAAAATATCATCACAGGTTTTATGGTTGATGCACCTCACTGGGACAAATAATGGCATGAACAACCCTAAGAACAGGCACTAAGAACACTGCCTAAGATCAGAAGGAATAGCTTTTTAGAGACTATTGAGCCAGAATGGCGAGGGATGATGGGAGCTGTGTTCCCTGTCTAGACGACCACAGGTTTTTTGCACTTCCCTAAAGCTTCATCCACCCAATAATTTCACTTACCTGGGAGGTACCTTCCTGCCTGTCTCATGCACCAAACTGGGGTGTATTCTGTCTCTTCCCCTCGTGCTGCGCGGAGGAAAGAATCATTCTTAAGTTCGGGGAATCCTGTGGGTCTAATTAAGAAAAGCAGAGAGTTAGCACAAAGCGGATGAGGAAGAACCATGTTAAGACTCATAGTTAAGACTCATAGTTAAGAACAGGGGTGAAACAACAAGAAGTGAGAAAAATCCACCCATAGGAAGGAAAATTCACTTTTGAAAGAGTTATCCTGGGGAAAAGGGGTCTCCACTGAAGCTGTATCTCCCATCTTTGTTTCCACAAGAAGCTATATTTTTCAAAATCCAATTGTCACAGCAGGTGAAATTTTCTGAACAGAGGCACAGATAGAAAAACAAACAATGGAGGGGTGTTAACCCTTCCCCATGCTATCCAAAGCTCTCTCTCTGTGTGTGTGTGTATGTATAGAGGGGGGAGAGAGGGAGGGGTTGGAGGTACATTTAAAATGTATCTGTTCCAACTTACATAAAAGTTCAACTTAAGAACATGTCTACAAAATTGATCTTGTTCATGACTTGGGAACTGCCTGTATCTCTCTTTGTGGGTGCATCTATGCTGAAGAATCAATGCAGCTAGACCTCACTTGAATTGCCATGGCCCAATGCTATGGAAGTTTTACTTGGCTTTTAGCCTTCTCTGCCTAAGAGTGCTGGAGTGTCATCAAACTATAACTCTCAAAAGTCCGCAACATTAAGCCATGGCAGTTCAAGTTGGGAAGGAAAGGTCTTTGGCTGATTCACAAATACTTTTTATGATTTTCAAAATTAATCCCTGCTTTTTAAATTATGATCTTCAGATTAATCTCTGTTTTTACTCCTAGACCATGAATTCTGCATGTGATACCCATTCACTGGGCACTAGGGTTGAATCCACACTGTAGAATTAATGCAGTTTGATACCATTTTAACGTGGATCAATATTATGGAGATTAAGATCATCTGGGGAGGCCCTGCTCTCAGTCCTGCCTTCTTCACAAGTGCAATTGTTGGGAATGAGAAACAGGGCCTTCTCAGTGGTGGCCCCTCAGCTGTGGAACTCCCTCTCTAGTGACATCAGATCAGCTCCTTCCCTCCTCCCTTCAGAAGGAAAATAAAAACCTTGATCTTGGACCAGGCTTTTGGAGACTAGTGTACTGCAATATAAATTGGATTATGTGCAATGATTATGGAATCGGCCTTGGACAACGATCTTTGGATGGTGTGATATTAATACGCAATGTAATTTTTTAAAAATGCTTCATTTGTATTAATTTTAACTCAACTGATTTTAAGTTTTTAATATCTGTATGTGCTGCAAAACATTGAATAAATGCCACATGTAAGCCGCCTTGAGTCCCCTTCAGGGTAGAGAAAGGTGAGATATAAATAGAGTAAATAAATAATAATAAATAAATAGAATCTTGGAAGTTGCTTTACAATTTCTTTCACCTTTCTGCCAAGGAGTGCTGGTGCTTCAGCAAACTACAACTCCCAGGATTCCTTAGCATTGAACCATGACAGTTAAAGTGGTGTAAACCTGCATTAATTACACAGTGTAATTTGCATGCACCCAATGTCACATGCAAAGAAGTTCAAAACTGAAGGTGCTTTCCATCTTAAGAACAGACAGGCATCTCGAGCTCTGAAGATTACCTGGAAAGGAATCCCACTGGAGCATTGCGGCACACCCAAATACCTGGGAATTACCCTAGAAGGACCAAGGCATTGACATCTCCGGCCCATCCCCTGTTTGGATATCAACCAGCATGCCAACACCTTAAATCAAGAAATAGTTTTCTAAGATCCATAGAGATACTCGCAGGAACACCTCAGCACGCGAGAGTCCAAAAGTGGCAGGCTAAAACATGGAACCTGTATCCATGGCTGATACCAAATGAGAGACTCCCTCCTGGGCACACAGAAGGCTGATTAACTTGGAAGTTGCTGAAGGGACTGCGCTCTGGCACCACAAGATGCAGAGCCAGCCTTAAGAAATGGGACCACAATGTGGAGTCCACGACATGCGAGTGTGCAGAAGAGCAAACCACATATTACAATGCAGTCTGAGCCCTACCGCATGCACAGTGGAGGACCTTCTTATAGTGACACCAAAGGCACTCTAAGCAGCCAGCTACTGGCCAAAAGACATTTAATTTAATGCCAAGTTTTAAAACTTTGTATTTTTAATACATTACAACTGTACCCTTGGTGCGCTCCTGATACGATAAAATAAATAAATCCATAATATTATTCAGTATAATTAGAACCTGTCAACAATTACTATATTTACATATGGGTTCCATTCTTGTCTGAATGACACATTGTGCTTTGCCAAAGGTAAAAATGGATTAGCTTTTCCATTTTTTTCTTTGAAAACAACAGGCGAGGAAAACCCACAGAGGCCCAGCCCATGAATGGTCACTGATATAAAATTATCAGTAAACAACAGAACAGTTTCCCTGCATGATCGTAGGACAACAAAGCGCTCGTGGGGTTCCTTGAGGAAGGGTTGCTTGAGCCAGAAGGTTGCAGTATTTGCAATCTAAAGTAAATTATTAATAAATATTGGTTCCTGTAGTTCTTGGGTTTTTTTCATTCTTGGATGGGTTTCTTTTTAATTTCAGAACATACCAGGATATTCTTTTCTCTTCTTGTTGTCACTTTCTTTACAATCGCCATGCTATAGTGCAGGTGTAGGCAAACCTGGGCACTCCGGGTATTTTGAACTTCAACTCCCACCATTCCTAACAACTTCAGGACCTTTCCTTTCCCCCCTCAGCCACTTAAGTGGCTGAGGGAGGAAAGGAAAGGGCCCGAGATTCTTAGGAATAGTGGGAGGTGAAGTTCAAAACATCTGGAGGGCCCAAGTTTGCCTAGGCCTGCTATAGTGCATCAATGAAATGGTACTGTAGCACTACACTTTGCACTATGTTTCTCTAGTCATGTCCGAACCTGGGGGTGGTGCTCATCTCCATTTCTAAGCTGAAGAGCTGGCGTTGTCAGTAGACACCTCCAAAGTCATGTGGCCAGCATGACTGCAGGGAGAGCTGTTACCTTCCCATAGAAGCAGTACCTATTGATCTACTCACATTTGCATATTTTTGAACTACTAGGTTGGCAGAAGCTGGGGCTAACAACAGGAGCTCACCCTGCTCCCCAGATTCAAACTGCCAACCTTTCAGTCAGCAAGTTCAGCAGTTTCACCTGCTGCACTACCAGAGGGCCCTATCTTTCTCTAATGCATTTAAAATGGGTTGCTGTGAGTCTTCCAGGCTGTATGGCCATGTTCCAGAAACACTGCCCACATCTATGGCAGGCATCCTCAGAAGGTGAGGGATCTGTTGGAAAATAAGTGAGGTTTATATATCTGTGGAATATCCAAGGTCTTAGTTTTCAACAGACCCCCACAACCTCAGAGGATGCCTGCCATAGATGTGGGCGAAACATCAGGAGAGAATGCTTCTGGAACATGGCCAGAAGCTTGGAAGACTCACAGCAACCCATTGATTCCGGCAATGAAAACCTGCATTTAAATTGTTAGTATTCAGGGAGGAGGAAATTTACTCTTCCAACTAGAGGACTACATTATGTCACCGGGTGCATCTAAATGACAGAATTAATGCAGTTCAATTCTACTTTGAGTACCATGGGACTTGTAATCTTCCAATTTGCTGCAGAACTATGGGAATTGCAATTTGCAAAACTACAAGTCCTATAGTTCTGCAGCACTGAGCCATGGCGGTTGAAGTGGTGTCAAACTGCATTTATTAGACAATGCAAATGCATCCTTGGTGGAGCCCCCGAGAAACTGCATAGCACCAGACCAAGTATCTGTTATCTCTCTCAGACCTGCTTACTAAGACTATCATTGTGGAAGAAATGTATTGGTAAGATAAACACACCAAGGAGCTTAAAGTGCTAAAAACAGTTTAATTCTCTGTATGGCCACTATCCTGTGTATCCTTTGTATGGTCACAGTTTCACTGGTCTGCGTTTACTCCCAGGAAAGTGGGCATGAGATTTCAGTCCAAACAGTCCTCGATTTAGACAGAACCCTTCAAAGTCTTTAAACAATTCCCTTCAAATAGACAGCAAGTCTATCCAACTCCTGTGCCACCTATCGGCATGCTTCCATTCCTATATACAATGTCTCTTCTGCCTTTAATAACATGCAGTAACAATGCTCAAGTGGACAAAGCAAGAGATTGATATGACTACTTCCCTATGTTGACAAACAGAAAGTACACAATTGTTAAATATTTCCCTAAATAATAACGGGTACTGTAAATATGGAGCCTCCAGTGTGGCAGCGGGTTAAATCGCCAAGCTGCTGAACTTGCTGATCGAAAGGTCAGGAGTTTTAATCTGGGGAGCAGTGAGCTCCCGCTGTTAGCCCCAGTTTCTGCCAGCCTAGCAGTTTGAAATCATACAAATGTGAGTAGATCAATAGGTACTGCTCCGGTGGGAAGGTAATGGTGCTAATACAGCCTTGCCGACTATGCAATTGCTTGGGCTCCCTGGTGGCACAGCAGGTTAGACTGCTGACCTGCTGAACTTGCTAATCGAAAGGCTGGTGGTTTGAATCTGGGGAGCAGGGTGAGCTCCCGATTTTAGCCCCAGCTTCTGCCAACCTAGCAGTTCAAAAACATGCAAATATGAGTAGATCAATAGGTACCACTCCAGTAGGAAGGCAATGGCGCTAATGCAGCCTTGCCGATTATGCAATTGCTTGGGCCCCTGGTGGCATAGCGGGTTAAAATGCTGAGCTGCTGAACTTGCTGACTGAAAGGTTGGCAGTTCAAATCCGGGGAGCAGGGTGAGCTCCCACTGTTAGCCACCGCTTCTGCTATGTAGCAGTTCGAAAACATGCAAAAATGTGTAGATCAATAGGTACTGCTGCTGCAGGAAGGTAACGGCCCTCTATGCTGCCATGCTGGCCACATGACCTTGGAGGTGTCTATGGACAACGCCGGCTCTTCGCTTTAGAAAATGATGAGCACCATCCCCCAGAGTTGGACACGAATAGACTTAATGTCGAGGGAAAACCTTTACCTTTACTGTAAACTAGCTAACATCAAGTTGCATCTACTCTGATAGTTTCCCCTTAGATTTAAATACTTTTTAAATTTAAATGATTGATTTGAAAGTACTGGTGTCTTGCTGGAAGTTGGTCCCATGATCCAAACTCTGTGGATCAATTATACCAAATGATATAATTGATCTAATCATATCCATTAGCCCCAGCTTCTGCCAACCTAGTAGTTCGAAATGATATCCCTTATATAAAATGGCAAAAGCCAGGGTTTGCTCAAGACCTGGTCAAATTACAGCTCTCATGACAGCTTAAGTGGAATCAAGGTGCATCATTTCTACAGTGCAGATGCACCCATTGCACTCTCTCTCACTCTCATGCTCTCTCCCACTTCCTGCTACTCACSCAACCGGCCCGTTCTTCTCCATTCTCTCTGTCCCTCTCCTGCCAGGGCAGTGGCTCCGCCCACAACAGGGAGGGAGGGAGGGAGGGAGGGAGGGAAACTCCGCTAGCCCCGCCCCTTTTCCGGGTTCCTTCCTGGTCCCTTCTGATTGGTTCTTGGAGGGCCCACCCCCTTRCCCCACTTTGGGTGGAGAAAACAGAAGAGCATTACCGTAGTGCACGTTGTAGCGAACCTTTCCAGAGAGAGAGAGAGAGAGAGAGAGAGAGAGAGAGAGAGAAGGGGTCTGGCCAAAAGAAAGGTCTCGAGGGCTATCCCGCTGGGATTTGAAGGAAAGCCATAAAGCAGGCACCCTCAAACCGCGGCCCTCCAGCTGTTTGGGCCTCCAACTCCCAGAATTCCTGAGCTCTGGACAAGCAGGCTAGGGATTCTGGAAGTTGGAGGCCCAAACAGCTGGAGGGCCGCGGTTTGAGGGTGCCTGCCACAAAGACTATATATCCTGTTGAATTAATGGTACTGTATCATGGATCAAAGCTATGAAATCCTGGGAGTTGCAGTTGTATAAAGTCTTAAGTGTCTCGCCAAATTACAGCAATAGTATTGGGTCATGTCATTTCAATTGCATTGATTCTATGCAGGCCTGGGCACACTTGGGCCCTCCGGATGTTTTGGACTTCAACTCCCACAATCCCTAACAGCCAGTAGGATTTTTTTTCATGTCAGGAGCAACTTGAGAAACTGCAAGTCGCTCCTGACACACAAAAAAAATATGGTGAGAGAGAATTGACCATCTGCAAGGATGTTGCCCAGGGGACGTCCGGATGTTTTTTGATGTTTTGCCATCCTTGTGGGAGGCTTCTCTCATGTCCCCGCAAGGGGAGCCGGAGCTGACAGAGGAAGCTCATCCACGCTCTCCCTGTATACAAACCTGCAACCTATCAGTCTTCAGTCCTGTCCATTTCATTAACTGGACTTTAGTCTCCACATCATAGTGATGGACCCAGCTTTCATTCTGTGTGATCAGTCTGTTGAAAAAGTCCTCCTGGTTTCCATGGCACATTGTCAATAGAGCCTGAGAGCATTCGACTGGTTTCTGCTTCTGGAAAAGTGTGAGCAGCCAGGGATCCAGTGAACGGATACCTTATGCATGTGAAGATGGTCTTGGATGATCTTTTCCATGGACCCTACGCTAATCTTGACATTTTGGGCCAGGTGGCAAATGGTTATGTAGTAATGTATTGTCGAAGTCTTTCATGGCTGGAATCATGGGTTATGTAGTAACTGGGTTATGTAGTAATTTTCCAAAATGGTGACCTCCACTTGCTGCATGGTGTGTTCATCAATACCAGAGTGCGTTCACCCTGGAATTGGAGCTGTTTGCACCAAAGTCTGACCACATTTGAATTGATGATGCCAGTTCTTGACTCCATCATATGATGGGGAATCATCACCATAAACCTCTTTCATCTCACCAAACATGTTCTTTGAATGCAATTTTCCTGCTTCTTGGCAGGGGGTTGGATTGGATGGCCCATGAGGTCTCTTCCAACTCAATGATTCTATGATTCTATGTGTGCGGCCTTTCAAGTAAAGGGTTAGAAGGCATGATCATCAAGTTTGTAGACGACACCAAATTGGGAGGGATAGCCAATACTCTAGAGGACAGGAGCAGGATTCAAAACGATCTTAACAGATTAGAGAGATGGGTCAATACTAACAAAATGAAGTTCAACAGGGACAAATGGAAGATACTCCACTTAGGCAGAAAAAATGAAATGCAAAGATACGGAATGGGGGACGCCTGGCTCGAGGGCAGTACATGTGAAAAAGATCTTGGAGTCCTCGTAGACAACAAGTTAAACATGAGCCAACAATGTGATGCGGCGGCAGGAAGCCAACGGGATTTTGGCCTGCATCAATAGGAGTCTAGTGTCTAGATCCAGGGAAGTCAAGCTACCCCTCTATTCTGCCTCAGACCACACCTGGAATATTGTGTCCAATTCTGAGCACTACAATTGGAGAGATATTGACAAGCTAGAATGTGTCCAGAGGAGAGCGACTAAAATTATCAAGGGTCTGGAGAACAAGATCTATGAGGAGTGGCTTAAAGACCTGGGCATGTTTAGCCTAAAGAAGAGATGGCTGAGAGGAGATATGATAGCCATGTATAAATATGTGAGAGGAAGCCACAGGGAGGAGGGAGCAAGCTTGTTTTCTGCTGCCCCGGAGACTAGGACACAGGGCAATGCCTTCCAACAACAGGAAAAGAGATTCCACCTGAACATGAAGAAGAACTTCCTGACTGTGAGAACCGTTCAGCAGTGGAGCTCTCCACCCCAGAGGGTGGTGGAGGCTCCTTCTTTGAAGGCTTTTAAGCAGAGGCTGGATGGCCATCTGTTGGGGGTGCTTTGAATGTGATTTTCCTGCTTCTTGGCAGGGGGTTGGACTGGATGGCCCAAGAGGTCTCTTCCAACTCTAGGATTCTATGATTCTAAAGGAACTGGATGACTGCTCTGTATTCCACTGGGTCCATTATCAAACCTCACGCCACTTCAGCACCTGTCAAATCAAGACCGTTATCAGTTCAGAGTTGAAAATTGGCACATAACCTATAGAGACTTATATCAATACACATGCACAGTTTCAGCATCCTGTGATAAATAGAAGTGGGCCAGGGGAAATCTTTTATGAATGCCCCTGGTATGTGCAAGCAGGGAGTGTGCAAGATAACTAGGGAGGAGAAGGCTAGTGTTGTGATCAGCTTTGGGCACTTCTGTGTCTTGCCTCCCGCGCGGATAGCGGGTGCTTTACGGTAGGCTGCCAAGCCGGCGGGCGGGCGGGCGCTTCGACCAGGAAGCCCAGCCAGCCATCCGCCTGCTGCCCTGGCGGAAGTGCCCGAAGGGATCCCCCTTGGAGGCTGCTGCTACTGCTGCTGCGATGCTGCTTCCCCCGGGGGGCGAGTCTCCGCACCAGCTGCTGGGCCGGCTGCGCTTCCTGAGCGAGGCGGTGGAGTGCTTTCGCCGGGCGGAGCCGCTCCCGCCCGCGCTGTGCTTCGTGCCCCGGGAGGTGCAGTACAAGCTCTGCAAGGACGCCAGCGGGCCGGGCCTCTCCGGGGCGCTGAGCCGGAGCCTCCTCTCCGTCTGGGACAGCCCCGGCGGCGGAGGAGGCGGAGGCAAGGCCGGGAAGGGAGGCGCCCTCGGACGGGGCGCTATAGAGCTCCGCAAGGGCTCCTGCCTCCGGGCCAGCGGCGAGGAGCACTGCAACGGGCAGGGCCTGTGGGTGAAGCTCACCAGGGTGAGTCAGGGAGGGAGGGAGGGAGTGTCCCCCGGGAAAGGAAGCTAGAATGCACTCTGCACATGCTCAGGGTCTTGGGTGCATCTATGTTGGAGAACGGATGCCCCTTGAAACGGACCGTGATTGCTGAGTCACAAGCATTCCCTGAACGAAGTAGGAATGCACTTTGCTCATGCTCAGAGGCAATTGTGTCCCACCTTAAGTGCTGTAGAATGAATGCAGCCCGACACTACTTTGATTGCTGATTCACAAGCATTTCCTGAACGAAATAGGGAAGCATTTCGTGAACGAAATAGGAATGCACTTTGCACATGCTCAGAGGCATTTGTGGCCCACCTTAAGTGCATCCCTGTTGTCGAATGAATGTAGCCTTATATCACTTTGATTGCTGTTTCACAAGCATTCCCTGAACAAAATAGGGATGCACTTTGCACGTGCTCAGAGGCATTTGTGTCCCACCTTGAGTGCATCTGTGCTGTAGAATGAATGTGGCCTGACACTACTTCGATTGCTAATTCACAAGCATTTCCTGATCGAAGTCGGGATGCATTTTGCACATGCTCAGAGACATTTGTTCGGAAACTTCAATTAGTTCAACGGGCGGCGGCTAGATTACTCACCGGAGTGTCATACAGGGAGCACACCACCCCCCTGTTATGTCAGCTCCACTGGCTGCCGATCCAGTTCCGAGCACAATTCAAAGTGCTGGTTTTGACCTACAAAACCCTTTACGGCTCCGGCCCAGCGTACCTGTCCGAACGTATCTCCTTCTACGTCCCACCTCGGAGTTTAAGATCTTCTGGGGAGGCCCTGCTCTCAGCCCCACCTTTATCACAAGTGAGACTGGTGGGGACGAGGGACAGGGCCTTCTCGGTGGTGGCCCCTCACCTGTGGAATGCACTCCCCGGGGAAATTAGGTCATCAACATCCCTCCTCTCCTTCAGGAGGAAGTTAAAAACCTGGATTTGGGACCAGGCCTTCGGGTAAGCTGGCAGATGGACAAAAGACAATGACGACCAGAGTAGGAAAGGACAATGACAATGCTGGATGGATTATGGATTTATAAATCGGCGAACATTGACCACAAAATGATTTTATTGCTGTTATTGTATTGATTTGATTGTTTTAACTAGTAATAACTGTTGATGTTAAATTGTAAATTGTATATTGTATTTTGTGAATTGTTGGGCATCGAATTGTGCCTTTTGTAAGCTGCCCTGAGTCCCCCCTAGGGGGTTGGGGGGGGGGGGTAGAAGCACTCCAAATAAATAAATAAATTAGTGTCCCACCTTAAGTGCATCCCTGTTGTAGAATGATTGCATCCTGACACCCCTTCGATTGCTGATCAACAGCATTCCCTGAACGAAATAGGAATGCACTTTGCACAAGCTCAGAGGCAATTGGGTCCCACCTTGAGTGCATCCCTGCTGTAGAATGAATGCAGCCTGACACCACTTTGATTGTTGTTTCAAAAGTATTTCCTGAACAAAGTAGGGATACACTTTGCACATGCTCAGAGACACCCTGATTTTTGTTACATCATTGGGTGCATCTATGCTATACAGCGAATTCTGCTTGTTATTAATTGAAAATGTACCTTGACTGCTGAATCACAAACATTTGCTGGAGGAAGTTCAAATGCACTTTGCACATGCTTGGAGACACTTTGGTGTTTTGTACGACCTTGAATGCCTCTATGTTAGCAAACTTTGGCCCTCCAGGTGTTTTGGACTTCAGCTCCCACAATTCCTAACAGCCTCCTGGGTGGGAGTTTGCCCATGCCTGCTATAGAACAAATGCTGCTTGATACTAGTTGAAAATGTACCTTGACTACAGATTCACAAGTGTTTCCTGAAGGAAGTTGAAATGCACTTTGCACTTTGGTTTTTTTTTTATGACCTTGAGTGCCTCTATGCCTCTATGTCAAACTTCAGCCCGCCAGGATTTTTGGATTTCAACTCCCACAATTCCTAATAGCCAGGAAAGGGTAATAATAATAATAATAATAATAATAATAATAATAATAATAATTTTATTTGTACCCCGCTACCATCTCCCCAAGGGACTCGGTGCAGCTTACATTAAAGGGATTTCTGGGAGTTGAAGTCCAAATTACCTGAAGGGCCGAATTATGCCCACATCTGCTGTAGAATTAATGTAGTCTGAGCATGTGCAAAGTGCACTCCTACTTTGTTGAGGAAATGCTTGTGAATCGGCAATTGAAGTTGTGTCTCACAGTTCTCTCATCCTGGGTACCCATATCTTCCAATAACCAAGCAAAGCAATAATGTGACCCACAGGGTCTTGTGAAATGCTGATAATGTTTGAAATATGTCTCTGAGTGATATAACAATTGTCCTGAATTAATCTGTCAACCTTTTGCTTGTGAAACTCGGTGGTTGCTGTCACAGGATGTCCAACTCTTTGTCATGCAAGTCAGATGTTCCCACCTCAACATCTTTAAACTTATTCACCCAACGACGCACAGTACTCACATCAACACAATCACCATAAACAGCTTTCAGTCTCTGATGAATCTCCTTTGGGGTGACACCTTCTGCTGTCAAGAAGTCAATGATTGCATGTTGCTTAAGTCACGCAGGGTTCCATACTTTGCACTTTAACAACACAACTGTTCAATGCTAAGGCTTCCTGCCAAAATGGAGCTGTAGAGGAGAGTCTACTGAACAAGCCAGTACCTGCTGCATACCAGTACTGCCATCTGTTGAGGAGTTACGAAGGTGGAGGCATTACTTTTCATTCAATCTGCGTAAATCAATTCTACTCAAAGGAGCTGTTAATAAACCAGTGCTGGTCTACAGCGAGTTTCCATGAAAGAAATAAACATTTGTAGTCACAAATATGGTGCCAGTCCATATCTTACACCGTAGTTATGCCCAGAAATATTTCATTGTGTTTCTGCTGATGCTTGTTTTACAAAGCTCAGGCTTCGTACCAACTACCTGACTTGTATTCTCTCTTTGTAGGAGCAGCTTGAGGAATATAAAACTGGCTGTGACTTGGACGAAGGCTGGATCCTCATGTGCAAACATGCCGATGGTGGAGATAGACTGGTGCCAGTTGAATCCACAGAGAGAATTCAGCGGCAGCAGCAGCTTTTTGGGATAGACTATAAACCTGTGATCAGGTATAAGATGTCAAGCCTTTGGGTGGGTTTTAGGTGGACCATTGGGTGTGAAGGTGAAAGTAAACATTGTACGTGGGCCATGAATCTCTGACATGTATAAATGTTAAGCAATATGCTCTTGTTACAAAATATTAGGCTTCTAATTATTTTGCTAGTAGTACATCAACAAGGAGCATTCTGCCTTCACTCATTTCCCTTTTCTTGATTTGATCCCTTTTGGAATCAGTGATAAAGTTTGCACTATGTGTTCTCAAAGAAAATTGAGATCTTTCAGAGGTTTCAAATGGAAGTGTTTTCTAAAGTACACAAGTAATCACGCCCCTTGGTCATGCCCTTTTTGTTTTCTATTCATTCATTGTTTCTTGTTTCCTTGGTGTACGTCATTGTTTCCTTGGTGTATGTTATGTCACCGTCTGGATTAGCTAGTTCAGGATCATGCAAACAGCATGGTGACATTGTTGTGCAATGTAGGAAATTAGGCAATACCTGTACGGTGAAAACATGAAACCAGTTCAGAGTGAAGTTAGGAAGTATCATCATTACTCTGGTGTAATGCTATCACATTTTAAACACTTGCTTCTATTCAGTCTTGACTTCCAAAATTGATTGATCTGTTTTTCACAGATGTATATGGACAGGTTTACAAATGCCGATAGGTCTGCTGTTCAGGTGAATGCACTTGCATGTATATACATAACATAGCAGTCATTCATATGTTGTCAATAGTGCAATTCATTGGAGTGTTACGTGGTTTCGGATCTGTACGGCCATGTTCTAGCAGCATTTTCTCCTGACATTTCACCTGCATCTGTGGCTGGCATTTTCAGAGGATTTTCTTAGTATATTTTCAATCTGTTTGTTTATTTGCTGGAAGGACAGCAAAAATAATTATGACAAGGATGATAAATATTATGATTCTCATTGATCTTAAATTGTTACACATTCTCCCTGAGATATTATCTCATATGCTATGTCCTTATCTCAGCTGCAGCTTTTGCCATTATAGCTTTTTCTCTATTTCTGTTTATCTAAACAGGAGTTAAAGCTTTTTGTTAAAGTTGCCCTTCTTTTGTTCCAGATGGGAGCAAGTGGTGGATGTAACATATTCCCTTCGTCTTGGGACAAAGCCCAAAATCATGGAGCCGGATGCAGCTGCTGTAGAGAGACTCCGGTAATTTGGGACTCCAGAATAAGGTTGTTTGGGATAGCTCTTCAATTGGGAGAGTTTACCTGCAGCACTGAGCATAATTTTTCATATTTTCCAAAAGTGTGGTCAGAATTTGGTTGACCGAGGGCTGAATTTCATTGGCAGTGGTGCTAAAAGAAGGGTTGAAAATATTATTTGGAGGGTATATTTGCTCTTGTTAAGTAGAACACAGTGCTGTGGATTAAAGGGTAAGTAAACGACAGTTTGTTTATTTATTATTTATTTATGACATTTATATGCCGCCTTTCTCACCCCGAAGGGGACTCAGAACGGCTTACAAGATATATATATATACATACAATATATTTTATTATCAGCATAGTACAATATCAGTATTATATATTACTATATTGTACTATACAATTATATTGTAATATTATTAGTAATATTACATGTAATATAAAAATATAATTATAACATCATATTATTATATTGTATTACATTATAATATTATAAATATTATATGTATATACAATATATTACATGTATGTTAACTAACTCCTTGCTTCTCATTCTGTACCATTAATCCTAATCATTTGGCCTGTTAAGGTTTGTACCCCCGACGTGGAGCTATGAGTGTGATGAAGACCTGGTGCATTTCCTTCATGACCACATTGGAAAGGAGGATGAGAATCTGGGCAGCGTCAAGCAATACGTGGACAGTATTGATGTCTCCTCCTACACAGTAAGGTGTTAATGTGGGGTATGCCCTTGTGTGTTGTAGACAAGCGGAAATGGCTGTGGTTAGATCGATTACAATGGACTCCCATTATTTCCCAGCTCAAGCTTTATTGTATTGTTTACTGCAGACATACTGTTGCAATCCAGCAGTGATAGTCTGGGTTTCTTCACCATCCTCCAGTACCAGTGCTGCTAATAAATGCTCCCAACTAGACCAAGTGTGAGCAAGGAAAAATCAGGTTGAATGAGTATAAAATGACTATAAAAACAACTTCTTTGCCATAGGCTTTATTAACAGAGGCATGCCTATATTGTAACAAAATGATTAGGACATGGGCAGTGAAGCTTTTCCTATTTCAAGAGTTATGTTCTCTTGGTGGTAGTTTGTTGGGGATAGTGGGATGCTGGTATAAGGAGAGACTGTGTGCTTAGAGCAAGGCTTCTTAAACTTTTCCACTTGCAACCCCTTTCGGCCCAAGAAATGTTAGTGACCTCAGGTATATAGGTATATAAAATCAAATATTTAATGATAACAAACCAAAATTTGCAAGGCTTGCTAAACACTATTTTTCTTTGCTGACTACGCAATTGCTTGGGCCCCCTGGTGGCACAGCGGGTTAAACCGCTGAGCTGCTTAACTTGCTGACCAAAATTTGGCAGTTTAAATCTGGGGAGCGCGGTGAGCTCCTGCTGTTAGGACCAGCTTCTGCCAATCTAGCAGTTCGAAAACATGCAAATGTGAGTAGATCAGTAGGTACCACTTTGCAGGAAGGTAACAGCACTCTATGCAGTCATGCTGGCCACATGACTTTGGAGATGTCTATGGACAATGCTGGCTCTTTGTCTTAGAAATGGAGCTGAGCACCATTCCCCAGAGTCGGACACGACTAGACTTAATGTCAGGGGAAACCTTTACCTTTACAGTATGATGTACAGCTGAAGCATCTTTTGTAGGGTCCATTGTAAACTCTGCACAATAAATTCCTGAAAATATCTAAAGCAGCCACTAGGTGACTTTTACTTTTATTGTTGCAATTTTTTGAGACCCCAACATTGAGCTGAGGGGGTCTCATTTAGGGTTGAGACTCACAGTTTAAGAAGCAGTGGTCTAGAGCAGTGTTTTTCAAACTGTGCTACTCCAGGTGTTTTGGACTTCAGCTTCCAGATATCCCAGCTAGCTTACCAGTTGTTAGGAATTGTGGGAGCTGAAGTCCAAAACATCTAGGGGAACACAGTTTGAGAAACTCTGGTCCAGAATTGTAATGATCCAGTCCTTCTTCCATCCTAATATGCTGCTCTTCTTTCTCCAGGAAGAATTCAATGTTTCTTGCCTGACGGACAACCAAGCTGACACCTACTGGGAGAGTGATGGGTCCCAGGGACAGCACTGGGTTCGTCTCAACATGAAGAAAGGGACCATTATTAAGTGAGTTGTGAGAGTTTTCCTTTCCCTTTCCTTTCAAATAACAGTGGAAGGCACTTGGGTGTCCTGAGGCAATTAAATACTCCTTATAATAGTAGTGATGATGATGATGATAATAATAATAACAATTTATTTTTGTACCCGGTATCCATCTTGGGGTGGCTTACATGGAGCCAAGCCCAATCAACACAGAGTGGAGAACCCTGGTCTCCCAGAAACCTAGTTCAACATTCAGCCCATTACATCATCCTGGCTCGTGTGTCTTTCTCCTCATTGTTATTGAATGATCTCAAATTCCATCCTTTAAATTATGGAGTAAAAGTTTGTCCAGTTCTGTGATCTTTGTTCCATATGAGAGACATTTTCACTGGTTTATTTCCCCCCCCCCCCCCCCCCCCCCCCCCGATGAAGACCTGTGAAATCCCATTCAGTGGACCCTTATCATCCAGGACTTCTGATGCATCTCAAAATCTGTGGATTCTCAAGTTCCGATATATACAATGTCATAGTAGAATAGTGTTCCTTATATTAAAAAAATCCCACCAAAGTTTGTTTTATTGAAAAAAACCCTGAAATATTCCCAAGCCATTGAAGCAGAATCCATGGATACAGAAGGCCAACTGTATATGTTTACACACCCTGAAGCAAGTGATTGGTGTTATATTACTTAGTTCAGCATGGCTGGGTCTTTCTGCCTTGGTCAGACCACACCTGGAATACTGCGTCCAATTCTGGGCACTGCAGTTGAAGGGAGATGTTGACAAATTGGAATGTGTGCAGAGGAGGGTGACTAAAATGATCAAGGGCCTGGAGAACAAGCCCCATGAAGAGTGGCTTAAAGAGCTGGGCATGTTTAGCCTGCAGAAGAGAAGGCTGAGAGGAGACATGATGAGGGCAATGGATAAATATGTGAGGGGAAGTCATAGGGAGGAGGGAGCAAGTTTGTTTTCTGCTGCCCTGGAGAGTAGGAGGTGGAACAATGGCTTCAAACTACAGGAAAGGAGATTTCACCTGAACATTAGGAAGAACTTCCTAACTGTGAGAGCTGTTCAGCAGTGGAAGACGTCTCTTCCAACTCTGTGATTCTATTATTCTCATTCTCTCTCTCTCTCTCAAAGAAGCCTTTTGAAAACATTTAGATTTTTCCTCTGGAAGTGTTTGTAAGTTTTATAGTGTTATCACTCTTTCTCATCTGTGGAATTGTCTTGTTCAGTATGCATCTTTCCTCCATTTTTGCATCACATCTTTTTTTCACCTTTGGGAGGAAAACACCAAAGAATAACCCAGTGCTTTTCAGTCAAGAGCGTTAGGAGTAACCAGTCTGGAAGCACTCTGTGAAAGTTTATTTTGGAGAAATCCTCCACTCTTGCTAGCTTTCATATCTCCCACTATTGCTCTCCCCCTCTTTCTCAAATGTGCATATTTCCTAAAAATAGAAAATGGGAGGTGGTGGAAGAATGGATACTGACAGACTTGCAGACACCAAATGCTTTTTCCGGCACTTTGCACTAAAGTCTTTCAGGAATGTTTAAACCCTTCTTTGCTGACAGTAATTCGGATGAATCAGCAGAATTTTTAAAAGCCCAATTAACATGATAAACTTTGGATGCTATCTTCTTTGCCTAGGACTGTCCTACATTATTTTGTTCTTCCTGCGGTTGTTTGGGCTTTGACAGAATTTCTGTTTCTCCTAGGAAACTCTTCCTCACAGTGGACACAACGGATGAGAATTTCATGCCCAAGAGGGTGGCTGTGTATGGTGGCGAGGGTGACAATCTGAAGAAGCTGGGTGAACGGAGCATTGATGAGTGAGTTAGAGGATAGGCTGTTGCAGAAATGGTGCAAATCTGAAACTAAGCTTCAATCCTGTTTAGAATCCTTCCATATGTAATGTCGACACAAAACTTAGGAATTTCCAGTTTTGTAAAGGAAAGATTGTGATGGTTGATTTTTGGAATGAGTGATAGAAAAGGATAAAATCTTAGTTTTGCATGTGTTGACGCCACAGTGGTTCTCATCCTGTGGGTCCCCAGATGTTTTGGCCTTCAACACCCAGAAATCCTAACAGCTGGTAAACTTGTTGTGATTACTGGGAGTTGTAGGCCAGAACATCTTGGGAACCACTGGTTGATGAAGTGCTGGAGTGACTAGAAACTCTTTCTTTTGTGGATTACTTTAACATGTGTTACTGCAGTGGGCAAAATACAGCTTTTGGACCCAATGTTGTCACCCAGGGAGTCATGGTTTCCCCCCAAAATACTCCCAAGCCATTGTATTGTCGAAGACTTTCATGGCCGGAATCACTGGGTTGTTGTAGGTTTTTTCGGGCTATATGGTCATGGTCTAGAGGCATTCTCTCCTGACGTTTCGCCTGCATCTATAACAAGCACCCTCAGAGGTAGCCCTTTAGGGATTGTGAGGGATATTTCTGCCATGTTTGGAATCCCCTTGTGTCTGACAATAGTCATGATTTTTGTGAAACCTTAAAAAATATGTCCCACAGATGTATTCATTTATTTATTTACTCTATTTATAACCCGCCTTTCTCTACCCCGAAGGGGACTCAAGGCGGCTTTACAAATGGCAACTATTTCATGCCTTTAGAGCACAACAATACATGTAAGTTAAAATTTTAAATTTAAAAATTAGAATTAAAATGCACATATAAGCATTATAATTACTATTAAAATCACACCATCCAAATGTCCTCTAGGAATGCATTTCTACCATGTTTTTGGCCCAGAACATGACTTTTGCTGCTGTGCTATGCCAAAAACGAGTCACTCAAAATATGGTGAATTACCCTTCTCATTCCCCAAAACTTTTTTGCATGGCCTTCCTTGGTTCCTACTCCAGGTATATTGTATCTTATTGCCATTAAGTCAACCTTGTAAATAAGTGTACAAAAATCATTAGCCAGCATTTTACTATTTTGCTGGATTTTGGCACAAAAGGAGCAAAAGCCCAAATGAAATAACTCAATGAAAGAAGAGGAATTTGTTCCTCTGTCAGTGCTTTTTGTTTCTATTATGGGAAGAAAATTCTAAGGTGATAATGAACCCAGTGCAGAATGCATCTCTTTCTTGCAGTACTTCATGGTTTTCTTTATTGTTTATGATTCCAAACAGGTGCCTCAATATTATTTACATCAAAACAACCTCCATATATTTGGTTAACCTTAGTTTTGGATGGCAAAATGCCTGCTCAGTTTGAAATTTCCATTACAACCTCTTAAATATGGTCAGTCTAGCAATCTAGGAATTCTGTACATCTGGAACATATGAGGATCTAAAACCATGTGTTCTCCAAGGGAACCATTGGGAAACACTTATGTTGTATATAAATAATGTGGTAAATATTTCTGTAGGCCTTCAGGATACATTTCCTGATGGCTTCCATGTGGCTGTGGTAATATAAAAACCTTTCCTTTCAGTACTAAATATTTTGAGAAGGAACACATAGTGAAATACCCGTAGGGCATCTTTTGAATGAATCACCTTACCCTGGTGTCTTCTTGATCATAGGACTTTTATTCCGAACTCACTTATATGTGGATTGGTGGATCACTTTAATTTATTGAAACAGATACTTAAAATCATGGGCAGAGATCCTATTTGATTGTAGCAGCATGTAATTTTTTTGTCTACTGACTTTCCCTTCTGTCCCCATGTGGAACTTCAACTGATGGCAATAAGGTCACCCTGTAGCCAGTCTGAATTTAGTGATTGATAGAGAATTCTGGCCATAATCCAGCTGCGGTTTTGCAACTTGGAAAAAAGAAAATCCAAAGCAATTTTACATCTCTGACATTGCATAAGGACGTACTAGATGTTTCCTTCTGCAACAGCCTTGAAAGTACATATACTTAATGTAACAGGAGGCTACACCATGGTATACCATCAATATAATTACAACTTTGATTTCCAACTTGTGTTCTTCATTCTTCCTTACCCACAAGCTTTCACTAGCTTCAGTGTATGTGCAATTAAAAGGCAAGGATAAGGGCAGATCTTCCCAATGCAAAAGTTAACCCATATTTTTGTGTCTCTAGGAGTTACATCGGGGATGTGTGCGTGCTTGAAGACATGACTGCTCACTTGCCTGTAATTGAAATCCGCATTGTGGAATGCAGAGGTGTGTGTGGATCAGCATGGGGTTGAGTTTATCAATGGAGGTGGGCAGGTACAGTGATTGTAAAGTTCCAGTATGTTTATTTGTTTGGGAATTTTTAATTCCATCCTTTCATCATGAACTCTCATGATGGCAAATAAATAAAACAACACAGGCAGTTCCAAATTTTAAAATCAGTATATACCAGTGGTTCCCAACCTTTGGTCCATGGACCACCAGTGGTCCACAAGAATGAAAATACAGTCTAAAACCTCACCATTACTACACCGTTGCCTCGAAACCATGTGCAACAAGAGCTACTGGTCTCGCAAAACCCTCTTATAGTGCCAAGGCAATGGGTTGTCGGAAGGGGAGAGGCTAACTACCCAGAAAAGATTATTATTACCACATCATCTCTAGATTATTAAATATGGTTTTCTGTGGGCAAGCAGATGACGACTACTGGATGGCAAATGTTCTGTATCTGAAACTAGAGCTGATGTGGTCGATCCAATGCAATTTTCTGATGTGGTAGATCCAGTGCAATTTTCAAATAACTAAACCAAATCTAAAGTTGACCAAAAAACGATTAGTAACCATTTTGGTACTAATGTTGGAGAGTTGTCCCTGGTCAAAGTGGTCCCAACTAGGTCTTCTAAGTGAGTCACCACTTGACATCTGCTCTGGTCCTTCCTGTGCTTTAGTGAATACCTTCTCCTGTTAAGACAGTAAAGATGAAACAACAAAGTGCATAAAAGATTACAGTGTGATGTGCCATAAGACACCATTATTCTTGTGGCAGCAGATAAATAGGTCCTATAACTATCCAGGAATGCACTTTACTCACCTTTTAGTTTCAAATGAAAAACATGCTAGTTGCAGAGAGAACCTGGTTTATCTCATGGTTCTTTTCCTTTAAGAGCAGACATAAGTTTTTACTCAGCGGACTTGCCTGAGCTGAGTTCTACTTCCCTTTTATGCAGATGATGGAATTGATGTCCGGCTCCGGGGCATCAAGATCAAGTCATCCCGGCAACGCGAATTGGGGCTGAATGCAGATATGTTTCAGCCAGCCAACCTAGTGAGGTATCCTCGCCTGGAGGGGAGAGACCCCGATGTGCTCTACCGGCGTGCTGTGGTGATCCAGAGGTATGGAGAAGGGAGTGTTAGTAAGGAATGCCGAGTAGATGTCGGAAAGCATTGAGAACCACAGATAGAAGGTGCAATAAGCAACCTTTCTGTGGCTCTGGAGACAACAGATTTGTGTGCATGCAAAATTGGTCAATAGACATTTTTAAAAAGGCTACATCTATAACCGGGTCAACCTTATGAGGAATATCTTAGGAAACTGGATGTGTTTAGCCTATAGAAGAGAAGACTGAGACGGGACATGATAAAAGGTAAAGTAAAGGTTCCCCTGACATTAAGTCTAGTCGAGTTCGACTCTGGGGAGTGGTGCTCATCTCTATTTCTAAGCTGAAGAGCTGGCATTGTCCAAACACACCTCTAAGGTCATGTGGCCAGCATGACTGCATGCAGCACTATTACCTTCCCACTGAAGCGGTACCTGTTTATCTACTTCATGTTTTCGAAATGCTAGGTTGGCAGGAGCTGGACCTAACAGCAGGAGCTCACCCCACTCCCCTGATTTGAACCGCTGACCATTTGGTCAGCAAGTTCAGCAGCTCAGCAGTTTAACCCGCTGCACCACCAGGGGGACATGATAGCTTCCTTTAAATATCTGAAGGGATGTCATGTTGAAGATGAGCCAACTTGTTCTCTGCTGCTCTGATTTGATATACTGTTATAATGCATTGTCATGGCACTATTGTGTGTTATTTTGTAAGCCGCCCCAGGTCCCTATGGGAGATGGCAGTGGGGTATAAATAAATTATTATTATTATTATCATCATTATTATTATTAATGGATTCAAATTACAAGAACAGAGATTCCATTAAACATTAGAGAGACTTCTTTTCTGTAAAAAATTGTTCGATAGTGAAATAGATTTTCTCAAAAGGCAGTAGACTTTCCATCTTTGAGGGTTTTTAAACAGACGTTGGATTCGCATCTTTCAGGATCACTTTAGTTGTGTATTTCTGCAAGGAAGAGTGTTGGACTAGATGACCCTTGTGGTCCCTTCCAACTCTTAAGATTTTATGATTGTTCATCTCTTTGCAACCTTTGCTGAAGACCTGCTTATTTATATTCTTCTATCAATAAGCCTATTGGTATTTTCAGACACATATGAATGGTATGATTCAGTTTGAGCTGAAACGTTTGGTGCTACATTTGTTCTGTTTGTATTGCTTTTTCAATTGTATTTAAATTATATATTTTTCATTTTGGTTTTGTTATTAATCTTCAATTGATTGCTTTTCACTAGCTGTGAAAAGCCCAGAGAAAATCTTGTTATAATTGAGAGAGACAAACATTTCCGAAATAAACGAGGCTTGATAGTGTTTGAAGAAGCAGGTGCAAGTGTGTTCATTCAAATGAACGTATGGCATGATAGCAAATATCCTGGCTGCCAAAATTTAGTGAATTTCCTCCAAGTTTTTTCACACTGTGCATTTTGATTTTGACAGGTTTATCAAGATTTTAGATAGTGTTCTGCATCACCTTGTCCCTGCCTGGGATTACTCACTTGGCACCTTCAATCATCTCAAGGTGAGGCTGAAGTCTATCTAATATGTCAGTTTCTGTGTTGTCTTACTTGGGCAAATATGACAGAAACTTGTTTTCTATTGAGCAGTTCGGCCTAGGAGGAATGTTTGACCCAGAAAAAACAAAGAAACTAAATAAACAAAAGTCTCTATGTCTCTACTTTAGGCCTGACTGGGTAATAAACTAGGTTAACTTTGTGTTGTTGAAAGCTTTCATGGCCGGAATCACTGGGTTGCTGTGAGTTTTCGGGGCTGTATGGCCATGTTCCAGAAGCATTCTCTCCTGACATTTCACCCACATCTATGGCAGGCATCCTCTGAGGTTGTGAGGTCTGTTGGAAATTAAGCATGGGAGGTTTATATATCTGTGGAAAGTCCAGGGTGGGAGAAAGAACTCTTGTCTGTTGGAGGCAAGTGTGACTATTGCAATTAATCCCCTTGATTAGCATTGCAAAGCCTTGCAGCTTCAAGGCCTGGCTGATTCCTGCCTGGGGAATCCTTTGTTTGGAGGTGTTAGCTGGCTCTGATAAATGTGGGTGAAACGTCAGGAGAGAATGCTTCTGGAACATGGCCATACAGCCCCGAAAACTCACAGCAAGCAAGGTTAACTTTGCTATCCTTCTTCCTGCAGATATAGAAGGTTTGTGGGAAGAACAGGCTATATAGCAGAAGCAGTATACGAACTGTTACTGGGGAGCTTTCCTCTGTGATCTGGCACATTGAAATGAAGCTATCTTATTTTAATACAGGGTGGCTATGCTAGACATGTATTTTCTTTCTCAAGGTGACAGAATACCCTATCTAGACTCTTCTTTCTAGAGCTCTATTACCGTTTTGGTATGTTTTTCCAAACTGAAATGTGAAAGAAGAGGGATAACACTTCATTTGCATCATCTGAGAATTTCTTCTAGAGATTCAGAAGTAATAATGAGCCCACAGATATCGGCTTTTTCCCTGACCATTACAGAGGAAGTTATTGCCAGCAGCATGCCAATTTACCATATATACTTGAGCATAAGCCAATTCGAATATGAGCCGAGACACCTAATTTTACCTTAAAAAACTGGGAAAACTTATTGACTCGTGTATAAACTGAGGATGAAAAATGCAATAGCTGGTAAATTTCAAAAATAAAAATATGTGTGTGTTCATTCGTTCAGTCGTCTCCGACTCTTCGTGACCTCATGGACCAGCCCACGCCAGAGCTCCCTGTCAGCCGTTACCACCCCCAGCTCCCTCAAGGTCAGTCCAGTCACTTCAAGGATGCCATCCATCCATCTTGCCCTTGGTCGGCCCCTCTTCCTTTTGCCTTCCACTTTCCCCAGCATAACTGTCTTCTCTAGGCTTTCCTGTCTCCTCATGATGTGGCCAAAGTACTTCAACTTTGTCTCTAGTATCCTTCCCTCCAGTGAGCAGTCGGGCTTTATTTCCTGGAGGATGGACTGGTTGGATCTTCTCGCAGTCCAAGGCACTCTCAGAACTTTCCTCCAACACCGCAGTTCAAAAGCATCGATCTTCCTTCGCTCAGCCTTCCCTAAGGTCCAGCTCTCACATCCGTAGGTTACTACAGGGAATACCATGGCTTTGACTAGGCGGATCTTTGTTGCCAGTCTGATGTCTCTACTCTTTACTATTTTATCGAGACCGGACATTGCTCTCCTCCCAAGAAATAAGCATCTCCTGATTTCCTGGCTGCAGTCTGCGTCTGCAGTCATCTTTGCACCTAGAAATACAAAGTCTGTCACGGCCTCCACGGTTTCTCCCTCTATTTTCCAGTTGTCAATCATTCTTGTTGCCATAATCTTGGTTTTTTTGACGTTTAGCTGCAACCCGGCTTTTGCGCTTTCTTCTTTCACCTTGATTAGAAGGCTCCTCAGCTCCTCCTCGCTTTCGGCCATCAGGGCGGTGTCATCTGCATATCTGAGGTTGTTAATGTTTCTTCCAGCAATTTTCACCCCAGCCTTGCATTCATCAAGCCCCGCACATCGCATGATGTGTTCTAATAAAAATATATACCGTACCAATTTATTTATTTGTCGTGTCAGAGCAACCAGTCCATTATATTACATTTGAGTTGCCATCGGGCTTGAGATACAGCGGTATATAAGCAAAGTAAATAAATAAATAAATAAATTCTAACAGAACAAAGGAAACAAACAGACAAATACAAAACTTGTGAGTTTGGTAGTTGGTTAAATGTCCTTTGACCAGTATCTGGCCACTTGGAGTGCTTCCGGTGTTGCTGCAAGAAGGTCCTCCATTGTGCATGTAGCAGGGCTCAGGTTGCATTGCAGCAGGTGGTCAGTGGTTTGCTCTTCTCCACACTCACATGTTGAGGATTCCACTTTGTAGTCCCATTTCTGAAGGTTGGCTCTGCATCTCGTGGTGCAGAATACCAATAAAATTACATTAATTGAGGCATCAGTAGGTTAAAGGTTTTTGAATACTTAATTTCTTGAATATTAAAACTATAAGATAAGACTGGCCAACTCTGATTACCTATATGCTTGAGTATAAGCCGACCTGAATATAAGCTGACCCGACTATAAGACAACCAGGTCCTTCACTCGAGTATAAACTAGGAGGGGGGGGGGGGCGCTTTCAAAAAAAATTGGCTGAAAACTCAGCTTATACTTGAGTATATATGTATGTAAGAGATTACACATTATAGAGATTATATTCAAGGGCCCCAGGAAGAATTAGCACCCAGAAATCTAGTTTGGTAACTCCAGCTATTTAATTTAAGATTTGTGCATCATCACAACATCAGTTGAGACACTGTGTCCTAAGATACAGCTGTAAAGAATGAAAGTCTTTCTCTTGTGATCTTTGAAGGGATCTTCCTCAGCCATCCAAAGCTCTTTCACTCAGATGGTGGAAATTTAACAGCAAGACATAGTTTCACATGTAGTTTTTGTTAAATTGATTTTGTAACATCCAAAATTGGTTATCTGCAGTAGTTTGTGGCCTAATTTAAATCTGTGTTGAAATTAATTTGAAGTCTTGGAGTTTTTTTAAATGGAAGGGTGCCTGAATATTAACAGTTTGGGTTGGAAAAAGAAGTTTCCCTGTAGTGTATGCATTCCCCTACTTTAGATAGATTCATGGAAGCAATGGTGCTATAATAATCCGGGGTGAAAGCACTAATGGAACAGGGTTGTTGTAGGTTTTTTTGGGCTATATGGCCATGTTCTAGAGGCATTCTCTCCTGACGTTTTGCCTGCATCTGTGGCAAGCATCCTCGGAGGTAGTGAGGATGCTTGCCATAGATGCAGGCGAAACGTCAGGAGAGAATGCCTCTAGAACATGGCCATATAGCCCGAAAAAAACCTACAACAACCGAGTGATTCTGGCCATGAAAGCCTTCGACAATACAGTAATGGAACAAGCTAGTTGGGGGAAATAATCATGTTATTGGAATATATTGCTGTCCAACTCTAATGTGTTCCTAACAGCACATCAAGCAGTTCCTGTTGTTGTCCAAGCGGCGCACAATGCTAATCACTCAGTGCCTCAAGGACTCTGAGACTAGCAAGCCCAACTTCATGCCAAGGCTGTACATCAACCGACGGTTGGCCATGGAGCATCGTGACAATCCGGCACTGGACCCTAGTTGCAAAAACACTGTGCTTGCCCAGGTGAGGACAGCTTATCCACTGCATCTCCCTCCCTGTGGTCATTCCACATCTGCTGGAGTGGAAGCAAGAGCAGAGAAGCATCTGGTTGTGCTCCCATAGTCCAGTGGTTCTCAACCTGTGGGTCCCCAGATGTTTTGATCTTCAACTCCCATAAATCCTAACAGCTGGTAAACTGGCTGGGATTTCTGGGAGTTGTAGGTCAAAACACCTGAGGACCCACAGGTTGAGCACCACTGCCATAGTCAGGCCTGAAATGATTGAACCATCTGCTAGACACCTGGAAGACTCCAATGGAATTCAGCAGATGATGGAATCATCATCGCCAGATATTTCTCTAGTCTCCTTCCACTGTCCACCCATCTCAGAATGGCTGTGGGGCTTGTAGCAGCTCTGGTAAATCATGGGTATATGAATAGTCAGCTGTAACATATGTATGACTCCTGTATCTATAAGGGTTTTGTTCTTGAACCATGGTAACAGGAAGCCATGGATTATAAATAGTGAACCCTTTTGGAATAAATTACTTCCAGCAAAAGCATGCCGTAGAATTGCCCAGAGGAGTGTTTCTCAACCTGGGTGTCGGGACACATGAGGGAGTCTCAAGGAGGGTTCAGAGGGGTTGCCAAAGACCATCAGAAAACACAGTACTTTCTGTTGGTCATGGGGGTTCTGTGTGGGAAGTTTGGCCCTATTCTATCATTAGTGGGGTTCAAAATGCACTTTGATTGTAGGTGAACTGTAAATCCCAGCAAATATAACTCCCAAATGTCAAGATCTATTTTCCCCAAACTCCACCAGTGTTCACATTTGGGTATATTGAGTATTTATTCCAAGTTTGGTCCAGATCCATCATTGTTTGAGTTCACAGTGCTCTCTGGATGTAGGTGAACTACAACTCCCAAACTCAAGGTCAATGCCCACCAAACCCTTCCCATATTTTCTGTTGGTTATGGGAGTTCTGTGTGCCAAGACTGGTTCAATTCCAAAGTTGGTGGAGTTCAGAATGCTCTTTGATTGTAGGTTAACTATAAATCCCAGAAACTACAACTCCCAAATGACAAAATCAATCCCCCCAACCCCACCAGTATTCAAATATGGACAGGTCGGATATTTGTGCCAAATTTTGGTCCAGTGAATGAAAATACATCCTGTATGTCAGATATTTACATAATGATTCATAACAGTTGCAAAATTACAGTTATGAAGTAGCAATGAAAATAATTTTATGGTTGGGGGCACAACAACATGCAGAACTGTATTAAAGGATCGCAGCATTGGGAAGATTGAGAACCACTGGCCCAGAGGATATAGAAAATTCCTAGAGATTACAAATTTTGTTGGATGCAGGTGCCAGTTCTTTAGGTACAGGTATTTTACTGTAGTTCTGTTGTTTGTCAAACTGGCATTGAATGTTTGCCATATATGTGTTTACTGTAATCCGCCCTGAGTCCCCTGCGGGGTGAGAAGGGCGGAATATAAGAACTGTAAATAAATAAATAAATAAATAAGTTGAACTTGTATGCTCAGCCATACAGGATGCTGGTTAATATTTGCAGAAAAAATTCCTCTACTTCTTCAGTACTTATTTCATACCCTCTTGTTTTAAAAAAAAAAACATACCAGAAGCATCAGGGTCATGCAGGGGGGACATTTTCCTGCTGTGCTGTCTGTAAGAACTATTGCCCAGGATTGCTGTCTTTTTCATTTAATGCCTGCCTTACATGTCTACTTTTTTAGGTGTATGAGGGCCTGAAACCTTCAGACAAGTATGAGAAACCACTGGATTATCGGTGAGTGCATTCATAATTGTCTCAAGAGCCACCTGTATGGCTTCTCTGCCTCTTCCACCACACAAAATCCATCACATACCAAAGATTCAAGGAATTTAATAGCTTTTGAACCAAGCAGAATTATGCCAGTGTTGCTCTTGGCCCTGGAAACTTTATCAAAATGTAGTGTTTGCTGCTGTCTTATCTAGGACCCTTCCACGCAGCCATATAACTCAGAAAATCCCACAATATCTGTTTGGAACTGGGTTATCTGAGTCCACACTGCCATATATTCCAGTTCAAAGTAGGAAATTTTATTCAGCTGTGTGGAAGGGGCCCTAGATAGCTTCAAGAGCTCTTTTTTTTTTTATCCCAGGTGGCCACTGCGTTATGACCAGTGGTGGGAGTGCAAATTCATTGCTGAGGGTATCATCGATCAAGGTAAGTTGTAGACTTTCAGATTTGTGTCTTTCAGAAAAAGAAGAAGGTAGTCAGAAACAAGCATCTAACAATCATGGTTACTGGGGCGGTGGGGGGGGGGGGGGGGGGGGGGGGGGGGGGGGGGAGGAGGTCAATCTGGATGTTTATCCAGTAGCATTCCAAGGATTCCACTCCTCTGTCGCCAATAACAATATTTATATCCTGTCCATCACCACCACCATGATATCTGGACCTAAAAATCTTGGTTAAATGTGAGCTTATTATCTTTTCTCTTCCAACGTAATAACTGTGGAGGCTTGAACCAGCACCATATTGAACAGGCAGTTTGCAAAATGTAGATACATACAGGAAATTTTGGTTCAAGAATGTATCTACCCGTATTTCTTCAACTGTAAGAGGTCATCGATTGTAGGATGCACCCAAATTTCAGTACCACCACCACCAACAAAAATACATAAGATACACACCTGTGATTCTAAGGCACACCCCATTTTTATAGATGTTTACACGAGGAAAAAGGGCCCCCTAATGGTGCAGTGGGTTAAACCCTTGAACTGTTCAACTTGCTGATTGAAAGGTTGGCAGTTCGAATCCAGGGAGTGGGGTGAGCTCCCACTGTTAGCCCCAGCTTCTGCCAAACTAGCAGTTTGAAAACATGCAAATGTGAATAGATCAATACCTTCTGCAGGAAGGTAACGGTGCTCCATGCAGTCATGCTGGCCACATGACCTTGGAGGTGTCTACGGATAACGCCAGCTCTTTGGCTTAGAAATGGAGATGAGCACCACCCCCCAGAGTCAGACACAACTAGACTTAATGTCAGGGGAAACCTTTACCTTTTATATGGGGAAAAAGTGCGTCTTAGAATTGAAGAAAAACAGCATATGTTCCTTTGGACATCCAGGAAAGCTGAGATTCTGCCAGGAATCCTGTCTTGTTATGGATGATCCAGAATGTTTACTCCTTTTTCTAATCTTAGCCAGCTGCAGAAGCAGCTCAACAAACGATGAAAGTTCAGGGTTTATTAGTATCAGAACTCGACATGACCTAGTACTTTAGATTGTTAGGGAAGACACTGTCCTTTACCAGATGTCATGATGAACCAAGGTCTGTAGCTTCCCTAGCCACACCTGCATTGAATGACAGGCAAACCTAGCCTTTTGGTGCTCTTGGGTGTTTTGTATGCAATGAACGGTGACTGATATTGAAAGCAGGAAGACTTGAAATTTAGGTAAAAATGTACTTGAGAGTCTAAGTAGCTGGTGGCAGTAAAATGAAGTTATTCAACTTGCTTGTTTCCACTTTTCTTTTCTCTCCCAGGTGGTGGTTTCCGGGATAGCATTGCTGACATGTCTGAGGAGTTGTGTCCTAGTTCATCTGAGACCCCTGTGCCCCTGCCCTTCTTTGTGCGCACATCCAACCAGGTACTTCTCCCTTGCTTAGGCCATAGATGCAGGCGAAACGTCAGGAGAAATGCCTCTAGAACATGGCTCTATAGCCCGAAAAAACCCACAAGAACCTAGTTCCTGGATCCTTCCTTGCTGCCATCAGATTAACTTTTCTACAGACCAAGTCTTGTTCCCTTTTATATCAGTCATCATTCTGCTTAGTTCTGTAGCTTAGTTAATTTAGCTTGCTCCTGTAGCAGGAGAACAGTGTTTTATTGAAAGTGAATTGTATTATTTACCTATTTGTTTACAATAATTCTTATGCTCATATCAAAATTGGGTTTGGAAGCCCTGCTGTGTACCTGTTGGTCTTTCTAACAAAGGTAGGTCATATCTTGAGGGTTAAACTGTTGCTAGAGTTGAGGTGGACTCTGGCATAGAGTCTGTGCTGATGGTCCTCGCTCTGTAGCTTGCACAGGGCAATCCAACAACAGTGCCTTTTGTTTCAGGGCAGTGGTACTGGAGAGGCCCGCGATATGTATGTCCCCAACCCCTCCTGCAAGGAGTTCACCAAATATGAGTGGATTGGACAAATCATGGGCGCAGCTCTACGTGGCAAGGAGTTCTTGGTGAGTGTCACACCGGGACTGATCTCTCCTTGATCCTTGTTATTTCCTGCTCCACATAAATGCTGGATTCAGGTAGAGGGTTTTGGGTCAAGAACTTTCCTCTAAATAAAGAATTCATAAGAAATTAAACAGCAGAAGCATTCCTGCTCAAAGAAATTTTATCTTCTCCTTTCATTAAAAATTTCCTTTAAGCTCAGGACATTACTTTGGACTCATAAGACCCTGTGCAGTTTGGCACCAATTTGTCTGAAAGGCTACTTTTTCTTGTATGGATCATCTCTTTCTTTATATTTGGGGTTGTGGGCTCTCCCTATAGTATCGTGGACTGTTGGAGCCCATTTATTGTTGGGCAGTGAAGGGCCTTTTCACTTGTGGCTCCCATCATATGTAAAATTTTTCAAGCAGAGATTAGGCATGTTCCGTTTCAGCCATTTAATTCATGATTTCATACAGTTTGTTTCATTTGGATGGCACAAAACGGTACAGCCCACCCTCTGGTATAGAAATATCAGTGAAACGAACAGAAAGTGGGAACGGTAACCATTTGGTTGCCTGATTTTTGGTGCTCAGCTGCAGGTCCTGGCAGGCATGGGCGCTTTAGGCCTGCAAGGCACACATGCTGTCTTCTTGGAAAGAGAGTGTGTGTGTGGTGTGCAGGCCCAGAAGTCACCCATGCCTGCTCGTGCCTAAAATTGAGGGGAAGGGAAGCATGGGAAGCCAACGGGACAAAAATATTTGTTTTTTCAGACCTAGAATAAAAAAAGCTCATTCGGAAAGGCGTCAGTTTTTGAGAGAGATGTTCAAAAATGAAAACAGGGCCTTACAAATGAAAGAACCAGAAACAGATAGTGATTCTATACAAATGCACAATTCTGAGTGTATCTACCATCAAGTGAAGACCCTTTATCCAGGCGTTTTCCTGATTGTTCAGTCTATCAGTTACTCTTATTTCTTTAATGAATAATTTGGATTGATTGCTGTATTGTTTTTAACTGCTGGCTTTATTGGATCTTTTTCTCTGAAAATAATTTCAAAATGAAAAGTCCCACTAAAATAATTCTAAATAAATTCATAAATTCACAAGGAAATTGCAGTGGAAAGCAAAGTTTTCAACATCGGCCATCTCTTTCCTTTGTCTCAAAGGTCCTGGCCCTGCCTGGCTTTGTCTGGAAGCAACTGACAGGGGAGGAAGTGAGCTGGAGTAAAGATTTCCCTGCTATTGACTCCATGTTGGTGAGTTATTGATGGAAATGCATCTTGTGTCAGTGTGGAAATGTAGAGCAAAGGCCCCTCTCTAATACTTGTGCGCATTATCTGTACATTTGAGGTGCCAACGTGGCAGAGCAACATTGTTAATCTTGTACCAGTGCAGAACATAATTAATGCAGCAGTTGGCAAGCAAAGACACGCTGTGTTATCCTTATCCAAAATGATTGGGGACAGATTTTTTTGTATTTCAGAATTTGGAATAGCGTAGCTGCCAATATTATGCCTGTATCTACATATATACATGCATAATAGATGTGGGAAATGCAACCCACATCTAAACATTAAATTCAATGACATTTCATTTTCAACTTAGACACATAGCCTGTAGATAATGCAATCTTTCCTCTCTTCATATTGCAGGTGAAGCTTTTGGAGATGATGGAAGTAATGGACAAGGAGACATTTGAGTTCAAGTTTGGGAATGAGTTGACCTATACCACAGTGTTGAGCGACCAGCGCATGGTTGAGCTGATTCCTAATGGCACTCGGACGGTGGTGCACTATGAAGACCGCATGGATTTCATCCGCCTGGTCCAGGAGGCACGGTTGAATGAGAGCAAAGAGCAGGTAGTGCAGCATGTATTTGGTATCATATGATCTCACCTGACTTTCCTATAGTCCCATCCATTGCTAAGTCATTGTCTTTCTTTCTTTGCTGTGTGCCTTGTTCTTTGGATGTTCTAAGAGAGAATTGCTCAGCTAACACAAGTATCCTTAGACCTTGCGCTGAGCTATAAATATCACTGCAGAACTGGAGAAAGTGTGGCTTGTGGACTATATGCTGTTCTGAGGCCCCATTTTGCAACACTCACAGCCCTGCCAGCCCAGTTTTGTATTTATAAATGGCTTTGGGGGGTTAGTGGGAAAATATGTCCCCCAAACTGCCATAAATATATGATTGCCTGGGTTCATTTCTCCTGATTATGTGAGCCAACTCATACTCAGAAGTGATGCTGCAACCAGAAATGGATAGTGGAGCAGTTCTGGGGAGTAGGATGGTTCTTGTCTTGTTAATGGTTGGAAGTTTCTACACGATAGTTTAGGTATTCCTCAATGTCTTAAAATGGAAGAGTGTATTGTGTTTTGTTTTTTTTTTTCACACTTTTATCTCTTTTTAACATTGGTCAAATTGTATGCAAAAGAATCACACATATAATGTATGCTTCTAGCTGATAGGAAGCCATCAACTAGAAGGATACATTAAATATGTAAGAGGGAGAATCTAATGAAAGCCACAAAGACAAAACCCTAAACTCTCACTACGTTTAGTGAAATAATGCACCATAGACTTCTAAACTATACCTACCTATACCTAAATTATAAAGGGAGCAAGGTCCCTCTTACAAAAGGAGTGTTAGACTAATACCAGATAAGTGGCTTATGGATTTCTTCCCATCTGTCCACTTAGTACTGATGGCTATTAATTAATTAATTAATTAATTAATTAATTGCTGTATTTGTATACTGCCCTTCTCAGCCCTCAGGTGACTCAGGGCGGTTTACAGAGGCAACGATTTGATGTCCAATACACTATAAAACATTTTAAAGCATGAATTGTTGTTGTTCATTCGTTCAGTCGTTTCTGACTCTTCATTTTCCCCAGCATAACTGTCTTCTCTAAGCTTTCCTTTCTTCTCATGATGTGGCCAAAGTACTTCATGAATACGTAATATAAAACCATAACAATAGTATTAAAATCATACATCAATTACGTCTCCTAATAAAAAACATTGTCCAATCTTGTCGTCCAGTCGTTCCAATTTCCTATGTCTTTTACCTTGCATTTTCAAACGCCTTTTTCAAACAACCAAGTCTTGACTCTTTTCCGAAATGTTAAGAGGGAGGGGGCTGATCTAATGTCCCCAGGAAAGGCGTTCCATATTATTATTATTATTATTATTATTATTATTATTATTATTATTATTATTATTTCTTCCTTCCTGTCTCTCAGATTGCAGCCATGCAAGCTGGACTTCTCAAAGTGGTACCTCAAGCTGTTTTGGATCTACTCACATGGCAGGAACTGGAGAAGAAGGTCTGTGGTGATCCAGAGGTTACAGTTGAGGCCCTGAAGAAGCTCAGTAAGTGTGGTAGACGTAGCACTGTTCCCATTAGCAGTTTACATTGTGACATCCTCATCAATCACGTTCAGTTTTTACTATCTCTGAAATTGTAGATTCCGCATCACTGTGGAAGTGAACAAAGCCTATCTGAATAACTGCCATCATAACAGAATACGATTTGACTACTTAATGTTTATTAGCAGCCTTTGTGTCTCACCTCTCTGTTTAAAAAGTGTTGAGGGTTACGAAGAGCACATTAACAATAACTGAAAAAAGATACTCAAATGTATATTCAATGCCCTTAAGTTAATCATAATGGTGGCACACAGTGTAAGAGTGCTTTATACAGGCAACCACTACAGCTCCCCATCATCAACCCTAGGACTCAGTATATCATTGCAATAGCCATCCTCCGCCAGTGGCCATTCTGTTTCAGGTGGAAAATGAGGGGCTGAGATGTGTTTGCCTGTATTCCCATGGATCAAGGACTTCTTCCAACAAGCTCCACCGAAGTCTTTCAGAAATCTTAGTGGATATGTCATTGGTCTGCACCTGGATATGGGAACATAGTTAGATGCTTCCTTGATTCCCTCCATTTGCTTTCTCCAGCCTTGAATTGATCATTGAGTGCTTCTATTGAAGCAACACAGTGAGTTGGAGTTCATCATTGCAGAAGCGAATAAGCAATACTAACTTCCACAAAGACAAAACATTTTTTAAAAAATCACAGACATCAGATGAAATTACATGCTTGTAGGTCACCATAAGGATGCCTATGGCATCTTCCATACTCAGTTGTTCATATAATACATACGTAAGTTGTAATGGGCATATTCAAAGCAAGTAAACAAGTAGGTTTTAATAATAAAGATTTAAGAAAATAACAGAGGGCTAGTGGGTAATTCAAGTAAAAGATAACTGAAAAATTAGAAGGCAATTAAAAAAAATGTCCTGAGACTGTTCTGTGTAAATACAAATGAATCTTCTTTCCTTCTGCTCTTCAGTTGCTCTTTCATATATTATACCAAAGTGATTCCCCACCCTCAACACCTCCCCTTCTCGTCTGCAGTGGATTTATGTTTCAGTTTTCCCCTTTCCTTCCAGCTCGCTTTGAGGATTTTGAACCACCAGACACCAGAATCCAATATTTCTGGGAGGCCTTGAACAACTTTACTAATGGTGAGTGAGTATCATGTGATGAAGGGGAAATTGCTGTGCATTTGACTGTGGTTTCAATGTGTGTTAGGAGATTCTTAACAATTGATTTGAATCATAACCACCCCACTATAGGATCCCTTTCTTGAAGAAGAGAATCAGCTGCATGGGCTCTTCAGTCCTTTCGATTATATTATTTGATCAACTACCAAAGAGAAAAAAAAACCATAAACACTGATAAACTCCCTTTTTAGCATGTGCTCTGGCTGTCAACTTCTCTTAGGTCCATCTTGGTTTCTGGGTTTCAAGCCTTGGATTTTGGGGATCAAGTTAGGCTATAACCCAACATATTTACTGGGCAGGTCTGTTGAGAAAAGAGAGATTTGTAGTGAAAACCGCTTGGAATTTTCTAATGCTCATGTACTCTTTTTCTCAGAGGATCGCAGCCGCTTCCTGAGGTTTGTTACTGGAAGAAGTCGGCTTCCCGCTCGAATTTATATCTATCCTGATAAATTAGGGTGAGTATTGTTTCTCCTTGTGCGCAAGCTCTTTTTTGGTTTTATGTCTTGGGAGATACTTTCCCACTGAGGTCACTGTCTTGTTCTTTCTGCTTCCAAAGCTCTGAGACCACCGATGCCCTTCCTGAATCATCTACCTGCTCCAGCACACTCTTTTTGCCCAACTATGCCTCGTAAGTATGGCTCTAAAAACCTTTAGTAAAAGATCATTGTGGCACAGACCCAAGAAGGACAGGTGATAGTTTTGAGACAGCCGAAGGAGAATCAGCTGTGGAGGGCAAAGTGGGCTGAATAATGACCAGGGAAATGAAATCCACAACCCATAGCAAGGGAATGGAAGAGAATGATTTGACTGAGATTGAGGTGCAGAAAAAGGGCTAAGAAAGAAATCAGTGCACAGGAAGGCATTGCTAAAGTCAAGACCAACACATATGGAAATGGGATTGTTGCTGTAGTGATGAGGTCAGGGGTGGTTTGGTCATTACTAGAACGGATGTGGAAATATAAACATATCTTTCCTCTTTCATTTACAGTGCCAAGGTCTGTGAAGAGAAGTTGCGCTATGCAGCATATAACTGTGTGGCCATTGACACAGATATGAGTCCATGGGAAGAGTAACAGCAAATGGGAGAGTTTCCATCCCATTCTTCCACCTTTTGTAGTTGCCGCGTGCAGGAATCTCTCACTGACAGTTTACCATGCCCCAAGCTCCAGAAAACATGTATGGGGTTGGACTAGACGGCCTATGTAATTTCTTCCAGCTCTATGATTCTATGTGTATATATATAATAACTTACCAAAATTGAAGCCTGTGTAGTATAGATATCATGTCAGGAGCGACTTGAAAAACTGCAAGTCGCTTCTGGTGTGAGACAATTGGTTGTCTGCAAGGACGTTGCCCAGGGGACGCCCAGATGTTTTGATGTTTTACCATCCTTGTGGGAGGCTTCTCTCATGTCCCCACATGGGGAGCTGGAGCTGAAAGACGGAGCTCAATCCACTCTCCCTGGATTTGAACCGCAGACCTCTCGGTCAGCAGTCCTGCCGACGCAAGGGTTTAACCCATTGCACCACCGGGGGCATCCTAGCCTGTATAGTACTGATAAGCAAATGGAAGTGTCTGCAATTTCATAATGACAAGTCCAGCAAATAAATGATAATTTTTTTTTTCTGACAGATTAGATAATTAGATATGTGACTTCAAATTTCAATAATTGTTGCTTTGTTTTCATTTGAAAAAAAAACCACTCTAACAACAGATGGAGATTACTAGTAGTGTTTTCATTGATGTTCAATTTGAACCTGTTTACTTTTTCACTTCTCTTCTGCCTTTCAAGGTACAATGCAAATACTTGCATTCTAGTTGGGCTTAGGTAGATGCACTTAAATTTAAGTAAGGAATATTGCTAGGAGAGCCACAAGCAGACAAATCACAATCCTTCCTCTCTGTGCCAGCATTCTTCATGCCTTCATTCTGGGGTTACTGTCCCAAGATTCCCCTTTAACCACAACTTCTTCGTCTCTCTGCGTTTCCGTGCAGAATTGGAGAACAAAGTGTCCAAGGCTGTCCTCTCTTCTCTTGAACCCTTTTTTCCTTCTGCAGAGTATTTATGTCCCATGCGCATAGGCTTAGCAACTGCACTGAACATCTCTGGCCAGCAGTGGGCAGGATGGAACCACGATTGAAAGGAAGAATCAACCATCTTAATTCTAAGATCATTTTTTCCTTTACTGACTCTATGGCAGAACAGAGGAGGATATTAGATGAGAACTCTTTTCCTTTTTGGAAAGTGGAGAAAGCATTCTTTAAGATTATTTTTCTGTTGCGCTCTCCATTCCATTTCCTGATGCTTCTGTTTGATAGCCATTTCTCTGGGCCCTGTTTCCATTTCCCTGCTTTGATTGAGAGCAAAGAAGCTACCTTATGGAAGAATTTGCTAATGGAATAAGTAAATTTGAGACCTTCATCTTTATGATAATTGGAAAAGCATGGTAGTGCTGGAAATGAGTTTTTTTCAGCAGATTCAGTGTGTTAGGATTTTAAGGTTCCATAACACGGCCTGCACGAAATGGACTCCACATAGCTGTTTCCTCGGATCTAAGCATCTCAGCTTGCCTTTCACTTGGATTGAAACAGTAGCAGGAGTATTTATTTATTTCTCCGTCACAGCAAAAGGCTGCCTTGAGAGAAGAGAGAGTGGGACAGAGCCCTCTGGCAAAATGGCTCCATTCATGTGTCCAGGATGTGCTGTCTGTATGTTAGCTGCTTGGGTGGGCTGCAGAGTGGAGGGCTATTGTGGCCGCACAATGGGCTTCATTGGTAATTGGGGAGGTGAATTTGGTGTGGGGGGAAGGGAGGGTGTCATCTCTGCAGCTGGGCTTTTGTCATGCAAAGAGGAGCAGGAAGGGCAGCTTAAACCCTCCGACTTCACAGCCACCACCTCAGCGCTTCTCTTGGGGGCTTGCCTCATCCCCCTTCCCCTTTTTCATCTCAGGTTGTGTTTCAAAGTCCCAGGTTTTTGCAATGTTTCTTCCACCCTACACACATTTCCATGCCTTTCTGGTCTTCCTATTAAGTCTGGGAACTCGTATAGGGCTGTAAAGCAATGGGCAAATTTGGCAAAGGGTGCTCTTTGGGGGTGAAAGGGGGAAACTGACAGTCCCTCGTTTGCAGCTCCAATTTGTCTCCACACGGCTTCTTCTGAATCTGACAGGAAAAGCGAGGAGGGAGGATGCTTTGAGAGCAAAGGGGGCGATTGGAGGTGCTGGCGGCCCTCCTGAGGCGAGTAACAAGGACGGGGGATTAGTCGGGGGACGCCGGGGCTCCCCTGCTGGGTGAGGATGTGTAACTCCCCTGCTGCCTGTGGTGGGGGATTAATTACAAGACCACACAGCAGGCAGGAGAAGGGCACTGATAGGACCAAGGAGCAAGGCAATGCCTTGGGCCCAAGAGCTGAGGGGGCTCCTCTCTTCTTGCCACATTCCTACAAGCCTTGCATCATTATGGTGGCTTGGAGATGGCAAGGATGGACCTACCTGACAGTGATTCAAGGATTGATTCCTTTCAAGGCCTGGGCTTTGCAATTGGCCTAATGAGAGATGGGGCAAGGCAGTCAGGGTACATAGATTGAGCATCGCTGAGCTGGAAATCTGAAATAAACCCCAAAATGCAAAATTATCAACCTATGCATGGTTGATGCCTTTACTTTCCCATGGCTCAGTTTCACATAAAAAGACCTCACAACCTCTGAGGATGCCTGCCGAAACGTCAGGAGGGAATGCTTCTGGAACATGGCCATTCAGCCTGAAAAACCTACAACAACCCACATACAAAGTTATTAAAATATTGGATGAAATTAGCTTCAGGTTATGCTAATAAGATGCCACTTTAAATCTCTTAAGAAAGGAAAGTGGGATATAAAGAAGACAAAGAGGCAAATAAGAAAATATACTGGTATTATGTTTTGGTTGTGGGTCTTCAGGTTGTTTATGACTTATGGCAACCCTAAGGGGTCTCTATCATGGACTTTTCTTGCAAATACAGATATTCCAAAATCCAAAGAAGTCTAATTTTTTTTAAAAAAAACTGACCCTAAGCCTTTTGGATAAGGGATACTTGGCCTTTAGAAAGGGAAGATGTGCAACCCCATTTCCTAGAGCAAGAAAGAGAAGATATCTGATTGTGGTTCTGCAATAATCTGTTGTCAGTGGTGCTGACAACAGATGCCCTCACATCCTTCAAACCCCTTTGCAAGGGTTGCTCAGTACAAGTTGTCACCGACAACACGACTACAGTCTTTTACATCAACAGGTAAGGGGGTACCCAATCACTTATCTCCTTCACACTCTTCATCTGGGAATGGTGCATTACCAAGAGCATCCATCTTTTAGCGGTCTATGTCCTGGGTGCCGAAAATTCCCTTGCAGTCCAAACACAAGTGGTTTCTTCACCTGGAGAAGGCACTGGCCCTTTACCGCAGGTGGAGTACCTGTTTGCATCCCCAGGCAATACAAAATGCCAGTTATACAGGGCACACGGTACCCCCCATCAGCAGATGGGTTGCCTAGGATATTCTTTTCTGCTCAACTGGACACAGACCCTTCTTTACATATTTCCACCTCTCCCTTTGTTGACCAGGGTGGTGTCAAGGGTTCAAATGGAACAATTGTCTGTATCCTGATCACCCCATGGTGGCCACAGCAACCTTGGTTTGCCATGCTCCTGCACCTGTCTAAAAAGGAGTTTGTTCAACTTCCACTCAGACTGGACTTTTTAACGTGCCACAACGGCCATATCCTCCATTTGGAAATCATGCACCTCCAACTGACAGCATGGTGGATCACACCTGAGGTCTGTCACAGCCCCTGAAAGAGATTCTGGAGCTAGTGCATAGACCTTCCACTAAGCGGTCATATGCTTATAAGTGGAATTGATTGGTCACCTTCCTTCAGGAACTATTTCTTAAGTACTGCAAGGACGCAGCTGGCCTCCTGGTGCCCACTCAAAGGGTGTCATCTTGGCTCATGTTGGCGATTCAGTTGGCATACCAGCTGGGGAGACTGGACTTACCTATGCAGGTGAGGCCAATTCTACCAGGGCAGTTGTGACATCTACGGCATTCCTGAGGGACATTCTGCTTGATGTGGTCTACCCCTCATACTTTTGTCACTCACTACCAATTGGATGTCCTTGCTAAGAGGGACACAGCTTTTTGTAGAGCTGTCTTGTTCTCCACAGTGCCTGATGCCCACCATTCCATGGGGACAACTCACTAATCTACCACAAGTGCATATTTCACAGGGACCACGAAGAAGGAAGGGTGGCTTAATAAATGCCAACAAGGGCAGTGTCCTGGCAACCATATCAGTAGAGAACGGGCTCCCAAAATGTGTGCAAACAATGCAGACTGATTCCCATTTTCATGGCTGATCACAGAGTACAAAATACACACATTACATGTGTGGCATGTGGACCTATGGGACACATAACACATCGAGTTGCATATAACATAAAGCTGACATGTTTTTGTTAAGAAAAACAATATGAAGAAGCTGCTATTTTGAATAAGTTTCTGAGGATGGAAGAGGGGTTCCTTCAACTTTTCCTGACTGTTATTTTTTTGTTCCACATTGCCCCTGGGCTGCACCTGTGTGCCATTCCAGACGTGTGTTTATAATTGTAAATAGACATGTTTGGAACTGCATGGGTGGCTGAGAGAGGAGAAAACAGTCTCAAATATGATCCAAAATGGGACATGTGTGTGTGTGGGGGGGGGGGGGGGTATTAGCTTTCCTGTCCCCATTACCTGTGCACTTTCCAAAGCTACTTTTGTTAACGAAAAAGCTTCCAAGAACTGCTTCATGTATATTTTGTGTGTTGCCTTCACTAGTTTATTTCTTCTACAAATATACATAGAAAAATATCCCAAAAGCCAATGGTATTTTGGCCTGCATAAGTAGGAGTATAGTATCTAGATCAGTGGTTCTCAACCTGTGGGTCCCCAGATGTTTTGGTCTTCAACTCCCAGAAATCCCAACAGCTAGTAAACTAGCTTGGACCACTGATCTAGATTCAGGGAAGCCATCCTAACCCTCTATTCTACCTTGGTCAGACCACACCTGGAATACTGCATCCAATTCTGGGCACTGCAATTGAAGGGAAATGTTGACAAGCTGGAATATGTCCAGAGGAGGGTGACTAAAATGATCAAGGGTCTGGAGAACAAGCCCTATGAGGAGTGGCTTAAAGAACTGGGCATGTTTAGCCTGCAGAAGAGAAGGCTGAGAGGAAACATGATGAGAGCCATGGTTAAATATGTGAAGGGAAGTCATAGGGAGGAAGTCTAAGTCCAGGGCAGCTTGTTTTCTGCTGCCCTGGAGACTAGGACGCAGAACCATGGCTTCAAACTACACGAAAGGAGATTCCACCTAAACATGAGGAAGAACTTCATGAGGTGAGGAAAAATATTTAGAAAAGCTGCATAATACACTGTTACATAAGTCATTTCCTATAGTAACATACTAAATTTTCCAATGTTCTTCTTTTGAAGGACTTGTCCTCTTTTTCAGAGCTAAAGTTTCTGTCTTGGTGAATTTTTTAAAAAAATATATAGATTTACATATTTAGAATTAAGACTAGGAACATATCTGATAACAATCATCACTGTTTATTTGTTAGAGTATTGAAATTGAGAGTGTCATAGTAATTCATTGTTTACAATACTTTTTTTACTTTTCAGAATATGGTATACCTAAAGAGCTATAACTTTTCCTTATATCAGTATATATAAACAGTCTGTTTATATATTCTGCACTGTTTATATATATTTGCACTGTTGCAAATGATCTGAGTTCCAGGAAGTTCTTGCTTCATACAGAATTGTGGCCCAGAGAAGAGCATGATGCACTGTTCAAGCAGTATGTGCTTTAGAAGAGAAAAACTTCCTGAGGCCTTATTGAAAGAGGCCTTATGACTTAACAGGACAGGAATAATATGCGGCGACATGAGAAAAGCCTCCCACAAGGATGATAAAACATCAAAAATCATCCAGGCATCCCCTGGGCAATGTCCTTGCAGACGGCCAATTCTCTCACAACAGGAGTGGTTGCTCCTGACACGACAAAAAAGAAAAGAAAAAAGGAATAATATTCTCAAACCTGAACAAGGACTTGCTCCTCCTTGGAAGACATGTTGTCAGTCTACCTCAAAGTAACTTGCATGAAGAGGGAGGACGAAAGTGGTGGGATTTAGGACTTTTAACACCAAAGAGGCTGGATCTTTATGGTGATGCAGAATGAATTATGTCTTAATGGCTTAATAATGGTAGTGGGGAGAGAGAACTGGCTTGGTTGCTTGAAATTGAGCGGAGAAGCAGGCAAAGGAACCGCATTGAGTCGCCTGCTAAAGGCTGAAATATGCGGTATAAAAGCGAAGCAAATAAATAAATAAATAAATAAATAAATAAAGGTAACAAAATCAGGGTTAGAAGTAGCAAAAATAGCCCTACTGTCTACTGCAGCCGTGGGCAAACTTTCTAACTTGGGGACCGCATGTCGGGCTGGAGCAGGGTAGGTGGGCTGGGAGGGAGGGGGTTGATGGTGGACAGAAGAGAAAAGGTGTATCCATGAGACCCTGTATTGCCTACTCCTGATATAGAATCCTAGAGTTGGAAGAGACCTCCAAGGGTCATCCAATCCAACCCCTTGCCATTCAGGAAGGCACAATCAAAGCACTTCCAACAGACAGCCACTGCGGAAAAGCCTCCAGAGAAGGAGACCATTGGGAAGTTTTTCATAATCTTTTCAGTCAAATCCCTTTCCCTGCCATTTGAAACCATTGCAATACAGCTCTGGTCTCTAGAGCAGCAGAAAGTCAGTTTTCCCCCTTCTCCTCCTCAGTGGGATGCCCTTTGAAATCTTGAAACATTGTTCTCGTTTTCCTTCTCAACTGTCTCTTCTCCCAACTATACATCCCCCAGGAGGAAAGGAAGAAGGAAAAAGAAAGGGAAGGGAAGAAGGGAGGGAGAGGGGAAAGAGAGAAGGAAGGAAAGACAAAGGGGAAGGGAGGGAGGAGAAAGAGAGAGGGGGAAGGAGGGAAGAAAGAGGGAAAGAAGGACAGAAGGGAAGGGAGGGAGGGAGGAAGGAAGGAAGGAAGGAGAAAGAGAGGGAAAGAGGGAGGGAAGGAAGGACAAAAGGGTGGAAGGGAAGGAGGGAGGGAAGAGGGAGAGAAGGAAGGGAGGAAGGGGAGGATGGAAGGAGGAAGGAAAGAGAGAAGGAAGGAAGGATAGGATGGTGAGAAAGAAGCGGGCCCGAGAAAAGAGCCCAAGGGGACTCATCTGGCCCTGGGCCTGGGCTTACCCATACCTGAAGCACATTCTTATGGCTATTAGGGCTGATGGATGTTGTGATATAACAATACATGATGGACCAGCATCCACTGGATTTTTAAGTCTCCCATCCAAGTATCTGCTAATCAGTTGCTCCCATAGATGGCTTCCTTGCACAAAGCAGTTGCATAGGCTCCTCATAGGACAAAGAAACCACGCTGGCTTCTGTGAGGACCCTTCCCCTTCTTGAGCCCCCAGCTCCCAGTGCCGCATGTGAGAGCGCTGGCCTCTCCGTTTGTTTTTCTTCGTTCTGTTTGTTGCTCCACTTGTGGAATCAGCTCAGCTGTGGTCCCTGTGGTTGCTGACAAGACACACACGCAGCCACTGGGCTGTGCCCTGCTCCGTGCTGGCGCTCAGCACACCCCAGGAAAAATAAACACTGCCAAGCAGCTGCAATACAGCTGTTGCTGAGATGGGAGGCAAAGAGTTGAGGCGCTCATCATGCCTGGCTAGGCAACCCCAGCCCCTTGGTGCCTGCATTAAACACTTGGGCTTGGTTCTCATTCCCTTGAACAATTGCTCTCTACTTGCACCAATGTACAATTAAGAGTTTCAAGAAGCAAGATTAAGGCTACATCTACACTAAAAATGATGCAACATGACCTGACTTTAACTGCCATGCCTCCATGCTATGGACTCCTGGGACCTGTAGTTTAGTGAGGCACCAGGACTCTGGCAGAGAAGGCTAAATACCTTGTAAAACTGCAACTCCTATTATGGTGGTTAAAGTAGGGTCAAACTGTATCACTTAAATAGTGTAGATGCACTCAAAGACTGTGGTTCTATGCTCTTACTTGGGAATAAATCCAACTAAAAAAAATTAAATATATGTCTAGATTTAACATGCAAATAGCATTTATGTGGTGTGTTGTTCAGAGAATGCCTGTTTGGCCATTGGGTTTAGAATAATGGAGCTTCTATTTCAAAACAATGCTTTTCCATTCTAGTGGGTTTTGAGGGAAAGGGAAGGATGTTTTCCAGCTCAATGAGAGCATGTGGTTTGCATACAGAGGGTCTCTGGTTTAAATCGCAGCATCTGTGAGTAGTGATTGCAAACAATCCTAAAACCTTGCAAATTGCTGCCAGTTAGTGCTGACAATACTGGGTTAGAAAGACCATTGGTCTGACTCAGTATTGAGCCACTTTCTGTGCTCCATGGAAGAATATAAAATCTGCAAGTCGAGTTGCCTGTGGGCTGAGAGTGGAGGTATATAAATATAGCAAATAAATAAATAAAGTGGGAAAGGTCAATGGTTAATAAGAGACCAGTGTTTTGCTAACATTTTCACATTTACATGTATTTCACATATTGATACTTTTCAAGTATTTTGGTGCAGATCAAGTAGTGTTACAATGCTCCTTTGCAATCTTATTTGAATCTTACAAAGCTTTTGAGAGATGCTTACGGAGGTCTAAAATGCACATACTTTTAACTCTTTTGAGCTCTGCCTTTCCTCCTCCATAATATTCATATGCTTGGGTGGATGGGGTTAAAACATAATTTAGAATTGTGTGTTTGGAGTTAGAGAACACAGAACAAAGTGAATATTGGGGGGAAATAAATCAAGGTGAACTTTAGATGGAACTTCATGGTCTTAGGCTTTGTAACTTCTTTGTCCTTTTTCAATAATTTAAACTGTGTGACGATCCAGATAGGGACCAGAATCGTGGATTGGCTTATACATAATGAGCTAATGTTGCTAACACTGTTGCTATGAATGTAACTCAGGCTCCAACCTACTTTGCCAAGCATCAGCTGTATTTTGGAGAAGCAAGGCCATTCTGCTAATGATCATTGCATGGTTGAATGATATTTCCATCAGATTTTGGGTGGTCAGGCCTGGAGAAGTTAGCTAGCTATTTGGTTAAACATAAGCTGATACAGGATTCTGGCCAGGATCTTCACATATGTGAATATTTCACGTAATGAAATGCAACTGTATTAAATAAATATTTAATGTATATCAGTGCTTTTGTCTGATGTGGTGGACTGACAATTTCCCCCCAGTGTGCCAGGAATTGGTACCATATTTCTGCCATGCTGTTACTATATTTTCTTTCTTAGAAACTCACCACAAACTGATCTGTAGATCCACCACTTGGAGGAGCACTTATCTACACCTTTAATCCAGAAAGTAAATTTTCTTGGGAGAGGATTTGGGCTTTCTGGGACCAATGTGATGTAGTAATTTGGTTTACTATTGGACTAGGGTTGTGGGGTTTGAATCCCCACCCAGCCATGGAAACCCTCTGAATGAGCTTGGGGGAAAAAAATCTCACATCCTTAGAAGAAAGCCATGAGAAATCACTGGCTACATTTCTCCAGGAGGATACAATTGCTGTAAATCAGAATAAACTTGAAGGTATATAATAACTAAATCAGTGCTTCTCAAGCTATCTGATAGACCAGAAATTTTCCAGCCAATGTCCTAACACCTAGGATTGTATTTGTGTCACATTGTTACTGTGTTCATATAGTTTCCTGAAAACTTGAAGCCTGATAGCCAATAGCTCATAGGCTAGTACAGTGGTTCTCAACCTGTGGGTCCTCAGGTATTTTGGCCTACAGCTCCCAGAAATCCCAGCCAGTTAGGGTTTCTGGGAGTTGAAGGCCAAAACATTTGGGGACCCACAGGTTGAGAACCACTGGGCTAGTAGTAGTTTCATGAACTAGCACTTTGAATAGCACTGTCCCAAATCTGATATGATAACATCCTAACTGTTTAGTCTCAGTATTTCTAGTCCTCTACACTGGCTGAAAACTAGCTCCACATAATTTTACAGTCATTCAGAGTAGTGTGTATTGAATGGATCATAATACGGCAGAGAAAGGAGGAGGACTGTGACACTGGGTTGCACTTTTTCATAAGCCGGTCAGAACTGGATGCCACTCTATCCAGGTATATTTCACGGTCTTGCGCACATACAGGCTGGTGTTGTTCACCAACACATATTTCCATAATATAGACGTCTAGGATGTAACTGGAAAAATGCCAGAAATATGTGCTGGGATTGCTTGGTTATTTATATCTTAGCAAATGACAGTTGAATATTTTGATGAGGAAAAATCATTTATATGCTTCACGTAGAAATCAGTTGAAGTGCACTCTTGTCTACAAACACGTAAACACTCTAGAAGAACAGTACACAGGCACCAGAAGATAGCTTTATATATAATATATATTTACTTTTAAAAATAAAACTTCCATTGCAAGGCTAGAGGTCTGTACAAACTACAAAAATAAATCTTTTTTCTTTTTCATATAAATAATTTATATGGCATGACAACATTTCAGGTTAAAAGGTCTCCAGCACACCCGCTACACAATCACATGCACTCTCACACGCACAAATACACGCATGCACACACAGTGTGTCCCCTCTCCACCATTTCCCTATGCTTCTCTGGTCCCAAACTGGTTGAGGGGAATGGGGAGCACCATTTCTATTATGAGTTTCCTAGAAGCACTTAGCTGATTTTAGGCAGTGGGTGGTTAGCATGGATAAGGGAACAATGCAGGAGAAATGTCAGCTGTTACTTGATTCTAATCTCGACAGTAGTTTCTGGGCTACCTATGATAGTTCTGGGCTGGCAAACTGAGCAAATCCAAATGGCTCAGCCAGGCCCTGCAATGTGGCCAGTTTCTACAGGGAATTTCCTCTGGTCCAGCAATCATGGCTCGTTGTAAATGAACAGCGCTGATTTATTTTAGCTGGAGGCCCAGTCTTACTGAAGCATTCACATTACAAACAGGCTGTGAAAACCTCAGGAGAAATTTTCTTGGCAGCAAGAGATTAAAAGGGAATCCAATATGGGCTGGAGAGTAAAATTACAGCAGTCATTGGGTACAGGGAGTTCTTAAAAATAAAATAACAATAATAATAAAGTGCTGGGGGGTTAGAAGGAAGAAAGTAAGGGGGGAAATGACTCCAAGGTGAATCAGACTTGCTCTCTCACACAAGTAAACTGGTCAGCTAAGGTGCCTTGGGGCTCTTCTACACAGCCCTATAACCCAGACTATCAAGGCAGAAAATCCCACAATATCTGCTTTGAACTGGGTTATATGAATCCACACTGCCATATATTCCAGTTCAAAGCAGATAATGTGGGATTTTATTCAGCTGTGTGGAAGGGACCTTGCCCACTGTGTCCAAAGAGCACAAAACTGTATTCTCAAGAAGGTCACCATTTCACAGAAAGCCCTCAGTGGGGTATCCTCCATGCTAGCAAAGAATGGGTAGAGGGCAACTGAAATGCCTAGTTTATATCATTCTACAGACAAAGCTGTAAAGTGTTTACACACCAAAAGCATCATTAACACTGCAAAAAGAACCAACCATCAGAATCGAACATGCTCATCAACATCTGCAGTTGGAAGCTTCCTAAAAACATTACAAAACCAGCAATTGAGACTGTCGAAAAGTAATTTTTATCCCAATCCTTTTGTTAGACGTGTGCATGTTTGGGACTGTATCCAGGTCAAAGTGACAATATAATCTGCATTCATCCTCACTGGATTGTTTTTCAAAGTTTTAGCTGGTTTCCTATTCCACACAATAAAATGGATTTACTTTGACAAATTGAGGCAGAAAAAGCTGCAGAGGAAAACCAGAAAGTGAGGATAGAAAACAACTGCCCGCATCTCAGGCCATTGTCCCAAGATCTGGGGCATAGGGAACTGTGGTTTCCCCTGATAGATTTATTAATAAAGGGTTTCTGGAATTTTACTGCCCCTCACAGTTGCCTACATCACCTCTTCAAAGCCATGTTGGCAATAAAAATGGTAACCATGTTTAGACATTACTTTGTAATAATCTCACAGAAAAACTGCAGTGCTTCATTACATCCAAGTCAACTGGTGAATGAATGGCACTCTATTTGTTCATATTTCTGTCTCCTCTTTCCTTTCAATGGCGTAAAAAAGAAAGGCTAATTGACAACACTTAAAAAAAACCCTACCTGTTTTTTTTTTTGGAACAATTTAATGTACTGTTTAAAAAATCCACTTTAAATTGCATGGGCCTCTGTCCTTAAACTAGAAGGAAAAACCTGACATGTTCAGTAAAGGAATTGTGATTGGTTACATTGAAATCAAGTGTTGTCAGATGCAAACAGAACTTGTCCTTCAATGCCCATCTTCCTGCCAAGTGACTGCTCATTTCTAGATTTCTAACCAAAGAAGATGAACTTGAAAGATTGTTTAGAAACAGAAGCAACAACCACGGCGATCATACTTTTGGTTAGGAAAATGAAATGTTTTGCCCAGCCCTTGGTTCTCTCTTTGAACACTTTCTGCTCTAATGACTAGATGGAGAATCTTTCTGAGTGGGAGACACTGTTGTCAGATCCTTCCTGGATCAAATTAAGGGACAATTTATCATAGGAGATTTTCCTACACACAAATTATATCTGAACAGGGAACAAGAAAACTCGACCAATCACAACTTGTAACACAAATAGTGTGTGCACTGATCCCAGTGAGAATATGGTATCATCCATAGATTTGCTCAGGGCCCTTCCACACAGCCATATAACCCAGAATATCCTGGCAGATAATCCACATTATCTGCTTTCAACTGGAATATCTGAGTCCACACCGCCATATAATCCAGTTCAATGTGGATTTTATTCAGCGGTGTGGAAGGGCCCTCAATGAGGACAGTGAATGATTGAATTTACCATGAGAAAGTCCAACCTCCTTATTAAAGCATTATCCTCTCTAGAACATCAAATTCCTATTTGAAGCATTCCAATCATAACCAAAATATTTCCCAGGTATGAAACACATTAGCACTATGTTGGAGTGTAAAATACTTTGTGAGACGCGCCATTTACAATATGGAATCAAAAGCACAGATAAATCCACACCTATACAAATTAGTTTTCCAGACATCTCAGCTCTGGCTGAGCATGGAAAGTCCTGTTTGCAGGATTCTCGGGACGAGAAAACTCTCTGTTCTGAACAATCTCCATGCAGTTACCATTTGTCTTCTATTAGTTATGGTGCAATGATGTTTCTTGGAAATTATGAAGCTGGGAATAGAAATACAGTACTAGGAGATTCTATAGATTTGCTTAAAGGACACTTGTATGAGAAGCTGATACCAGGATGAGAACAGAGGTAAACAAGCTGAAAAGGAGGACACAGAAAGCATGGGGTAGAATAGGGAGGGATTCAAAGAAAATCCAGAAGAACCACATGGCAGATGCAAGCACAGGCATTTGTGCTGGTGGAGGCAGGAGCAGGGCACATCCTGTCCCACCAGCTTGCATAGAACGTTAAGACACATGGTGCCCCTCCATTGCATGCTCCCTTCACTCCATGCTCTCCCCATTACAACTTCACCCTCGCATTTCCCCTTAAAGGGATACCCCCACTTTTTTTTAAACGAGGGATCTGTGAAAATAATAAAAAATAATTATTATAATTTTAAGGGTAAGGGTTTGTGACTCTTTTTATACAGCTTAAAATAATTATTATAATAATATTAATATTAATATTAATAAAAATAAAAGAATAGCAGCACAATGTGGGAGAACTCTCCCCCACACATAAGTTGAGTCCTGCTCTCTCCACGGGAGGGTAGGCTCTTGGGAAATTCTCATGCCCTGTTCTGATGTTGACCATGAGATGCTTCACACAGCATATGGGCAACAGCCCCTTTCATTCTGCAGGTTTGCTGGGACTGGAGCTTTCCCTGTCTCTAGGTGACTGGGACCCAACACTCTTTGGGCCATCCATCCAATGTAAGGACACAAACAACCGATGTTTTGAAGCCATAAGCTCCAGCAACCAAGAAACTGGTGTGTTTTTGGATGGCAGATACACCTCAAGAAACATGACATGGGAGTGTGGAGGACCAGGTGCTGAGAGATTCTCCCATCAACCTTTTTGCTGAATGGTTACTGAAGAAGCTCCTCCGGCCCCTTTGCTCCAGTTCTCAAAGGCACTGTCTACATCTACAGTTGGTCAGGCACAGTGGAAGAACTTCTATGGGTCCAGCATGCTTCACAGTATGTGTGTGTCTGTGTGTGAACCATCTGGGTCCCTCTCCCCATGTGAGATGCTGTATACATCCCATCCCTGAGGCAGGAGTTTGAGTGCCAGGACCTAGACTGGCAGAGCTAGTGTCTCTGGCTGAGGTCCTGCAGTTCAAAGCTGTCCGAGAGATCTATACCAGACTCCTCCGGGCCATCAGATTCAAAGCCCTCATGTGTGTAGCCCTGGCAAGAGCCAGGCAGGGATGGGTGCAAGGCCAGCATCACGGATGCAGTCGCTGTAACTGTGGCAAACGTGCCACCAGGTCCAAGAGGTGGCACTTTGGTGCCGTGGGTAACAAGGTTGGTCCGAGAGGGAACGGGGGCAGTCCGAGCTATCCGGGGCCCTAGTCCAGGGTCCGTCTGCTCTTGCTGCTTTGAAGTCTCTTTAACCTCTGTGGCAAAGGGAGGTATGTGGCTTGTAGGGATTGCGGTTTGAGTCCACTCTGGGCTGCCCAAAGACAGAGGTGATTCAAGGCTTGTTTTGCAGCTTTTCACCACCTGCCCAGGAAAAAAAAAAGACTTGTGAGTATGTTGGACATGTGCACAATAGCAAAATACTTTTCAGACTTTTGGAAAGCAACGGAAAAAAGACAAGAACATATTCAGGGGAGTCATGAACTAAAGGAAAAGGCCCAGATGTCCCATAATTCCAACTGACCTTGTTCTACTGTACTATTTAGTCAGAGTCTTTCATAGAGATTGTAAAAGCAGATTTTAGAAGGAGACACCTACTCCAATTTATTAAATACCCATTCACACTCATGTAACTTAGTTAGGAACCAAAAGGCCTAGTTCTCTTTCCTGCCTTTCCTTCCACTTCTGGAGAAACCAGGATTCTGAATCTCTAGACTCCTGGTGGGTACTTACAGTAATTTTGGGGAAGCTGGGGCTTTTGCTGGCCTTGACCAAGATGTGTGATTGCGTTGGTGGGATGATGTATGTGCTGCGATCATCTTCACCAATGTCTGATGCGCCAGTGCTCTCTGAATAGTATTCTGAGTCTGAAGAGTCACTAAAGGCCCCACCAGGCTGGCAAACATAAAAGCTGTGGTGGTTGATGGGTGGTGGGACAGGTGATGGTGTTGGAAGGCAGCTGCCATTATCAGCTGGTGTGACCTGTAGGATAATAAGCAGAAAACACACTGAGAATCTCCAGCCTTTCAAGGGCCATCCCCATTGCAGTCAACAGAACAGATCCTAAAATATCTTGATGATAGGTAAAAAGAGTTGCCAAATGTCCCACTATGTTGGCAAACATAGGAGCTGTGATGGTTGGTTGGGTCATGTTCCACTCACTTATTGCTGAAGGTTTTACATAAGACTTGAGTGAACACTAAAACAATTTATTCCACCAGTCTGACAACAAAGTGTGAGATTGGGGTGCAAGACATAATCTAGCCTACTTTTGTGATTCTTTGCCCACGCACCCTTAAGAGAAACAGCAGCTCTCTTACCTCTGCAGGTGGTCCAATGATAGACAGCAGGACAGGCAACAGGACTAGGCCATTGAGCAGCCCCAGAATTGTCAGGATGGTCAGCACAGCAAAGAAATACCTGCAATGAAAGAAAGAGGTCAGTAATAGCCATGTACACAATCTGCATATAATAACACCTTCATCAGAATAGTTCAATATTGCTCTTTCTGGTTTATCTCTCCTTCCCAGTAACTGAGGCCCAATGTAGCAATTGTGGCCAGCATGAGAGGGAGCCACATTTATCCTGATGGTGGCAGATACCAATGTAGTATGGCATCCAACTCTCACTCACAGTCCCTTCCCCAGTTACAATTTCTCACAAATGCACTGAGTATGAATATGACTACATACTCATGAAGATTGCATAGTTCTCTCCATCTGCCCATAGTCTAAATACATAATTAACTCCTAGAAAATTTGTTAGCTGGAAGCTGAGTGGTGATTTACTTGCATTTTCTAACTAAGGACAGACAACTCCTGAGCCTGGAGCTTGTGAAGATTCATGTGTAACTCAGGCAAAACACTTTCATCACTGAGCATTATTTCTTGGTTTCCAATGTCCACCTCTCAGACTGACCCAAATCAGATAGACCTGACAGCTGCCCACATTCCCTTGCCATAAAAGAAACTAGATGCAAGAGCTAATCCTGAGTCTCTGGTTAGCCTTGCTCATCCAACTCTGAATACCCTACAACCTACATTGCCATAGACAAATGTGCCAGATCTGAAATCAATGGCCCATACAATTTTTCTTTTAACCTCCTTCATACCTGGCACAGCTAGTCAGGTACCAGTCCTAAGGAATATCCACATTACGGGGTAACAGTGGGTTTGTGCCATGGCTCCATCCAATGACATCCTGGGATATGTAGTTTGGTGAGCTACTTAGAAGTCTCTAGTGCTACGGGCAGGGAATTCTGAAAATCTTATGGAACTGTAAATCCCAGGATTCCACAGTTCAAGCATTACTCTTTATGTGGAATCCACTGTTATAATTGTTCAGTGTGGATCCATTTATTCCAGGCCTGCTGTGCATCTTACTAAATCCTGCCTTTATTTTCATTCTATAATAATTGCCTGATGTGGCACTGTCTACATTTTCAAAAGCCCACAAGGAGGTCAGTATTCTATCCTCTATTGACTTCTTTTCCTGATATTCTATGGATTAGCCCACAGGACATTACCTCAGAATGAAATCAAATTCAGATCCAGCCAACATAAGTACACCAAGCAGAGTGGAAACAGCACCATCCATCACAGGGGCAAACATGTGTTCTAGGGCCACGGTGGAGCGCACATTTCGGTTGCCAATGGCTGTGAGAAAACCCTGAAAAAAGATCAACAGTCAGAATGAAACAAAAAAAAGTGTGTATTGTCCAAAAAGACTCTCAAAAGAGAACTAGTAGCTGCATTGCATCTCAGTGACCCTACATTGGAAAAAATGAGCCAAAGGCCCAAGCTGTCCTTGTGATTGGTGCTATTGCTGGAACAAGGACAGAAATGCAAACTCTCACTTTGTTTTCTTCAAATGCAAACACAGTTTGGGCATGGCTTTTCACAGCACACACAGTTATGCCCTTATATTTATGCTTAATTAATCCAGAAGAACCTCGGGCTTTGAATTTAACACAATGCTAGGAAGTAACAAATCCATTTAAATACATTATCCAGAGTTCACCGCTTCTGCCATCACTATTGATCAACTACTGATAGCTCAATGAAAAGCCAGCATGGTTTAAATGTTGGACTTTTTTTTACTTTTGATAACACATCATAATAAGCCTTCATTTCCTGGTTCCATCTCCTCACCATTCCCATTTGTTGGCATGTATTCTATGTATCTTACATACCAAACCATTTATAGTTAGCACTTTCACTTTATTGATTTGCCTATTATAGTATTTTAAAGAATAGAAAAAAGAATAGAGGAAGGGAAAAGAAGGAGGAGTTAAAAAGAAAGAAAAGAGAGATGGGGAAAAATCCATTAGGAGTATGATGTTAATGAAGCTGAGTGGAAGTCCTTGCAAGTTTGAGGATCATGGCCTCCCCCCTTTTTTGGTTTGTATAGAGTTTTTATTATGTTGCCAGATATTTGTGGATTTATCTTTCCTCCTTCTTTTTCATGCATTGATTCATTCATAAGCTGCAAGCTCGAAGGGATCTTTCACTTACCAGGGCCACATGTACAGTGAATTCCACACCAATGCCCACTGACGCAATAAGGATGACCACAGGAATGGCACTCAGTTTGATGCCCATTAGGCCCATGATCCCAAAGAGTTCAACTGTCATCATCGCCAGAACAAATACCTGAATTAGGGAAAAAAACACATTAATACCTTTCTGCTGAAGTCATGGTGCTGAGCATGATTATAGCAAAAGTTGTTTGCAAAGTCAGAAAACACACTATTCTTTAAAGCATTGTTTAGCAAATATTTAGGATCTGGACACAAACCTAACTCTCTTTATCTCATGTACAAAAACCTTTTCTCTTTCTCCACTACTGTGTTTATTTATTTATTTACTACATTTATATCTTGCCCTTCTCATCCCAAAATGGGGACCTAGAGCGGCCTTACAAGAAGGCAGCAATTTGATGCCATGCATACAGTAGAAGCAGACATATACATTAATATTTTTACACATTAAACCCGCTAAATGGTCTGTATTTTCCTTTCCTCTGTCAATTGATAAGTTACCAAAAGAAAATGATCTTATATATAAAGAAGAAATCATTCAGTATATATAAGTTTGTGCTGCTCAATTATCTTTAAGATAGAATTTGGATTTTGCATTGTTGACATTTACTTTTGCTATTAAGTATAATTTTAATTTGTCAATGATAAATGGTAGTAATAGCCAAAAAATGTATTATGACAATAGGGAAAGGATCATAAATTAAGAATAATAAAATTAGACGTATTGAGCTGGAACCTGATTAATTATTAACCCATTGCTAACCTTTCTAAGAAGACATTCAAGTGCTACAAGCAGATGAGTGTAATTTCCGAATTAAGAAAAAATCCAACCAAGTATCAAAGGATATTCTATATTAAATTATTGTGGGGCAAAGGAGTGTTTAAAACACAAATGCAAAAAAAAAAAAAAGCAGATTATATATGACTTTAACCCCTTCAGCACCATGGAGAGAAGCAAGAGAAAAATGCTTGCTTTTTGCTTCAAAGGTACTCTTTTGTTTTAAACTGTATATGCTACTTGGTGTATCTACAGCAGGAAGTTATAAACAATCTAAATTCCTCCGGTCATTCACTATATAATCTATACATTCTTAAATATCTGTTAATTGTGAATATACATATCTATGGTATGTATTTAGCAGACATCTTGCATCCTAAAAAAACCCCTCATACAAACTGGTTTCCATTCTCATGTTTTAAAATATATAATATATCTAGGCTGATTTTATAAGGACAATGGTATTTGATAACCATATGGATTTTTTGTACAATGTCATGCTGTTAACATGATATAAGATGTAAATTGACTACTAATGTTACATACTCTGTTATTTGTGAAAAAATACTCACAATGATACTAGCGGTCCAAGGGTTGAGTAGCAACAGAGTGCACACCAGGAAAGTGCAAACCAACACAATGCTGATGGCCTGTAAAAGCCAGTGGCGCAGGCCTATGTATTGCTCCCAAAAGAGGAAAGGATAGCCACTAGGGTAGCTGAACACGCCATGCGTCTGGGCCACCTCATCACAGATGGCGCGCACACTCTCAATCACTGCCACAAAGTCCGAAGTCTGCCGCAATCCATTGAGGTAGAAGGGGAACTGAGCAAACTCCAGGGGCTGTGCTACTGGAACTGTCAAAAAGAGAGGATGCCGTCAGGCCCAGTGACCTCCTGCCCCCACTCAAGTCTTTAGGACCCAAAGCAAACTGTCCCATTTAGCTATATTTTCACCCACTCAGGCACAGCCTGCAACTGTAGCAAAGTTGCAGCATTCTGTGGAAGAACCACAGAATGGGAGAATAGGACTGAAATGATGCACAGAATGGGAATTAAGTTTGTACTCACTTCGAAGGTTCTCGCCAGTGGCATCATACTTGTCATGGATCCATTCTGGGGGTGGTGGATAGAAGTTGGCCTGGGAGGCAGCAAAGCCAAGGGGGTCGTTGCTCACCCACACTGTCAAGCAGATGTAGAAGATATCAGGGGGAATGATCCCATTCTCATCTACCAGGCGGCGAGTGGTCAGCTGTGGGGCAAAAAGGAGGGTGAGAGGTGTTTGGCTAGTGCTCCCACACAGGTGCAATCACCTGGTAGGGAAACAGCTAAGCCTCCTTTCTAGGTAATGGTTCACCTTTTCCAAAATCAGGAGGATTTCCTGCATGCTTCCAAATCTCTGTTTCCAATGAAACCTCAAATCCCCTTTCTCTCTGTCCTGCAATCCATTTTTAATGAAGGTTTCCTCCCTGTTCCACCTAAGTACATCATGGACTCTCTTTACACATAATTATCATGACACTGTTCTCCCTCCACACCTCTTTGGTTTGGGCTTCTACACTTACTAGATTTAGATTGAAAGGTTCCTTCTTGTTGCCTGTCTGGATGAGAAGCTTGTAAGCCAGGGCACCATCCTCTGATCCATTGCGGTAATTCTCTCTGGTGATGAGTCCAGCTTCCCAGTCTTGGTCAAAGGCTGCCTGAAGACCTAGGGGCAGAGTATGTACAGTGAGATTTGTGCCATCTATGCCTCAGAAGCAAGAGTCAATTCTGCCTCCATTCATTAGGAAGAACTTCCTGATGGTAAGAGTGGAGTATGTTGCCTCAAAGTCTGGTGGAGTCTCCTTCGTTGGGGTTTTTGAAGAGTCTAGATTAACATTGTTGTCTTTTGTGTGTTCCTGCATGACGGACTTCGGTTGAATGGCCTTTGTGGTCTCTTCCAATTAATTGTATGGTTCTATGACTCTGTCATTCCAGATAACTATGCTAACTTTAGAGTTTGGGCCTACCCCAAGGAAAAAGCTATCACTTAGATAAGACAGAAGGAAATCTGAATGTGTATGCATGTAGCTCATTAGGAATATCCACCACAGCTATATGCATGAAAACAGCAAGCATGATGGCAAGGAATAAAAACTGCCTACATGAGATGAAGTTGTCTAGAACAGGAGTGTTCTATAGCAGCCTGGAACACAGAGTGCTTGTCAGTCAGTATGGAATTGACTGACTGAACAAGTGTCCCTAAGCTATTAGCAAGTTCACAACAAGAGCATCCTGTCCTGAAACCTGGATGTCATCCCATTCCAATTCTTTACAGAAGGAAAGTGCAGGCCAGTGGAGAGAATTGGCCATGAGCCCTTCACTCACCTTGCAGCCAATCCTGGAAGTAGTGCAGCCACATCTTAGGCAACTGGTGCTTCTCATCACGTACAACATACTGGATGGCATCGAAGGCTTGGTGCAGACCATAGAGGGCCTTCTGGGAGTTGGGGTAGTCAAAGCCACCCTTGGTCACCACAAACATGTTGTAAAAAGAGAAGTACTTGAACTGGGCTGAAATGAAGTCATGCTCTTTTGTTCCTCGTGGAACAATATCTGTCAGGTAAAGTCCATCATGTACTCTGGTTGTACCGTATAGGCTCAGGCCCAGCAGTGCCAGGAAGAGGACTACTACAATGCCCTGAAAATGAAGGAAACAAGGTGTCAGCATGGCTTCACTTGGACATGTTGGATTTTAAAAAGTACTGGACCTCCTGGTTCTGGGTGCTTACTTGGAACTATTTTGGGATCCTTTACAAGAATGGAATGTTATTAAAATAAATGGGAATCACTTCTGAGTAGAACTATACAGCACTGCATAGAGACTTTATCACAGGCTCAATGTTAGCATTAATGCATTTATTCATTCTTAGTGAATGTACATATCTCCTCTAATGTCCAAGATAAGTCTCTTGCCAAGTTTTCAGGAGTTTTGCCTATAACCCTGAGGGGCCAAATCAGCAAACATACTCTCAAAATCTCAGAAAATAAACCCCATCCTAACAGGAAACACCCATCCTGATGGCTAGGAGAACACAAGAGTAGTAAAAGAAAGAGAAAGTATCAGCTCTTTAAGGTCACTGAGATTCCATCAACTTGCAAATGAAAGATGCAGAAACAAAAGCCCTTAATGGCTAAAACCGCTATCTCCTCCAACTGAGGACGGGAAGAGAAAGGGGAGGGAAAAGCAAAGCACTTTCTAGGACATGAGGAAGCCCTTGGCTTCGTGTCTGAACAAGGCACAAATTAGTACAGAGCAGAGTGGGCTAGAACAAAAGAGTGGGAAGAAAGGTCTTTGATGCTAAGGTCCAGAAAGCAAAAAGAGAGAAAGGGAGCAAGCTCAGTTGAACTGGCCTATCTCTAGCTTTTCCCAGTTCCTCAGCTGCTGGAAACCAAACACTATGTAGCCAGCTCCATTCTGAAAAAAACCCCCTGAGAGAATATGAAGGAAAACGCAGCCACAATTGGCTAAGAAACTCAGGAAGCCTTAGTTCCCCCTCCTGACTAACCATGCCCAAATCACAGACTTGCTACTCCAAATATCACTCAGTTCTTTGACCTGTGTAGTACTCCATGCTACCCAAACCCTCCAGAAAGGTTCTTGGCTACCTACCTTAGTTTGGCTCTGCAGAAGAATGGGTGCATATTTGTCCCGAGCAAAGTTGGAGAAGTTCCATTGACAAAAAGGAAATGGCACACAATCCTGGCCACCTTTGCCCTCGTCCATTTGTGCCAGAAGATCCCGGGTTGAGCTTGCAGGAGTGAAGATCTGTGAGCCAAGAGGGTTAGCAGGCACAAGAGTGGAAGGTGTGGTGAAGACATGCTGCGTGGGAGGCAAGATGGTGACCACGTGGCACCCAGAAGGATCACACTGTGTGAAGGCTTGCACTGTAGTGGTGATACGGGTGCTGGTGGCCAATGCTGGATGGCCATGTGGATAAGGAGGTACAGTATGGTTATCATTCGCATCAGCATATTCTTGAGGCTGGATCTGGATGACGCGGGAGGAGCAGAGGCTATGGATACACAAAAGGACACTCAGAAACTGCTGAAGTTAATCATACCCTAGGAATCATATTGCATTTTGTTGTTGCTATTAAAAAAATGTCTTGTCTATTAGTTGCAAGCTCTTCCGCTATATGTATTCAAAGGACATCTAATAGTTGTTTCCAAGCATGCTGACTCTATTTGTATTTTGATTTGTTTTTAGGAATGAAGTTTAGTCCCACTAAAGAAATATTTTCCCAAAAACACTGGGAATACTGCTACTGACCATGCACCTGTGTTTTGGTGCCTTGAGCATTTTCTCCCCTTGCAGCTTCAATGGAGATCCCCTGTTGTTTTGCCTAATGACTTTCCCAAACCACAGTTGCCATCCGTAACACTGCTGCCCTCTCTCAGGAGATTTGATCGATTGCCCAGCTTTGCCCTGGAGAGAGCAGGAATGCCACTACAAAGGGACTGATATATGGGATTGTCTCTCTTCAAAAGACAGTACCTGTAGAAGCAGCACAAAATGTCAAGTCTCTTATTTTCACGTCGGTGAAGGTCCAAGCTCAGGATGGCAGGAAAGATGAACAACACCATGGCAAAGTTAAAAACAACTACAACAGCAGCCTGCAGTAGATGAGATAAGAAAAGAAAAAGAGGAATTGAGGCACACTGAAGAGCTTGGACCATCTTGCCAATGCCCTTTCAGATTCACTGAACCCCCCCTCCCCCCCACTGCAATCTCAAGCAAGTATTTGGTATTTTGGTCCCAAATGGCTGTCTTTGGCCAACACTGTAACACAGCTTCTGAGGATTTTGCTGTAAATAATTTTGGCCCTTAGGCTGAAAGATGTTCCCTGGTTTTGATCTCCAGTAAGGTAAGACTATGGGTGCAAGTATTGTGTTCAGGTACACCTGCCTGGGAGAACAGAAAACAAAATGGCTTACCTGCAGAGAGAAAGCACGGAGAGCCGGGATAGGCACAAGGGCAGCCATGAAGAAGGCTATCATGTTATTGACGGAGGTAAGCGCTACACTGGTGCCACTGTGCCGCAGGCATTCACCAGTTCGCTCCTGTTTTGGACAGATGCATAAGAGAAAAATGAGCACAGAATGGAAGCAGATGTACTGGGAGTACATAGAAACTGGGTGAATTGAACAGAAATAGGTACATAGCCTCACCTTGATGGGGACATGTTGGCTGGTCTCTGTGAAGGCATGAGCCAGTAAGAACATGTCATCCACACCAATACCCAGTGCAAGAAAAGGCAAAACCTGTTCAGATATGAAGAAAAATACACTGCTTATCTGAGTTAAAAGTGCTGAGATGACATTTAAAACCTTAAAAGGCTTGGTATCTTGATACTTGCAGGTATGCCTCTATCTATACATACTTATCCATGGATTTGGGTCTGCTGGAGAGACCCTCCTCTATAGCTTACGCTGTATAAGATTTGGGAGAGCGGCTTCTGTGGCACCTAGTTGTAGAATACTATCTCCTAAGAAATATGGTTGGTGATGACTGTCCTAATTCTCGTGTCAAGTGAAAACTCTGCTGTTTATTTCAGCTTTGGAGGAAAGGTAATGATGTTACCCAAATCTATATAAGTAGATGGTTTAAACTGTTTTAACTTTAGTTACTCCTTTGGCCACAATCTGTCTGGTTTCCACAAAACTGAGCTGTTCTACAATTGTTCTTTATTGCTTCAGACACATCTAAATGGGAAAGAAGCAAATATAGCAAAGTAGCCTTATTGGGGCCTCAGGAGATCTATGGGATAAGAAGAAAGTGCTTTTTACAATATAGCATTATCTAATCACATGCTAGGGCAATGGAACCAATTATAGTCTCAGTTTCGCTTTTCAAGAAATCTGAGTGATTGGGTTATTCTGATATTTTCAGAAACTGGTTGCACTCAGGTAGGTACAGTTAATACGCAGTCCCCAAATCCCATTTTTGTAGCCCCACAGGTTTCCAAACCACAAAGATTTTTAAAAAATTCTTTTCTGGCTGAATTTTGGACTGATTCCACCTCTCCTTACAAAGTAGTCCCAAATGCAAGAACACCACTTGCAAGCATGGCAATTTTGCTTCCTCCCCCAATCCCCCCCCCCCAACTACCTTCCAAAAGTCTTTGCCTGAAAACTTAAAAACTGGATAAAAATGGCCATGGAACCAGTGACATGACATCACTTGTAGTGCTCTATAATGTGGCAGTTTGACCTTCATATGCTTTCCCACCTCTCTGACAAAGAGTGAAGTGTGGCAAAAGTTGGCATAAAGTAAAGTAGATCTCACCAAAGTGCAACATACCTGGGTGGTGGCTGCATTGAATGAGATTCCCATTAAGGAACAGAATCCAAGTCCTGCTGCCACCGAAAGGGCAACTAGAAGAACCCCAGCCAAGCCCACAGCACCCTGTGATTTGGAGCAGTCCCAGCGCAGCATGGTGACACAGGCATATGCCAGCTGGAAGAAGATGAAAGTGATAATTAATGCCAAGAAGGGTAGAAAAACTTCAGCAGGCAGGAAAGGATCAGGGGCAGCAAAGACCACAGAAGAAAACTACTACATACCATCAGCAGGTACCCGCCAACCACGCGGATGGCACTCACATCTGAGAAGGATTTCATGATATCATTGAGTGTGGTGGTGGAGAAAGCATGTATGGCCTGAGACGAATTTGCAGGCAGGGATTCCTGGGCCAACTGGAAAGACACAAAATGGTGAAATGTTAGGAGACAAAGGCAGCTATCTCGGTGGTTTCATTCATAGAAGGATCCTTCTCACACAGATCCATGCACAGCATCCATTTACATGCCTGCTTTACTCATAACATGGGAAATCTGGTTCTTGATAAAGCATGTGTTGCGCAGTGAAGGAATCTGCTTCTAACAAGAACTGAATCTATTCTCATACATCTGCAGGATTTGAAGGATCTACAGGATAGGATCTATCTTTGGTCATTCCGACGCTTTCATCCCATACAACATGCAATTAATGTCTACTTATATCATGACATAAAGCCTACTCAGGTACATCAGATCTTTTAATGAGAATCTACAGATAATAATGTACATTTTACAATGCATACTGGCATGCAGTGACCATCAGCTTGGATTACATTTCTGCAATTCTCTGGACTCTTCCATACTCACAGTTTCAGCTTTTTGCAAATGCATTTGTGCCTTGCCCCATACCTACAGGCACTGGTTTCCTTCAAATAGCCCCCAAACCTTTGCACCAGTGCTATGCCCCTCTCCCCATCTCACCTCAACAAACTCCCGCTGCCAGGCCTCCAGCACAGCAGCTGCCTTCTCCTCACTCCAGTTGATGTCATGAATCTCATAGTCATCCCGATAGTGCTCAAAGAGCTGCCGTGGGCTCATTAGCAGAAACATGCTTTGAAGGGCTTCAGCTCTACAAAAAGAGAAGCTGGGTCAGGCAAGGAGGCATAAGTCCTTTGGATCTAAGCAAGGAGAGGGAATCCTGTGGTCCTTCAGATATTGTTAAATCCCTAACATACCTCACCACTGGTTATGCTGACTAAAGCTGACTGGAGTTAAGGTCCAACAAAGAAATGAGTGATACACATTCCTCCGTGCTGCTCTAAAGCTTTAGGTCCCACCAACCTATTAATGGCCACTTGAGAAGCCAGCTTTCTTCTCACAATAAGTCTCAATTTGGACTTGGCTCACATGCTTCCTTCTGTCATTCCTTCAGCCCAAGCAGTTGCCCCATTACCACCCTCATATAAAGCATATGTTAATCATGCTCCATGGAAAAGAAACCACTGCATAAACCTCCAAACATAGCATCCAGGAAGGGGGGAGGGGGCTCTGCTAACATGCCTTTGAATGCCAATGGACATATGATTTGTTCTTGTGGCAATGTGCACTTAGCACATTGTTAGACTGAGAAGCTATACCTGCATTTCCTAAAAAGGAAACTCTTAAATTTATGCATTCCAAAAATGCATGGAAAAAACTAGAAATTGCTATAAATGCACCTCCTTAAGAGTCAAACATATTTCATACATGCACATGAGGCTTTCAGCATTAAGAGTGCAAACATATCTTCTGCCATTTTCTAGCAGCTTCCCTTGCAAGCTATTCTTAAAGGAGACTTAGGACCTATATGATCATTATTGTCACCATCATTCCCTACATAGTTTTGTGTTTCCATTTCTCTCATCAATTTGGCAACCTTTTGTCATATCAAGAGTAGGAGGAAAATATCCATAATCAAATTACCTCATCAGAAGCAGAATCTGCTACATCACATTAAAAAAGTGCAAATCTGCAGATCAGAAGGCTGTGGATCCATCATAGTATTAAGTACAGAGTTTGTGTGCCTGTAGCCAGCATCTATGTGTGGAGTAGTTTAGGGGCATTAGAGTGCCTCTGGGCTGTGGATTGGTACAAGCAGGTGTCTATGCTGCAAGACAGTGCCCACCTCAGCTGGAAGGGGCTGGGGTCAGCAGAGGCAAGATAGAGGACAGCTGCCAGAGGCTCAGGGATCAACACAAATTCCATGGCTCAGGAATGTCTGCCAGTTGCTACTGGGGTCAAATCATGGATATGGACTCTTACACACACAAGAATCTCCATGCCATCAATTTACAAGCTGGTTTAGGAAGGCAGATCATTGCAATTTGCAACCATGCAAGAAATAGGGTTAAGAGTCCAATCTGCTTCTAACAACCATGCCTTATCTTGCTTTTCCAATTGCCCTCCCAGTTGAAATGTAAAGTGTATGACTTTGACTATCATACTTAACCCCACTGGCCACCTCACTGATCATCCCATTATCATCATTTGCAAAGAACAAATAATGCCATTCCTAATCAGAGACCTCGTACTGACATCATGGACAGACAGACATGCAAACACATATTTACCTCTGTAATTTGCCTTGGGAGTCCTTTGCTGTGGCTCCTAGAATCAACTCCTCTTGCCAGTGCATATATTTTTTGGAGAAGCCATGGCAGCCACTGGTGAGCTCAGAAGGAATATCTGGTTTCTGGTGGGTGCATTAAGAAGTGATTGTCAGGCAGCAGCATTAACTTAGAACATGAGCACAGGCAATTTAGATTGGGATTGAAATTTGCACTATAGTCCCATCCCCATCTTCTGCAAAACTATCTCTATAGATGTATCCCCTACCTTTTGGCTCTTGCTGTATGTCAATTTACCATAACCATTAACAGACAAATATTTTACTAAAGAGCTAGAGTAGCCAAAGAATAAAACAAAACCTATGGTAGCTACTATTGAAAATGAACACAAAATGTTTCTTGGTCACATGTAAAATAGGGGAGAGAAGGGCAGGAAGTATGAAACACAGTATACTATAGTGGGCTTAAGGTTGAGAAGACTCATTTCCTGACCAGTATGTGAAAATAAATTTGGAAAAAAAGGTCACGGGGACTGTACAGTATTTCATACATCAAGAGTGGTACTGAATGATCCTTCTCCCTATAAATGAACTATTGTTCTCAGGTTTCTGTCATATTGCCTAATAATCTTCCAGACATGATTGAAAACACAGTTCTTTGGTGCTATGAAAGTAGAAGAGATTTGATCCTTAATGGCTGGGCTCATCAGGAGCAGGAGGCAGCTTTAGCCCCAAGACAATATTAGAACTCGATGTAGCTCTTTATTCTCCCCATTACAGGATATTTTCATTCAATTTTAGGTCAATACTTCAAATAGGCACTAAAGAGCAATACCAATGTATACACTAGGGCCCTTCCACCTAGCCCTATATCCAAGAATATCAAAGCAGAAATTTCCACAGGATCTGCTTTGAACTGGATTATCTGAGTCCACACTGCCATATATTATAGTTCAAAGCAGATAATGTGGGATTTTATGCAGCTGTGTGGAAGGGGCCTAGATCTGCCTTCTAACTATAACCCCACATGGCCAAAATCTTGCTGACAAGTAACTGATAGACACAAAGGCACTTCTGCAAACAGTAAAGCTGTCATAATGATGGATATTCTGCCAGTTAAATGATAGCAAAGGCTTGAGATGCTTTCTGGAAAGGCTTTATTCTGCTCTCATGTATTATCCCGTGGCATGACACTGACTCTGAAATAACTAAGTAGTTACAAAAAAGAGTACCAAAATAATACACTTTCTTGGAGGAGCGTGATGCTTATCAGGATGAGGCAACTTCCAAAGTGCTTGTAAAACAGGTAACAGGCTAGGTTGATTAGATAACAACTGACTAGCTCAAATCCTTCCTATAAGCTTGATAGCTGATGGAGACTTTGAATTTGGATCTTGCATCAAGATATGTATTTTAGACATTTCTGTTTAGACATTGTCTATTTAAATGTACATTGCCCATCTCCCAGCAGCATTTCTCTTATTTTCAGCTAGACACAATAATAATTTTTCAAAAGTCTACTTGGCCACTATGACATGGATGGATTCAGGTCAGCCTGGTGGTATTTATGCAACTAAACAGATAAATATAAGAAGAAGCACCAGCCAGGATAATAGTCATCATACTGATAACAATTTTGGATCTCCTAAACTGCAATCCAGTGTCTCCTTCCAGTTGGCCAAAAAGTTGAATTTGCAGAACAAACTCCAACTCATGTGTTGCTAACTAACTGCTGCTCTGGGCCAGAGTGAAGAGAGAGGGGCCAGAAGATGGTTCCACCTTGTCTCCTATGCTATGCTAATAATGTAATATAATATATTGTATATACATATAATATTCATAATATTATAATGTAATAAAATACTAATAATATATTACAATTATATATTTTATATTACATGTAATATTACTAATAATATTACAATATAATGATAAAGTACAATATAGTAATATATAATAGTGATATTGTACTATACTAATAATATAATATATTGTATGTATATATATCTTGTAAGCTGCTCTGAGTCCCCTTTGGGGTGAGAATGGCAGCATATAAATGTCATAAATAAATAAATATGTGTGCACATAAACACAGGAATGAAGATATGCACTTGCTTCCCAAGCATACAGGGTGTTTCCCTCACATCTAAAAACATCTCCTTCCTGCTCCTGTTGTGGCAGCAAAAGAAACTAGATAGCCGTAATGGTAACAGTCTGGCTTTCAAGCCCGGAAATGAGGAATTATGCCTGCAACCCCATCCTCCCACTCCTTGCACTTGCCCTCGGTCATATATGCTGTAGTGTGTGTGCCCTTTGCATTCCCCTCTGCTCTCCAAAAAACTTCTAAGCTGCCATCTGTTCTGGGACACATTCCAGCGATGACCACCTGCTGGCCAGCACTTGCACTGCGTCTGCCTGGACCAGCACCCTCACTCCTGCAGATGCCTTCCTGGCCGAGTGCCACGCATTCCACACCTCCTCACACCCCTGGATACTGAAGGGCAAAGCTAATGAAGTGCGGGAGGGGGACCCCACAGTTAGCCGAGCCCTTTTGAGGACACACTGCTTTAGACACATTACAATTGAAGGAACTTTATGATATCTCCTAGACCACTCTCCTCTCCTTTCAAAGTCCAGCCAAGGGAAACAGAATCCGAGAAACAGAAGAGACCACAAGGCCACCCCATCCAGCCCCCTTCCATGCAGGGATACACAATCAAAGCAATTCTGACAGATGGCCATTCAGAATCTGCTTAAAAGCTTCCAGGGGAGACTGCCACAGCACTCTGAGGTAGCATAGGCAACTCTCTATTTCCAAAGCTGGAATTATCTGGATGTGTCCAAAGGAAAGTAAGTGTAGTGTAGTGATTTGAGTGTTGGACCTGGATTCTGGGAAAACTGGGTTCAAATCCCTACTTGGTCATGGACTCACGGAAGATGTTTGTCAAGAAACACTCTCCCAGCCTCAGAGAAAGATCTGTTCTGAATCAGCATTACCAAGAAACCCCACGATAGGATTATTACCATAAGTTAGAAATGACTCTAAGGCACACAACAATACATATGAGCATGTTATTTAATGTGTATCTTGCCAATGGTGAGCAAGATTAAAATGTTATTCAACTTTTGACTAGCTAGTCTGATTTAAGAGCAGCTAGTTAAACACCTGGTTGATTGTTGCCAACTGAAATATGATGGCCTATCAGGTTCATTTGGAGATAATTTCCATTGAAAGTGAATTAGGTTGGGTTAAGGATAAGAAGGCAATTCTATGACTCACAAATACATTTAAAACAATTAAGCCAATAAAATGAAATAGTAAAATAGAATTGCAAAAACAGTATGAAGAGCAGAGAATCAAAAGTAATAACAGTAAAGAAAGTTCTTTCTTTCCATCTGAAAAAACAAAGCATCGCCTACACATTGGAAACTAGTTGTTCTTTCCTTAGTCTGCTTCTATTGATCTATCTGTTTCTCCCTCTCTCTCCACACACACACACACACACACAATTTAGAGGAAAGCTCAAACCTACCTGCTTGCTTTGGCTGTTGGGGGCACTGGTAGGACATTCAGGGTCCGAGGGGTCAAGGCAAGGTCGCTCCATATAGGCCTGCCCAACCTCTGCCTTATCCAGCATCTCCTTGAATCCTTCCAGTGAGGCAAACTGACCCAGCTCCTCCATCAGCTGAATAGGGTCTAAGTTGGTCCACTGGATATCACGTCGACCCCTATGGAGAGAGAACATTGTGGTTAATAGCGCATGCAAGATATCACTCATTGATATTTTTGACCACACTTGTACCTGGTGCACTGGAACCACATAATGCCAAGCATTGCTACTAAGAGAGCAACATGACATGAATTACCACCAATTGAACATCATTGTGATGGGTATGATGGTGGAACATGAAGCTGATTCCTTTAAAAATAATAATTCATCAACAGCACAACTCTGCATCAGCAACAGACCTGGAACTATGAAAACTCTTCCTATTAATTCCAATTGGATAAAATTACAAAAAAACATACCCTCATCCAGGTTAATGTTTACTAAAACATGTAACTGAGAAGTGAGGTTGGTGGCATGTGTGTGTGCGTGTGCTTGAGCATGCATGTGTATGTATGTGTGAGGTATAAATGTTTGGCTGAAAAGCTTTTTTCTTGTGTGCAATTAAGTGCCATAAGTGCCAAAGACAGTATTTATTTTGACTGTGATGAGTAAGAATCTGGGAAAAGAACACCAGAAATGAAAGCCTCATATGCAACTGCAGTCCAGGATTTTCTATGAATTCCTCTGAATTTATATCTTCTCTGCCAAGATCCCAGCTTTCCTTTCTTTTTGGTTATTTTCTTTTGGTACTCTCAGAATAGTTGTGAGTTTCATACCTCTTTTTCCCTCTAAGGGATGACATTTATAAAAGTATTTTTACAAATCAGCATGCAAGTTACTTGGGGCCAGCATGATATAGTGTTTTGAGCATTGGACTATGACTCTGAAGAGCAGGGTCTGAATTCTCACTTGGCCATGAATATACACTGGGTGACCTTGGGCAGCTCACAGTCTCTCAACCTCAGAAAGAAGCAGTGGCAAACTCTCCCTAAACAAGTCTTGCCAATCCTGATAGATTTGCTTTAGGATCAGAAAGCAAACAACAAATGCAGGTTACTTTGAATCTAGAAATTTCTCTGAACTTATTTCCAAGGCTAAACCTGTAGCTCTGAGGATCCTACAGAGAAACAATGAGAGTACAGATGCTGAATGGTGTCCTTCCTAAAAAGATGTAAAAAGATGGACAGTTCCCTGAACCAATCCATTATACACCAGATCTGGCTATTATTATGTACATAATGTTTATAACGTGATATGCTCACAGCATATGCCTTGTGCATTTTCTGACACACATATATGATAGACAAAGGCAAGCCAGCTCTGCAGTGGAATACTGCAGAGACCTGACTGAACCCAGCCCTGGCTCTATCAAGATGTTAGCACGCTGGCGTTAATTGCCCTGACTGGCTGCACAAGATTCATTTAGGGTGGGAGGGGTTTGCACAGTGCGGGGACAGGGCTTCATCCCCTTTGTTCCCATGCATAACAGGATCAGGCATGCTGCTTTCATTTGGCATCTGGTTTGCAGTGCTAACTCCAAAGGGACTGCTGGACAGAGCCTCCTCCTTTGCTAGGACCTGACCTGCATGTACGTATGTGTTTATGTCCTAAGAGGAGGTCATATATAGTGGTGAGAGGATTCATGGAGCATTCCTGAAGAAAAAGGAAAGCTGGTAACAAGGAATGGGCTGGGTTGTTGTAGGTTTTTCGGGCTATATGGCCATGTTCTAGAAGCATTCTCTCCCAATGTTTTGCCTGCATCTATGGCAAGCCTCCTCAGAGGTTGTGAGGATGTTTGCCATAGATGCAAAGCAAAACATCAGGAGAGAATGCTTCTAGAACATGGCCATATAGCCCAAAAAACCTACAACTACCCAGTGATTCCAGCCATGAAAGCCTTTGACAATACAAGGACTGGGCTATTTGCTGCAGGCAGCACTTTGTCTAGTGAATTTGTAGATAGGCATGCACAAACTGGTGTGCCCTCCCCACATGTGACTATAGCCAAGATCTTATGTGGTCATACTTAAGGAACTCTGCTACAGCTCCTCTCACCAACCCCAAGAACCACAATGCTATCATAAAATGGCCATTTTATGGCTAATGGAGAGCTGAGAGGATTAGAGAAGAATCTAGCTATATTTCCTTAGCCAGACACAGATTGAAGACATCTTCTACCAAGATCCTCTGGAAATCTCGGAAAATGATGCCATTGGTGTGTCTGGCTATGAGAATGGATCCAGGAGCTTCTATGAATGTATTCTGGTGCTCTGATCCTCATTGCTTTCCATCAGCCATGGAATAGCTCAAGGGGTAGCTACTGAAGGAACATGGTAAGTCTTGAGAATGCTTTAGGTATTGTAAAGAGAAAAAGGGAACACCAGATTCCACAGTGAGAAAAATACTTATGTAAGTAGAAGATTGAATTACACTTCTATATGTCACTAACAAGAAGCTTCCGTGTGTTTGGTTATGAAAATGAATACCTGCCCTATTAGTTCTGAAAAGAATTCCCATGGAAGAAAATCACCTGCTCTAACAAAATGGATAATCTTATCAAGATGCAACTTTCACTTTCCCTGGAACATATTGGTCCTTAGAGAGCAAGTACTGGAATTATTTGTTCCAGGGAGAAAACCATGTTAAATGATGGGCTGTACTGCAAAGAGGCCAACGTCTTCACAGATACGTGAACAGACCTAGAGTTTCCCTAATTACCCACAGGAAAAAAACGTGTTCCCTTTCTTAAAAGAATGTCAGATTCTGGTAATCTGCATAGTCCTGACAGTGTTACTGTGAATAAACAAATGGCACGGAGGCTAATGAGAACCGATGTGGTGTAGGGTTAGTGAGAGCAAGTATGGTGAATGTTCAGCTATGACCCTAGAGATCAGTGTTCACATCCCTGCTGAACATGGGAACTTAATGGATGTCCTTGGAGAAGTCACACTCTCGCAGATTCAGACAAAAAGCAAACCACCTTTGAATAAATATGAACAAAAAGACCATTATAGGTTCACCTCAGGGTTGATATAGGTCAGAAATTATTTGAAGACACTCAAATCAAGAGTCAGTCTGAATGTTGGGTTACAATTCTGGAGGCAAGGGTTTAAGCTCCAACTTGATTATGTGCCCTTCCACACAGCCATATAACCCAGAATATTAAGGCAGATAATCCATAATATCTTCTTTGAACTAGATTATCTGAGTCCACATTGCCATATAATCCAGTTCCATGTGGATTTTATACAGCTGTGTAAAAGGGGCCAAGGGAAATACGCTGGGTGACTTTGGGCACGTCACATTCCCTAACTTCGGAGGAAGGCAAAGGCAACCCCCCTCTGAATAAATCTCAAGAAAAACAACAACTCTGTGATAGGTTCCTTAAGATTGTCATAAATTGGAAATAACTTGTAGGCATGCAACAGCCACTACCATTTTTTTCCTTAAATTATTCTAGGGATGAAGGCAGATATAGTCGTGTATATTCAGATTCAGGAGTAATAAAATGTGAGTTTTCTGATATGAATCCAATTGTTTGTACCAACTAATGTAAACCCGCTGAACCATTGGAAGTTACATAACTGGTGATTTACCAAGTTCCCAATGATTTGATTGATTTCCTTTAGGTGGGAGTGACAACTAGATTTAGAGCTATTATCTGTGACAGGGAAATTGACAGTTGTGATTTTCCCTTTGTCTCTACTTTGTAATGGGAAAATCTGCACAGCAGGATGTTGTTAAAGTCACAGGAGTTCACTCAATGTCATATCAGTTGAGGAAACTGGAGACACATCTCAAATTACTCAATAAATGATGTACTGATGAAATGCTCAATACATTTTTGCTTCTGTCATATCCGTTTGCAATTTCATGCAGATTGATGTCCACAGTACTGCTAAATAATGTTACCCAACTACTGTAAAATGGAGAATATTTTGCTTGCTTCCTGTCCAGGGTCTGAATACATTCCAGGAATCCTTGATGAACAACAATGCATCTCAGATTCAGTTTGGAGCTCTATCTTTAAATTAACAAGTATCAGGATTTTCTTTGCCCACTTGTTTATTTGCTGATTTAAGTGCAAGGACTGAAACAAACAAACAAATAGGATGAAACAGCGAGTTGTCGTTCGACAAGAGCTGTGCACCAAATTCAGAGTCTACTTGCTGTAACTGTATTTTGTTTTCTTAATACAGGAGGTGGGGGTGGAGAGAAGGGAACAAAACTCCAAGATCAGGGAAGAAAGAAAGCACAGGCAGAGAAAGTCTTGTCATGCTTGGGGCAGAATCACTCTCCAATCATTCATGAAACCCAAGGTCCTAAGAAGGTTCCTTCTTGCTTGATTCCCACATTCCGAACAGCCCAGCTCCTGCTCCCAAAGAGAGCTTCTTTTATCTGCTGTTTCTTGCTTCACTGAGCCAAGTCGGGCCCTTTTGTTTTTCCATAGATTGCTGCCCTTTGTTCTCCCAAGTTTTCGCTCCCTTTGCGTTAAAAGAAGGGGGGGGGGAGAGAGAGACCCTCAGCTGAACTGAAGCGGAAGCTGGATCAGGGAAAAGACTCCCCCATTCCAGCCATTCACAAGCACACTTTGGGATGTGTGTGTGTGTGAAACTTTTGAGGACCAAAGACTACAATATTGGAGGCATTATAAACAAACACAGAACCCAAGAGGCTGGGTGCAGAAAATAAGGGAGCAAAAACATAAAAACATAATACTTAAATCTCAAAACTTTTTATAAAAGCTTAAAAAGAAAACACTTAAGAAAACCCTGTTGTCCTTCTCTGGGATTGTGCAAGAGGCTGAGCAGCTACGCAAACTGTGTTCTTAAAGCCATATTCTTAAAGCAAAAGAAGAATATGTTTCCTTCCCACCCCTCACCTGTCTAAAAATAAATATTGCAAAGACTGATTTTAGCTCCCTCATTCTTTGGGATTCAGAATGACCTTCCTCTTTTGTTCACATGATAACCACAGGGTTTAACCTGAATGGGGTGAAATAAACTGTCTCCTCACCTTGGTTAGAAGCTACTATTCAGTTTGAAGAGAAGCACTGCATCCAACTCCTTTTCCTGGCTGATATTATCCTCTCTCCCTCACTTTGAATTTTTATAAAATTCATTTTTTCCTCCTTCCTTAACTGTCCCCTTTCTCTCAGCAGCAGGCTGAATAAAGCTACTATTCCATTTGTTGGGCAACTTGGAGCTTTCAAAGTGTCATTAGCATGAGAATACGTGGTGTTGCCGTTTGCTGACAAAGCATAAGTCTCCAGGGCCCCTTATGGACAAACACACTTGTAAACAGAAAGAATGCTGGCTATTGTTCTGGGCCCCCTCCCCTCCAGTGCCTCCAGAGGGGCTGGTCCCCACGTCTTTACTCCCTCTCCCCCTCCATCTCCCATTCTGTACACCTTAATAGAAACATAATTACAAGGCAGCAGGAGTAACACAACAAAGCAATTGGCCCCTAAGAAGAAATCCTGGGCTGGTGTAGAAAACAGGAGAAAGAGGGTTTCCTCCAGTCCAGAAATGGGAAAAAGGAGCAAAGGCTGGGGCTACGGATCTAGACCTAAATTTTGCTTTGGCAGATTAGACGATATGGCACCAGGATCCCACTATCACTTCCTAAAGTAATATTTCAAAACAAGGAGACAGTGCAAGCCTATCTTTAGGTCATGCTGGGATAAAAGAGATGGAAAGCAATACAGGTCAATTATCTGGAATTCCAAAATGATCCAACCTCCAAAATTGTCCACATAGGTGGCTGACATCTTTTCTTTCAGATGGTAAAACTACACAAAGGTTGTTTCATGCACAAACTTGTGTATAAAATTACACAAAGGTTGTTTCATGCACAAACTTGTGTATAAAATTACTTTCAGGCTATGTGCACATGGTATATAATTAAATTTTGTGTTTAGACATGGGTCCCATCTCCATGACACTCATTATGTTTGTGCTTATACCGTAGAGTCTCACTTATCCAACCTCCGCTCATCCAATGTTCTGTATTATCCAACACAGTCTACCTCCCACCTGGATCCACAGGTTTCAATACATTGTGATGTTTTGGTGCTAAATTCGTAAATACAGCAATTACTACATAATGTTACTGTATACTGAACTCCGTTTTCTGTCAATTTGTTGTAAAACATGATGTTTTGGTACTTAATTTGTAAAATTGTAACCTAATTTGACATTTAATAGGCTTTTCCTTAATTCTTCCTTATTATCTGACATTTTTACTTATCCATCGTTCTGCTGGCCCTTTTATGTTGGATAAGCGAGACTACTGTATTCCAAAATTTGGGGGGAGGGGGGTGTCAAAATATGGAACACTTCTAGTACAAAGCATTTTTATAATAAATGTTTAACCTTATACTGATGCAGTCTACTATTCTGGAGGAAACTTTATATGGTTCTCTAGCCTGTGTTATCTTCTTACTGAAAATCTTCAGTTCATAACTTCCACCAATGACCTGAGACAAGTGTGTGTCTTCTTCTTTATACATCACAAGTGATACTACTGAATTTACATGGGCAGGTGGGCAAATATATTGCTGGTACCAGAAAAGGAAAGGAGCCATTCCCAAATATGCTAAGAGGGGAACAAACTCAAAACATCAGATCAAAGTCACACAGCTACATGCACAGGGCCACTGCACATAGGTTCTCAAAAGAAATTCATTTGGTACCAAAGGGCAGAGGCCCACCTCCAATATTACCAGCCAAGCCAGGTCACCTCCAAAGGCACATAGGTTAACCCGACTCTGATTCTGAAGCTGAAGAGAATTCCTGATAAAATGCTTTTTTCATTATGTGATTTTTCATTATGAGACTCCTTCTGTAACCCTTATGACTAGTAAACACACAAGCAAATATTCCTGCCACATTTTCCTTGCTAGATGTGAACAAGAACTAGGATGCTGCAGAAATTAAACCCATGAGCAATAGGGTGGAAAGACTCAACTTGAATTTCAGTACGCACATGAATTTACCAGGAGTCAAGACCTTCAATATACAGTAGTCCCCTTTCAGATCAGATTGATGATGCTGTTTCCCTTTTGTATATTTTTTTTGCATTAATAACAATTCTGCAAGTGAAGTATTCTGGGTATTTAGGGAAAGTACTAAATATTAATAATACTTTTGCACCCTGAAAGCACCCTTATCCACCCAGGTGGGCTCAAAGAAAAACTATCAAAATGGCCTAGAGTGAGTGTGAAGAGGTTAGTATTTTTTTTTCTGTTCCCATAGCCCAAACAAATATGTCCTATGGGGAAAAAAACTTGAGACAACCAATCAACTGGATTTCTCTAGCACTGCTGCACAGGCTCAAGACAGAGAAGGAGTTTAGAGCTTCATTAGTGGGGAAGCTCCATCTTTGTCCTTGATGCATATGTTACTACAGAGTCCCCTCTAAGACACTCATAATGAAGTAAAGAAATACATTAAAAGAACAAAACAAAAACAGGCACTCACGGAAGGTAAGCAGAGCCCCCTTGCAGCTTAGCGCCATCCCAGAAGCAATCCAGTGGAGTCACAATAACACAGGGAAAGAGCTTCTCGATCATCTAAGAATGAGAACAGAAAGAGTCAGAGGACATGCACAAGCTAATACTGCAATCTACTGGATTTCCCCATCTCTTTTGACTTGTCCAGTGATCATCTGATATCACTGCCAAGTGTGACATCCTAAATAATCTTGCTCCACTGTAACCAATGTGGATTAAAACACACCTTGCCTCTCCCATTCTCTTTCTGTCTTGTCGTGTTTTGGAACAGATGCATACTTTGGGAATGAGAGAGCCCCACCACAAATACAAGCCCCCAGTCTGAATGGATTGCCACACTGTATGAAGTATGTGTTATAGCCAAATGAACTACTGTAGGCAAATCCAGACCTTAAAAGCCTTCCCTATGAAGGGTAACAGCCTGACCAAATGTGGCAGTAAGTTCTTATGGATAACTGCATCAAAGGCAAGCATTGCAGTCTCTTGCAATCTAAGCAGACAGAATATAAAGCCCTTATCACTAAAAGGTCAGGGCAGCACTGTTGAAAGCAGCTGAAGATAAAATGGGCTTTCCTCTTCCTGCTTCCCCAGCACATGGCAGGAAGGGAGATAAAGCCTCCTAATTAACTCTTATCACAGATATACAGGGGTGATTGGTACCAGAATGAGGTGCCCAGCAGAAAGGAACATGCACCATCAATGTCCATGTCTTCTGAATCTAAAAACATGGTTTGGGGAACTGCCCCTTTGGGACAGCATTTTTTTTTAAAAAAAGATTCCACATGATTCCCATAGCAACCTAGATATCCTTTCCAGAACCCACCTCATTCTCTAGCCAACCAGTTTCTCCACAGGGAATTATTTATGCTGTTTAACAAAGATAATTTTCCTAACTGATAAATTTTATTTCTATGGATACTACTGCAATCTATTTTCTTTTCTATAGATGCATTTCCTGGGCAACTCACCCGTGCAATCATTCCATTCTCAATTATGGGGACACCAGACTTGTAGCATATTTTGTTGAGATCCCAAGACCTAAGAGAAAAGGGAGGCAAACAGAATGTTAGAGGACTTTCTGGAGACAGATATGAAAGCTAATACAAATTCTGCATGGTGACAGGTAAATTAACTCCTCAAACAGAAGTACTATATCCCTGCATAATGAAGATTGGACGTAAACATAAAGGGAAAGTCAAAACCTGGATGCCTTGCTTAAAAGCACAAAATCTAGATTGGGTAGAAAAAGAATGTTGAGCTAGAGGGACTAATCGGATAGTAACAACAAAGTCTTATTAGTAGTACGCTTGCATTTCAGACTCACTTTCCATAGAGTAAGACCTGCACTTTGCTAGCAGCTAGAGCAGCTTCAAGATGCATTTCCAAGGCTTCCAGGGTCAGAATGTTTTCTCCTTCTTGTTTGGGAGTTTGTATCAGCATCTGTGATGTGTAGAGAGATTCTTCTCCTAGTTTTTCCTTGGTGTACCGAAGCTCTTGGCTGACACGACTGCCCTCTGGAAAGAGAGAAAAAAAGATATTGCAGTGAACAACTCTCTCTTATCTCGCCAGAGAGAAGAGACACTCGAGCTGAGCATGTGTTCATACTACCCCAGCTTGATGTTCTATCATCCTTTAAAACATTTTAAATGGTTTTTGTTTCCCAAGGATGCATCATCCACACACACTCTGACTAGAGATTCGAATGTGTGTGACAGAGTCATTTCAAGTGGATCTGGAAAGAAATGGCTCAAATGTGTCAGGGTTGAAAGTATAAGGAAGGTGGCTTTTCAGCCCGGGGAGCAAGGAATTCAAAATTCACCTACAATGACCACATCTGAAGGGGAGAATTAACTTCATAGCCTCCAGGACTGAAATAACTGATGGGCTCCCATGGACACTATCTGAGGAAATGGGTGAGATTGGGATACAGCAAATCCAAAGTTGACTCTTCTCTGCCTCTCCCATGGAAGAACCAATACCATAGCTTTTCTGGGTACACTGGAAGTTTCTACTATGACAGATTTACTCTAGCAGTATTCTTCCCTTTTCTACAATGCACCAATGCAGAGTCCTAATCCTTCTAGGCATTATCCTTGAAAGGCCACACTCCCCCTCCCCCCAATTCAGTGATTCTTACACTATCTGATGTGGAACACCATCAGTTTCCCCAAGTATGCTAGGGACTTTCCTAGAAATTCTCTCAAGATTGACAGCTGATGGCTGGTAAACCAACATCGGTCTATAGACCACCTCTATGAGTAGAACTGCCATAGTTAATGATGACACAAAGATACAGAGTTCTCAGTGATATACAGTTTCCCTGGCATTTAGCTAATGCATTCTTAATCTTTGTCTTTTCTTCTTCTTCTTTTTATAAAACTGCAATTTCAAAGGCTAGGATCTAAACTGGAAGACCTGTTGAGAGAGGGACTTCTTAGCGCTTCCCTTAATTTTTTTGCTTGGAAGTATTTTCCAATCTGTCCCTTCTCTAGTCCCATAAACAACACAACAAATTCAGCACAGAAGAGTATGATATCTGAATAGGAAGTGTTTAGAAAACCACAGGTCTTCCACCGAAGCCTCTTTGACTGTGTTGGGGCAGGATGGAGTAATACATACAAGGAGTTACAGCCAGCTCAGAGCAGGCACTAAAAGTAGGTAATTACCAATTATAGTTTGTAACCCAAGGCTTCCAAAAGTCATTTGATACTATGACACAGTTGTATTTTATTTAAAATTATTATTCTTCCCTCTTTATCAAAAACTAAAAAGATACAAAAGTTTTATATACTTTTTACATAGTTTTATAAACTTTTTACAAAATCTGAATGCTAAAAACCACTGATACAAAAGCCTATGATACAAAACATATTATACTCCTACCCATTCTGACATTGTCTGAGCACACAACACAAGGCAACAAAACATGTCAACAGTCGATTGTATCATTTGAACCAGGAGGTGTCCCTCCATTTCCACCATTCAATGAGGCCAAATAAAAAGTTGCTGATACATTGCAAACAGATCAACTGTAAGTAGATACATCCACCCAGTTACTGGCACAGAACACTGTAGTTCATCTTCTGACAAAAGGCAGTAATCAAAGTACATAAAGATCACATTCCAGGAGCCATAATAAGAAAGATAATAAATTCAATTAATATATAGTCAAAAACAAAACCTGAAGGGAATCTATGATTTCTGAGAACCAACAGCACCAAAGCTAAATGTACCTAATCTCAAGCTTCCACCAATAAACAAGCTAGTAGCTTTGCTACAAAATAAATTCATGCCTTCTTTCTTCCTCTCAGCCATCACTAATCACCAGTCCCTTGATGGTGTAATGCCTAGTGTCAGACAGTTGCTAGGATGTAAGTGGAAACCATAAGTGGACCTTCCCAACCTTCCACTTGGATTCGAGACATTTCCTGGCTCTCTTCACTAGGCTTCTGGCTTATGTCCAGCAATTATCAAGGTGTCATCTATCTGCGTTTTTAAAGCAAGAGGCGTCCAACCAGGGAAACTCTTTCTACAGTGACTTTGTCTCCATTCACACAGAACTAGGATGTCATACAATTGTCAGGGAATAAGGTCACATTTCTATCCCCTTCCTCAGCTGATCGTCCAGACATCCACATGCCAGGGTGAACAGTTGCAATAACACAGCATTTACAACAGCACCTCCTCAATGTCCTCACATTCAGAAGATCTAGGAGCATGGTTAACAGTGCAACTGATTCAGGTTGTAAGATGAGCAACATGGCACCCCTGTTAGTCCCGTAGCATCCACCTTCAAGTGATTCACATGTAAAGGGGGATTCCACAAGCTTGGAAATCTACCATATCCGAGGACTCTGGGATACATTTAAAGAAATACAGTTTGTTCATTTCAAGTCATGCCTAGGTCTCTTCTACCTTGTTACCATCCTATGCAAACTGAGAATACATCTTATTTTAGGCTCTCCTGGGATGGATTGAGCTCTTGCCTTTTGCCACTCTACTCAGATGAGAGCTTAGTTCATCCCAGGAGGAGCTAAAATAAGCACCATCACCCACTAGTTTCTCTGGTGTGGTGCCTAGACTGTTTTCCCCTAATAAGAGTTGAGGTAAGGCACTCACATTTACATGTAGATAAATCTGCCCAGGTTTTTGGGACTGAATTTTTGTTAAAAAATTTCTAGACTTATACATGAGTATATAGAATAATCACCATTTTAAACATGCGAACCCTCAAATATTTTCAGAATTTGCTTATTTACTCCAAAATTGAAGTTCCTTGGTTTTAAGTGCAAAGCTCTCTCTGCTAAAGCATGTTTACATTAGTAATAGAAAATGAGACTACTACAAAAAAACAAAAAAAAAAACCAAATCCAAAATGTCACAACTTGATATATGTGTTGGCAATCATTGTTCTGTCATTTTCTAGGTTCTTCATTAGATAACATGGAGCCCCCGGTGGCACAGTGGGTTAAACCCTTGTGTCAGCAGTTCAAATCCAGTGAGCGGGGTGAGCTCCTGTCTGTCAGCTCCAGCTTCTCATGCAGGGACATGAGAGAAGCCTCCCACAGGATGATAAAACATCTGGGCAAGGTCCTTGCAGATGGCCAATTCTCACACACCAGAAGCTACTTGCAGCTTCTCAAGTCACTCCTGACACACACACACACACACCCAAAATAACACATTCCTAAAGTCTGGTCATCAAGATACTCTACTTCTACACTTTCACAGCAATCCCACTATGGAGATGAACAATTCTAATTGTACCTTATTTTGACCCGCTATGCTGTGCCTGATTTCAGCACAAATTCTAGCTCTAATATTTTGTGGTTGCTGGAAAAAAGTATAAAACAAAGCAGAACACCAAGCTGATTGACAAGCATGGGTTTTTTTTGTTGTTGTTTCCACTCCATTCTCTCTAAAGGAAAGGCTGGGATGCCAGTGAGGGAGGAGGATATGCCAAAGAACATAGGGAGGGGACAGACACTCTTGCGTTAGAGCGAGGAAGATCTGGGAGGGATGTATCAAAGGCAGAATCCAAACCATTCCAGGCTGTTTGGGAGGCAAAGCACCCGAAGTCATGCTGAGCACTGCTGAACTTGACTAGGCCACCCAGGAGAAAAACCACATGTACAACCAGAATGCTGAGGAAGGGTGGGGAACATATTCAGTCCAAATTTTGAAGCCACAAGCCAAGATGGATCCCCAAAATTAGGAACGACGTTCTTCACCCGGCAGACTTTTAGTCCAAAACCTCATTAACAAACTCTAGGAGATGGCTTTATGCCATGCGGTAGCCTGAGCAGAAAGTGGAACATGGGAGGTGTGATCTTTCAGGAGAATCTGGGGAACTGTAGTTTAAAGCAGTAACTTTTTCAGGTTTAGGCAGAAACAAAAATAAAAAGAGATATGCACAAACACACACATGGACATGGAGGGCCCCACTGCTTCTGTATATACCAATTTACTAAATCCCACAAAATCATTCCAAGGAAGTAGCTCCTTGTTTCTTCCTGGCCTAGGCTCAGTGATAGTGGGGAGTGGACACAGGAGGCATTTATTTATTTATTTTAGTTCTGTAGCAGAAATGACAGTACATCTGCAAGCGCTGTAAAGGAGCGGAAAAGAGAGAAGGAGATATTCTTCATAATTAGGGTTAATTTGGAACAGGACAATCTGAAGCTTCAAAGGGGGACGAGGAAGCCTCAAATTCCAACACCCTAATTAACCAGAGAGAAACATGAAAAGACAAGGCAAAGTGAGTGGGGTTGCCAAGGATGCCTTACACGGGGTGCTCTCTGTCTGATGGGGAGGGGGTTAAACTAGGTTCTGTGGTTCAGTGTGGCACTCTGTCGTCGCTCTTCTGCCCTCCCCCCCCCCCCAGCTGCTTTTGCTCAGCCCACCGCATCCCTTCCCTGAGAGAGCAGCATTGTTTGATGCAAACTTGGGGGAAGGGATTCTGGGATCCAGTGAGGTAGCAACAGTGAGCATGTTAATGAGGAGCCCTATGCAAATTCTTTTTTACTCCAATTAACAAAGGAAGCCCTCTCCTTTTTCATGCAAAAGGCCCCTCTCTCCTCCCGATCAAATCCCCAATTGTACTGCTGCTTTGGCTTTGAGTATTAGATTGGATTATCCCTTATTCCACCCCACATGCATTGCACACACACGCACACACACTAACAGATACCATATCTCACTCCCACAGCCTTCCCAAATGTGTGCAAACATCCCCATAGAAGCAAAGATGTAAGCACCAGGCCACTTTTCTCCAAATATTGGGGCCTTCTGGTATTTTGAGAGCCATAGGTTGCTTACTCCAGATTGCAGGCTCCACTGGACCTAAAGGCCCTTGAGCCTTGTGCCATCCCAAACACCTTCATTTGGCCCAACTTGCTGGAAAAGCCAGTCCTCCTTTTAGCAGGTCCTCTTTGGCCTAGAATATGCTGCACAGCATGCTCCTATGCACTGAACCTTCTCTGTCTCCTCCATCCTCCCTGTGGCAGCAATGCAG